GCCTGCATATGTTGTCTAAGTCTCCTAACTTATTTGGTTCGCTAGAACATCAGGCCTCTAAGTGACCTCTGAAATTTAGGTGCCAGCAACTTAGTCGCCAATGCAAATTTTTAGTTGCCAGGTAAATTTTACTTTGGCACCAATTTAAAAACTGATATTAGGCAATACATGGAACCATTGGATTAGTGCCAGGAAAGAAAAGGGGGTGTAATGCAATAGTAAAGAAAAAATTGAAAAAATCAAGTCAATTAAGATCTTTCTATTGATATTGCTAAAGAAAACAGGCGCACAGACAAGATAGTGACAATATAGAGTCGTTTAACAGCCCAGAGGAACAGAGTCGGCACACACATTACCTGCGACTTTAAATACTGACAATGGCCATTCAAATCCGTTAGAAAACCATGACATTACAATAGAAGCCAGTGGCCTACATTTCAATGAAAATGAAGACCTTGTGCGAAAGGCAGATAGTCTCATTTCTGCTCTAAGGGACAGTGTCTCTGAAAGTGTCAAAATAACGGATATACATGTGTCTCGTCTACCTGCACGACTTGAAAATAAACCCGGTCTTGTGAAAATCAGCTTCCGCAACAGAGAGGAGAAAGTTCGGGTATTAAGAAACATAATGAAACTGAAAAACTGCGAGTCTTATAAATCAGTGTATACAAAAAGCATCAAATCCAGAGCGTCTTATTGAAAGCAATACACGCGCAATACTCCGTAGTCTGTCGCAAGCGCAGAACAAATCACCCCGTGTGGATGCAAATGGACGCATTACAAACCGTAACCTAACCCAACAAATTAACCACGAAGACAATGAGGCATACTCGTAATATTCCCGCCGGAAAAGATTCTAGGTACTCCACTGGACTACAATGATGAAATCCACTGGACTTTCTCAAATCAACAACGACTCTCATTGACTGTATTCATTGCAGAAATTTTATTTCAAATGATATTAATTTTACTATGGATGACTGTAAAGAATTTACAATTTTGAAAACCGTCTATCTAGATAAAATAAACCAGGCAATTCCATCAGTTAATCAGTTAAGATCACGAGATGTATATTAGAGCTAGATTATGTATTAATATTTTTTATAAGGTGACATATAGGCCCAGCGGGCCGGGTGTTAGTATTCTGATGATATTATTGTAAGGCTGTTCTTATTGTTTAACACATGTCACTATGATAAATAAACATTACTGAACTACTCTTCCAGCTTTATCATTCGCCATTTTAGGTCACCTGTGTCAGTCGGGTAATCTATTGTTTTCTGTTTTTGTCCGTCATCGTTCGTCTTCCTTAAACATTTGAACATTTTCAGCTTCTTCTCTGGAAATCCTGAACTTTCAACCAATTTTGGCATATAATATTTATGAGTATGCATGGGGGATATTATGAATTTCACCGGTTTCTGTCCACCTGGGATCTGAGTGGTGGGGCTAAATCACCAAAACTAATGCAATCTTTAAAAAATCTTTACTTCTGGACATCAAGAAGTTAGACTGTTGGCATGATTGTAATAAGTATTGATCGATTCCTCTGTCAAAACTTTGAAATTTATGGCCCCAGGTCCAGGGGCTCTGGTGGTAGGGTGGGGCTCTATAGATCATATAGTGAAATGCATTTATTCTTGGAACGTCTTCTCTGTCGCTGAGTATTAAGAAGACAAGCTATAAATACCTGATTATAATGAAAAAGAGCTCTCCAAAGATATTGAGAAAATCATGTCCCCTTGGTTCAGGGGTCAGAGATTCTGGAATAAATGAAAATACATTAAAAATTTGAACCTGAGTATTAAGCATACAAACTAAGTACATGATTTTAATTAGAAATTGTGAAATTCATGGCCCCTGAGACAGGGGTTCTGGAGATGTGGTGGGATTCAATTATAATCGTGTATGAAAATAAGAGAAGTTATTCTTTTAAGTTATTCGCTTATGACAATTAACCAGTGTATATAATGTGTAATATGTAAATTGAATAGACATGTAGACTTGTAAAAAATAAAAGTTTTAAAATGAGACAAAAATATCTTATGCAACTATTATTCAAAAACCAAGAGAGGCCAATATGACGTTGGAATCGTACTGGGTGTACTTGTTTAATGCTTAGTAATAAGTATTATTGTCCTGTGACAATTGAAGATAGAGTGTTGATAGCACTTGTATATATACAAGCAAGTTTCTCAGTTGTTGCTGATTACCAGACCAGCTATTTTTCCCTGATCATCCTTTTCCACCTTATTTCTGAGTTCCAGAGTATTTTGTGTCATTACAGAATTATTTACCATTCCATGAATCCTCTACAGTGTTGCATTACACTCAGGTGACTGTTAAGGGCCTTTGGCTTTAAAAAAATTCTATAAGGTTTGCCTACACAACTTGGATTCAAAAAATAATTCTTCTTATGATGCCACTGTTTTACATCGCAAGTAAAAATACAGTAGGTGAAGATAGATGGACTAATACAAGTTGTAAGCATTTTTCAATTTGTTGACATGTATGAAAGTATTTTATACAAATGATAGATAGACTGTTTTTTTTTATTGTAATCTGTCTTATTTTAATTTTTTCATAATCATTGATTTATGACTTGATATCGATATTATGACAAAGGCACAGTTTTTTTTTTTTCGGGGGGGGGGGGGGCTTCAACTAAATAGGAATTGCGTCACTACTGTGTTAATGATAGTTTTTTTTATTCCCATTGTAAGGCAAATTGATGTATCATCAATTAATTTGTTAAATTCTAATATTATTTATCCAAGTTTACACCTCACGTCTTCTTGTTGGAATAAACGGGACATAATGAAGCAGTATATAATAATTTCAGAAATGAAGATTAGAAACCTCGTTTCCAGATAGAAATGTTATCCTTCGTATCGTAGGTTATGAATCTGATCCCTATTATCAAACTTCACTACCTGGAGTGAAAAAACGGGTTATCATATTTTTCGAAGTGTGAAAATATCTACATTTTTAAGAAGATATCGTAATGTTTAATGTCTTGAATATTCTTTCTTTATGATAATATATATATATTTCTGTAGACTATTGACATATACATGTATGTGTACAAATACCTGAAATACTAGTATTACAATGAGTACTCAGATTCCCTGATTTACGTCTCTATTGCGCGCATCATTTTAGCAAATTAATTGTTGCTTCCAGCAATCGAATTAATGTGCGCAATAATTCAGAATTTAAGATATCATTAATTAATTATTTGAAGACATCTTCAATTAAATTCTTGCGCGCATCAAATGAATTGTTTTCAAATAATTTAAAATATCTTCAATTAATTTAGCGCGCCATGCAAAATTCTTTGTTATTTTTGATTTGCCGTTTTACAATAACAACAGATATTGGCTTTTCCCCAAAAAATATCACGACCAAATTGCAAATAATTGAATTATTGATCAATGATTCCTATTTCATTCTCAACATGTATATGCACATGCAAAATTTCTTCTTTTTTTGTCGGGGTGGGGGTGGGGGTTACTTTTAAAACACTAGTCGGTTATTTATAAACACTACTCACTGTAACGTGTATGATAGGGTTCTTACAAGGGATAAATACGTTTTCTTCTTACTCTATCTGAGTCAATGATTGAATAATCATTAAGATCGCTCTGTCTGAGGGTAAATCACACAGTACAAAATTTTTTTCTTATCTATAGACGGGGACTGGGTATGGTTCTTCTTGCACCGTGTTTCTCCCCTAGGTTCAGTCAGAGACATAACATAATTTATGTCTCTGGTTCAATCCTCTTCGGATTTACTACACCCGGAACTTAACATCAATTCCCTAGGATAACCTGCCACTGGTGCTTATTCTGTTCTTACCCATCTTTATTTTCTCTGCCAAATTTTTCATCCATCTTCTGCTTCAGCCGTCACCATCTCAATGCCTGACTTTCCCAAAGCTTCTCTTTATATACCCTTGGGCACAGGCACCTGATGTAACTTATTTTTCTTTTCATAAAAAAAGCTAATTAATTCACATATAAGGTAGGGGGTATATTTTTTTATGAAAAGAAAAATAAGTAATGTCAGGTGCCTGTGCCCTTGGGCTAGTACTAGTCAGGTCATTCTATTATTTGAGGTCTTCATTGCGTTTATATAAAATGCCCCTTAACCATTGCATCACTATCAGTAAATTGTTTAAAGTTATCAGGGATTTCTATATGTAACTGTGAAAATATGAGACGAAAGAAAATTTTAAAAGAGAACAGAGAAATTGTCAGTGGGTTATAAAAGATGATGTTACCACCTTGAGAGAGAGAGGGGGGTGGGGGGGGGGTGTAAGTTGGGGACATGAAAAAATTATCTTCTGAAAACAATTATCTTCGATCCTTGATTAAATCGTAAATAAGTATATCATTAACCGTATACGATCTTTGCTTGCTGACATCTGCTCATACATTGGGGAAAAGTTCTTGTTGCAGGCGTGGATCCAGGAATCCCCCCCCCCCCCCGGGAGGAGGGCATTTCCTTGACAAACAAAAAAACAAAAAAAAAGGTAACGCCATTTCCAAACGTGAAAAAAAAAAATACTTCGTGGTGAGGTGATGGGTTCTTCCTCGTTTTCTGGGGTGGGTGGGTTTCAAAGTCAGATTTTTTCTTTGCTTCAGTATATATATTTAATAACTCTGCAAATTCCACTAGGGTCCATCCCCATCCCTAATCTCGGTGGAGATTCGGCTAGATATTTGGGTGAAGGCTTCAACCAAATATCTACTCGAGCCGAATATCAACCGAGATTACCCGCCCCCTATAGATTCGCGCATGCTATTGTTTTGTACTTCTTTAATAGTGTTTTAATTCAAGTACTGTATACTGTACTTTACAAAGGAAATTATTTCGTTTTATGTTTCGGCATATGACATACTAAGTAGTACTTAGGTATTAAGATTGCGCATAAGACATACAAGTATGATAAGTTAAGATAGACTTGTAAAAACATTAAAAGCTCGGGATCGAAATACATTTTGTTTCGAGAGAGGTGAAGGTCGTTGAAACGAAACTGAACAAATTCCGATGGCTTTGACAAGGGCACTGGCGAGAGTGCGTATTTTACATACGTCCGTTCGTTTGTTAGCCACCAAACCCGAAGAAGGTAGATTTGTTGATGAAGTAACACATACAGGACAGGTCAGTTAGAGTATTAAAGCTTTGCAAAACTTGAAATACCTTATACCATTCAAATATCATAGATTTGATCATTGCATGTTTGCTCTCTTCAGATGTGTAGGAATTATGTCAGGGATTTTATATCGTATTGACGCAAAGAATTCTGAAATATGAATTATACCTACTTTAAGACAATAGGTATCAGCCATATGACTTTGATGTTCGGTTCCCACCATTTTTGTATTTCAAATGAAAAATGAACTTGACACTCCTTGCACAGGCATATATTGTACAGTGCATTAGCGCTTCATGAAAACAAAACCAAAAAAAAAGAAGAAGAAGAAGAAGAAGAATGTGTGAAAAGTCTTATTTCATCTCCTTCATGAGCTTTTGAGAAAATGAAGGACATTTTAAGTTAGAGAGTTTTTGAAATCCACCGGTCCCACCGGCAAAACCAGTAAATATTTCAAAAGTCCGGTAATTTTCTTCATGTAATCGGTTCAAACGACCGATAAAATTTTTTGACCTTTCCAGAATTTTAACCTCTTGATTTGTGGATGTTAAGTTTATTTGTGAGATTGTCAAAACGATTGAATCTGCGTGTATGATAGAATAAACTCAAGTGCTTTTAGGACAGTTAGTTTTTCACAAAATGGCAGCGCCATGGCCTAATAAATTCGGTAAAAGAAAATCTGATCCATTAAAATTACCCTGGGTGATTTTTTTTCTGCCAAATCTGTTTGTTCAATCAGGTGATTCAATTTATACAAAAATTTTAATCATAGCCTTATTTGGGATATAACATTATCAACCTTATCACCATTTACGTTAAATATAAAGAGCAATCATCCATTATTGTTACATCAAGCATTTCCCCCACATTTAGAAGTTCGTTTTCTGCGCTTAGACAGCCATGTCGGGTGTTCACTTAAATATCACAAATGGTTAATTCAGTCTGGGGATGTTTGACCCAATTATTCATTAGCAAAAAATAAAAAAAAAATCCCGACCTACCGACCCTTGGTTTTTTGAGAATGTTACAGAAAAACAAAAATAATTTTTTTTTAAAGCCTAACTGGAATTAAAGCAATTCCTCATATTTTTTTTATTTTATTTTTTTTTAGTATTTCAATATGTTTGCTGATGGACCAGTGAATATATGTGTGGACCAGTGAATTTCACTAAATCACTGGTCCACTTGACCAGTGAATATTTTTATATTTCAAAAACTCTGAAGTTATCAACTTTATCAATCAAGTTGTCATGAATTTTAAAATCTATGGAGGAATTGGGTAGACTTTACTTTACCGGTCCCCAGATCCGCAAGATCCGCGTGCTCATTGCATTATGATGTAAGCTTTACATCGCTCAACTGATAAGGGTTAGTCTTGCACATTTTTGGACTGGTTAGGGTTAGTCTGGCACCCACCTGAAAGATTAGGGTTAGTCCTTGCACAAGTTTTCGACTAACTAGGGGTAGTCTAGCATCCATCCGAGAGATTAGGGCTAGTCCTCACACAAGGGATAGTCTAGCATCCTCTTCGAGAGATTTGGGTTAGTCCTTGCTTACATGTACCATCCGAGAGATTAGGGTTAGTGTCTTGTTCTTTTAGATTAATTAAGAAATTTAGTTGCTTCTGTATTTTTCACAAGATCTTAATTCAGCTTCAACGACATCTCGTTGGTTTGTTTACATAAAAAAATGTCTAAGTAGGAAAGAAAGCACTAAGCATGCGAAGCACGTGCTTCGTTGACATTTATTAATCATCTCCTTTGCACTGAACAAACAATATTTATTGCTTTTTTCTAGAGAATGAGGTTAAAAACTTCATTAAAAACGAAGTTTTAAACTAAACTTTTAGCCATAGAATTCGATTTTGGGCTCAAAAAGGCTTAAAACCTCATACTTTTTATTTTTTTTGATCTCGTATATATTGAAGTTGCCTATGGCGACACTGTATTTTAGCACGTTTTTCTGGGGACCGTTAAAGTGAAGTCGTTCTGAGGAATTATTTGTTCTCAATCAGCATGTGATGGTTTGAATTTTTGTTTCAAATAACTGCAGGTTATTGTGGTGTCCTTTACAGTTTTTTTAGTATTTCATTGATAGTGAGATCATAATTAATTGACGTTGAAGAAATAGTTTTATATGTATTTATGCTCATAATACATACATACATTCTTACACATATACATTCATGCTGGGGTCGTTCAGGAGAGAATGAACTAAATTTTTATAAATCAATCTTAAAAGAAAACAACTATGTATAGATCTATATTCTTTTATAACATGCACAATTTTTAGGTTCTCTTGTGTTGCAAATTTTTTTTTTTAAAATTATGTGCAAGAAGTTTCAAACTTGTTTTTACAGGTGTGGGATAAAGATGATTACAGAAGAATTAGATTTATAGACAAAAAGAAGCTGGTAAGTGAACAAGTATTTGTAAAGCATATATATATATATATATATTAGGGATGTCAATTTTGTCAATAATTCATATTCGAATATTCAATGAAAGTATTCGAATATATGCGAATATTCGATAAAATAAATAAAATCTGGTTTATTTTAAAATGTACATCATACTATCATGGCAGGTTTTGCGTCGGTATTTGGAAGAAAAAATTGGAGCTTGAATACTGTTCGTTACCTCCATATATTTTATGTAGTCTTTTTGTAGGTATGCAATAACGAAATCTACATTTGATATTTGTCAATATTTAAAATAGATAATTGATTAAGTGTATACAACTGAAATATAATTTTAACAAAAGCTCAAACTGACGAACCAGTCGTCAAACCAGGGGCAAGATTGTCGTTTACTCTTCAGGTTTAAGTACACGTAATTATAATTACAATTATCTGCTTAATATGAGATAGGATATAATCTTTGAAACAATGTTTTGAAATTATAAACAAACACTTCGATAGACAATTATCCTAGGTCATTAATATCTCAATATTGATTTTAAAATTTAGGAATATATTCAACCCGAGATAATCAAGTAAATGATGCATTATTCTGAGATTGAGCCCTTTATATTACAGGCTGATTCTATCAAAGATGTACATGTAATTCAATGATCAATAAAAATTATTTTCATAAGTACACTCTTCACGTGTCTCTTAGACATTCAAGGTGGGTTTCATTTTGTTGTCCTCGATTCTAGATCCAAGCATATTAAATTATTGAACGTTCTTTTTGTATTATACATTAATAATTCTTGTTTATTTTTTCATACCTTACTCAAAATAAAATAATTTAGAAGATCTATAAGATAAGAAAGTAGTGAAAGAAATCAGGGGATCACTAGTAAATAAGACGGGGGTAATTCCAGCACTCTTTTACGATCTCTTTTTTGTGAAATCTGAAAAATACCGAATATTCGAATCTTAAATCCATATTCGAATATTAACTCATTGAATGAATATTTGAATATTCGTTGACATCCCTAATATATATATATATATATATATATATATATATATATATATATATATATATATATATATATATGTAATATAATTTTTTTTTATTGCCATACATATTGTATGTAACAAGGATTGTCAGCCTAGTAGCTCAGTGGTAGAGCACTGGCATGGTTAGTGGGAGGTCCCATGTTCGAGATATATATCATATATGATACACAACAACAAAACCAACAGGTATTCCATGAGTTCAGTGAGGTTTTCAGAATGGAAAATCTCCAAAAATCAGAATGGAAAATCTCCAAAAAAGGTGGTAGCTGTGTGGTAGAGCACCAACACAACCAAGGTCTCGAGTCCCAGTCTGCTGACACTTTCCCCCATCTGTTGTATGTATGTAGTCTGATAGACATGATAGAGTTGGTTTTAATTAGTTTGTGATAACAGAATTGGTAATTGTTGTGTATACATTTTAATAAGTGTAGTTATATTTTCATGTGTTCAGACTAAAGTGTATAAAATGTCTTGTGCTGTTGCTAAAAATACTGGCATTATCTGGCACAGTTGATCATTGGTATCTCTAACACTGATATCTTGAATACCATGGATATGTCTAAGTGATCTGAAAGTCCCAAACACGCGAATAGTAAGTTTCTGTGGACGACCTAAATTCCTCAGATACATGTATCTCGGACGACATATTGCAGTTATTATTGCTTATAACTACCAAACAGTCGCGAGGAAAACAAATATTTTATGAAATCAGTGTTTTGATTATCTACTCTTAATTATTTTTTGAAATAAAATTAGCAACATTAGACCTTACGAGTACTGGACACACAGTGGTTTTTATAACCCGCGAGTATCAACTGTGTATACAAGGCGGGTACATGAAAGTGTTTAATGCGTGACCAGGCAATTGTCTTCAAAACATGCAAACTCAGATTATCAGGTAGCGCAGGTAGCTGGCCTGTCAATCAAATCAGAAGCTATTGTTTTTTTTATGATTGACAGGCGGTAATTTATTGATCTTGATTCAGGTAGATTTGGGGGGCATTAACATAAAATTGGGTGATTAAGCATTTTACCCTCAAAATCTCAAATCCCCGGATATCTATGAGTTTTTTCTTGGACTCATGAAGTTCAAGATAATGGGGTTTGACTTTTATTTTTTTTTCAGTATCGGTAAGCAAATTGCAAGCTCCATTGAGATCCCAAAAAGTTTTCTGGAACTGTCAATTTATATGCCAAAAAATGATAGAAATGAAAGGTAGACTTCATTTAAATTCAATGAATTTAATATTGCAGGTCAACAAGAATTTTGCCATTAATCTGATTGCTGAGGACCCTGTTGTTGTTTGTCCAGAGAAAACTGTTTGGAGTAATAGTGGTGGTGCTCTGGGCCATCCTAAAGTCTACATTAACCTTGTAAGATACAAAGTATTATTTTATCACAGTCACTGAAGATATAAACCATATACTTTACTCTTAACGATGATAATTATCAATATAAGGAAACCTGACAGTTTATTTCATTGTTATTAAAAAAATAATAATTAGAATATTAAAGAACTTTATTCTGTTTGAAAAATATAAAATTCTATAATTCCAGAAAGTGCACAGCATTTTTATTACAGGTACAATTTTATATGATGTGTAAAAAAAAAACCTGTTAAACTTTTTATTTTAATCTACTGTTTTAGTGTCAAAGTAAATTTAAATTTTACCATCCCCCCTCCAAAACACAAGAAAAAAAAGAGGATCAAGAAAATATATCCCTGTCCTTATTTAGCATTTCTTGTTTTCTCAATATATTCTCTAGTTAGGGAATGTTTCAAATACATGTACATGTATTTTGAGATAGAGTGGCATGTTTTCAGTACACCCCAAAGTCTTCTGCAATATCAGTAAAAAGGTTTTTAATTTGGAATTACTTTTTTAGGACAAACCACAGATATCAACATGTGGATATTCTGGGAGAAAATTTATATACAAGGGCTTTTATAATGAGGCTGAACATGGACCCTCTATAACATATGATCAGTATCTCGAGGAAATGAAACCAAAAGAACGAGACTAACTTCAGAAAGGAAAATGTGATATAGGAATACACTACAGATATTGTTTGTAATGTACAAGGATTAAAACCTTTGACTTTTCAATAAAATTAAGTGAAATTCTACAGTTTTATTATATTGGGTGCAAAATGTTGCAATTGTTTCATGTAAGCTATGCATTTTAAGGATGCATGCATGGGGGAATGTATTGCTTGTAAAATAATACATGTAGAATGTTTGGCTTACCAAAACTTCAGAAGGGTAAAACATGAGTTATCTCTGTAAAGTTTAATACAGATACTAATTGTGTTTTTGATGGAGTTATTGTTCTTGGGTCGTTTTTATTTAAAAGTGACTTAAGATTGACAGGTGAATTTTGCGTAGGGTAAATATTGACTCCATTCAAAAACCAAGAGTCCTGACTCGAACTGAGTTGATTTTAGGGTTTTAGTTGACAACTAGTCTATTATAGGTTACCATTTAGTTTATACATAATTTTATTCACATGAAGTGAATGGGATTGGGCAGCAGGCATAGCTTTTTTTAGCCCTCTCCCTACAGCAATGCCAAGGTTTGACGATTTGACTAGTAACCAATTTTTTTAAGCATTTGACTAAAATCAAGCATAATATTAATTGAAATATTTCATTGTTCCTACTAAAAAGATGCCATAGGCCTATAAAAGGCTATATACACATGTATGCTGACTTGGTTATTTTTTGTCGTTTTAAGTTATCCACGGGCTACTAAATTCGAAGCGATGCCATCATGCCCATGGACATTTTATAATAAACCTAATATGTTGGAGTTTGGCAAGAATCAATTGCATTGTAATGGAAGCAAATTCTCTCAGTCTTTTTTTTTTTTTTTTTTTTTTTTTTTTTTTTTTTTTTTTTTAATAAAAAATCATTCAGTATATTTTCATTGATCTTATCTCAAACTGGAGCATATGATTTCGATTGACTATATATGAAATATTTTATGGAGTATATTGACATGGAACATTATATCCAGGTTAACATAATCTGAAAAAAAAAATTTACGTACATGTATCGTACTGCCTAATATTACTAGAATAGAAACGAGCCAACAAATAATTATATATAAATTTAATTACTATGTAGTGTACAGTTATGTACATAAATGTTCTACTTGAGTATCTCCACTCTGATGTCGGGACTGAGAGTATTATGTTTTGATAGACACTTCCTGTAGAAGACAACAGAAGTTCCGTATAATTTCGTCCAGTTTGTGATGCTGTGTGCCATGTTTCCGTTGACACTCATCTGATCTACATCAGAGTTTCCATCAGCTACCCACATCGACATAAACGTTAAAAATGGGTATTTCTTGCGATTCTTGTAGGTCATGTCAGATACCTTTAGGATCGTCTCCGCAAATGATGATCTCAGATGCAACTTGGCACTGTTTCCATTTTCATATAAGATTTTTATCGTCATCTTTTTAACATCAATGTCAATAGTTTTTATGTTTGCGGACGGTCGACGCTTAATTGGGTTTGATTCTCCAAGCAGTATGGACGATCCAAAGGGGATCCAGTCAACCCCAGGGGGTGTGATGGGTAGCAGACGAACCATTCCGTCCTGATAGATCACCATCGTCTGCCCATATCCGCCATTTGTCCAAGGGATCTTTTGATAAAATCGAATATAATCGGCATTTTTGTATTCTCGATCACCAATTTTTACCGTCATTTTCTTATTGTACTGCCACCAGAAATCCACATCAACTCCTTGGATAATTATGTCGCCGTTATCGTGATAATCGAATGCCTTTTCTTCCTTTTGGGGACGTTTTCGAAGATTAATTGTCTTAAATTCAATAGTTCTATTGAGATTTTTTGGAATTAATATTTTGATTGCATTACTTGGTCCTGCTGTCCAGGAGAAATCAGGAATTTCAAGTGAATAATTTAATGCCCCTGGTTCAAATGTATAGGATATGGGCTCGGTATACTGTTCTTGACGGTCTAAGTAACTAAAACCAAGCTTTATCGGTTCTTTCAGCGAATCCTCTAACTCTACAGTTAATATTGATCCAATTTCTGAATCTGGAAATCCTTGTTTTGGTCCTTTAAGAGCGAAAAAGACAACTATAACATTTGAACTGACTTCTTCTGAAAACGTTAAAACAGCCCAACCTTTGCGTAACTTTTTTTCCTTGTTTTCTTGATAAGTAATATTATCAAAACGCCAGAGTCTTTCTACTGCCATATCGCAGTTTTCCCAGTCTGGGTCGCGGACGTTTGCAAAGGCTCTATACTTTGGATGCATGGCGCGAATTTCTATCAACTTTGCAGAATTGTGGTAAAATGGTATTTTAATGTTATCTATTTCTGCACACTCCGTACTTTCACTCCTCTGCTCGATTCTAGCACTGGCAACAAAATCTCGGCCTTTCACATGCTCGTAACTGATTTCATCGAAGCAGAAAACATTGCACCGGAAGACTTGCTTCTGTATATTGTCATCACTGACCGTTATTGATATTTTGTCGATTTCAACACCGTACTGGTCGCTCTGTGTAAGCTGGAGAACAAGTGTATGTCTCCCGGCCGGAAGTCGATGAGTATGTCCAATTCGTCCTGTTGGAACATATTCATTCCACCCTTTCCCTCCTTGACTTTTGGAATGAGTCTGAAAAGTTCCGATTTCCTCCCAGTTGAGGAGAACAGTGAAACTATCTTCTTTACCGTCATTTGAATACAGAATATTGTCGACTCGCACATCGGACTCTTTTGCCAAACAAAATTCAAATTTCAATAATCCCCCTTGTGACATTAACATCCAGAGTGCACGATTATTTGATGCCGGTTTTCTTTCTGTTATAGTAGATGTATTTCCGGCTTGAAAATCCTCTGCTTCCAGCTCAAATGTTTGTTCTCCATATACAGCTGAAGGAAACAGTAGTATAAGAAAAATCACTTTTCCAGAGTCCATGTCGAAATTTTGTCATTAACACGAAATTGTGAAAAATTATAATTTTCTGTATTGTTAATGTAAAATAATTAACACAATGCCTTGTGGACAAACAAAATGTTTTGCATTATAAGGCAGATTTTATTATTTGCGCAAGTCGTTTCTCTGTAGGCGTTGGTTTACAAAGAGGTATATACATCATTACTGTAGGCATGTGCACTGACACAACGTTTAAGGTGCTCCTGAATTGATTGATTTTACCTAATGAAGAGAATCTAAGTAATGCAAATCAACCTAAAGTAAAGGTCGTGCTGTACGCCCGTTTCCTGCTATATGTCTTCACGTCACTCGTCCAGGGATAATTATATTACTTGGCAGAAATCTGCAACGTGTTAAAATCACCGCGCCTTCTCATGTTTACCTGGATTAAAATTAATTCGTATGTTGGAACTTCTGTGGTATATCTCATATGTTTTGTTTATGCAAAAGACTTAAGTAGATATTTAAGTCGAATTCAATGTATTAATTATAATCCCTGACATTATATGAAGCAACAATGGAATAAACATACATGTAAACAAGAAACAAAATATGAAAATAATGTCTTACAATATTCGGGCAATATTTTTTTTCTTTTGAAATGTAGAAATATATTGTGTCTCCTACGTATGCGTATGCACAATGCATAATTAGTCGCATTCTAAAAGATTAAACAAATCATTTTTTATTTTTTCATTACCATTTAATAACATCCAACTTTCATAACAAAATATACACACTGTATTTGATTTTATTATAGCGATGACGAAGCCTACAGGTCAAATAAATTAACCCTATTCAACTTTTCTTATTTCCACCTAACACAAAGGACTGGACAATAATGTACTAAGGCAGATGTACATGTGAAAAAAAATTCATATATCATCGTTTTAAGCCATCGTTTAAAAAAAACTAGATTTGGAGATTCTCAACTAGTAATTTAAGTAACTTCTACCAAAGGAAGCTTTTAAAGTAAAAAGGAGACGAGAGCTGCACAGAGTATTGAAATAAAACGTTTTTTTTCTGAAAGATGCCACTGGACAATGATCGACGCAGATGAATGAATTGGATCTTTGTGTGAAGAGTTGTTTTTTTTCAAGCGCCTATTTTGATCCACCATTCATTTGATTTGTCTCTGTCAAAACAATGGTGTTCTCTAGAATGAACGAGTCTTCTGTCACCGCTTCCATGCTGTCAAACTTACTGGTACTAGAACTATCCGGTAGTTTCGGACTTACATTGTGTTTTTTGATTCGATGATGCACAATAAAAGCGAATCCTACAGTAAAAGCAAGAATTAAAACAGCACTCAGAATTTGTAGGAATATCAGAACTCCCTGGTTAGCCTCCACTTCCGAGGAAACGACAGGGGTACTCTGGACAACGCCAACTTCTAACACAGCAATCTTAGTCCGACCAAGACTTGACACCTCTGTGGCCTAAAATAGAGAGGACACTATAATTTTCGTTCAGGTTTCAGCTGCATGGAATCATTCATTTTCAAACAAAAGAATTTAAAATAGGTGACAAGGGGCACGTGGATAACTCATTCTACCTGAATTATCATCATAAAGCTGTGAGGGTCGTCCTCGGTTACTTCCCTTGTTTTGTTGACATGGCCATATTGTGAATTTATGGTGAAGTATTCTTCAAAACCAAATGGCTCACCTGTTAGAGATTGTTTTCATTTAAACCAAATTGCGTAACATATTTTTTTTATTCAATAAGTAAAACAATTTAAAACTTACCGTAAAGAATAGAGTATGTGACGTTATTTCCGGTTATATCTCCGTCAGTTGCCCCTATTCCACCAGGACTTGTTTCTAACTTTCCCTGGAGAACAATTTTCAATTTATTTATCATTCATATGTATTGAGAAAATAAAGGGAGCTAGCGGTGTACACAGAAAGTGTAAATCAGAAAGGTTCAGAATTGGAGAATCTATCAGTCTGAATTCTTGCAATGTTTTCTGACTTTTCTCTTGGGGAACTTGAGGTGTACAAAGATATTGTAAACTGGAGGGGTTCTGTGTAATCTATCAATTTGCTTTCTTGCTTTATATTATAACTATTTTCTGATGGAGCTAGCGGTTTACACAGATACTAGTAGCGTAAATTGGAAGGGTTCAGTTTTGGAGAACCTTCTAATATTGTTTCACTTTTGGGTACTCTGTCTTTTCTCTGAGGGAGCTTTCGGTGTACTAAGGCAGTATTTGTTAATGAATTGGATGGGTTCAGTGTTTGAGAACCATTCAATATTAATTTCTTTTTGTGTATTCTTACTATTGTCTGAGGGAACTAGCGGTGTACATACACAGAGTACTTTGGAGGTGTTCGGTGTTGTAGAACCAATCACTATAATATTATATTATAGAAGATATCAGTACTGATTCCTTGGTATGTATTCTGACTTTTCTCTGAGGAAGCTATGGTTGTACATAGACTAGATAGTGCTGGAGAACCTTACAGCACTGATTTCTTTAAATTAATTTAAGTTTTTCAAATTAAGTTTAATTTTAAGTTTGAATTAAGTTTAATTTACCTTAAGATGACAGCATGCTTTGTCGTAGCTGACTAAATATCCAGACAATAAGTGCTAAGAGATATATTTAAGAGAACTTATAATTACTGAATAGTTACCCTACTGAGGTGGTAGTATATCCTAGCTGTACACAGTTGGATAGTCAGTGTAAAAGGAAATACACAATTTTCTTACCGTATATTCTCTTACGGAGCTGGCCGTGTATCCAGACAAAGTACAATTTGTAGATTCTGTATTGGAGAACACAGGACCATTATCATCTTCATCAGTAACTGTGATTGTCATCTCTTTATTCTGTTAGACAAGGTCAGATAGGAATTAAGGATTGTAATTATTCATAAAGCATTGAAACTTTATAGATAGATAAAGGGCATATATTCACCTTTCCATTTCAATCCCGATATCGCTATTCTTTTATTCCAGCTTTTCATTCATTTTCACCATGACAAGTTTGAACATTCTTTTGAAAACACTGTGCATAAATCGCTTCTATGATTGACAGGACGACCAAAATATATTTGCTAATGGATTTACACCCATCATTATTTTATTAGCATACATGTTTTAAAAGGGTTTCTTGTTTGAGAGGTCTGTTAATTTGTAATATCTGCAAACTCAAATTTGTATTAATAGGTATGATATCCAAGTAATTTGTTCTTGCTTTTTGAAGATCCCATGGCCTTACTACAGTATTCAATGCTTTTAAAAGTACTTACGAGGTTTTCACAGGAAAATTCTATTTGGAAGTAAGTTAATGCGTATTTATCCTGAAAAAAAGGCAAAACATTAGCACTCTGACGAAATCATTTTCTCTGTAGAATAAAGCTTGAGGAACAAACGTTTCATGTAATCTTGCAAATGGGCAAATCCTCCGTATATGCCACATTAAAGTTAAACTTCTAACTGATTGTCAGCAATTTGTTGAAGGAGGAATAACTTACGTTTTCCGTGTAAATGTATTCAACATCAATGGACTTTTGTAGAATCAAAGCCCACATGTGTTGGTCATGTTGAACTTTTATGTAATCTGTAAGGAAGACTCTCAATTCTGGGGGATAAACAATATCTACATATATACTGTGGGTGAAGGGTGCTGTAAATGTCACATTCACCAGAGATGTGTCTACAAAACAAAACAAATAACAAATAAACTGACAAGATTGAAACTGTAATCAGTAGTACCTAAGTATGAAAAGTATAAATAAATATTCAATAGTTTATCAATTTTGTATTTTACTTGGCTTCTTAGATTCTGTAATGGTGATGTTCTGTGGAAGATCACTGAGGAATGAACTGCAGTTCCTAGGTCCAGCTGTGGATTGCGTGAGTACTATAAATAAACAATTACCATCTACAATATACTAAAAAAGTCATAATTCACTATTTAAGTAGAAAATTATTGCTTCAGTAAAAGAACTAATAATAATAATAATGATAATAATAAAATGGATTTTTTTCTTTTTACTCTATATAGAAGATCAAGGTGCGTGAATTCAGAATATATGCATTAAATCATATTTCAATCATGAAAAAAAATATGATTTCATTGTTATTTATGAGAGCAAATACGGGTAAAACACAAGAACATGTACCCTTCCAGTGATAGATGATGAAACAGAATCCAAGTGCGACATGTATCCTCATATTCACACACTTTTTGAAACAAAAATATTCTCTCTGAACATTTCCACCAATTCATGACCATTGAAATCTTGTTTAAAGTATTGAAAACTTACTAAAGCTAGAGATAATACAGTTCTTTTCTGAATGTCTTATCTTATTTATTTTGTAACTGATAAAATCCATTGATACTGTACGGGACCTATAGTTGATACCAATACAAATATGTTTTTCCCTCATGTATAAGTATAACAAGAAAAACAAATCTGACTACTATAATATTTAATTCTATCCCTCTACTGGATTAAATTATTTCTTATTGTTGTTGGCCATGGCCTAACATCGTGTCATTATATGGGCGTATAAAAAAAAAGCAAGGTTACACGGATTGTCAATGATGAAATGTTGTCCGAGTTTAATTTTGGAACCTTATTACATTCAAATGAATTCAGACTTAAGAACAAGAATGTTGTTGCTGTTAACCCTGTCATGTGATAAAAAAAAATGACTCAGTGTCCTATTTTGAATATGTGGCAATGACATATTGAAATTATATTGCAATACCTTTGGATTTCTTCATTGAAATTGAATTCATTCAATCTTTACTATGATTATGCTTATGAAGTATAGAGACAACGAACAGTATTCAAGCTCAAAGTCCATTAAAACAATACAAATCGGGAGCAGTGCAAACACGGACCTCAGAATATAGAGGTGGAATCATGTGCCATGGACGAGTGAGCATCCCCTGCCGACCGGTCATACCCGCCGTGTGCTCCTTGTCATGATAGGTAAATAACGGGAAAATCCGTCGACAATTCAGTGTGTAAATAATGACCTAACAATAAGTATGAAAAACGTCAGTCAGCATATGACTTAATGATAGATTGTATTTGCTGACAAAGTCATTGTATCGACCTTAGAACTTACGAAATGATGACTTTAAACGAGACTGTTGATATTCTTGTTTCACCAAATTGTTTGTCAATAACTTGCCTCATTCAAGAAATTGTTCATATGTAGAGCATGCTCTGGTGTATCGAATCATCTGAGAAATATACACCCCATATGTAGGTGATAAGGGTATATTGCTGCATAAGTAAGGGAAGTTGACGATTGAAAAGTTAAATTCATCACTTTTATCATAAAGCTTTGTTGTTAGATGAAGAAGATTTGTCAGACTCTGTGGTATTTTGTATCTCAAGCTCACCGGGATATATCGTGCCGACATAAGAATGGAAATAACCATTGTTAATAGACAATACGTCGTCGATATATCTAAATGTCGAGTTGAAGGCCACAACAAATGTTTTCTTCTTTTCACGTAAAAAGATTTTGAACAAATTCTGCTTCGTATCAATACAAAAATAGGTCTGCTAATAACGGGGCGCAATTGGTACCCATGAGAATTCCAATAGATTGTAAACCTGGTCTCCAAAAACCACAAAGATATTGTCAATCAGAAACTCGAGCATCTTTTTAATGTCAACTTCAGAGTAGTTGTGTGTACAATCAGAATGTTTTTAACAAAATAATTTTGCAAATGACCAATGACAATGTAAATAAATTTACGAGTTCCGTTTTTATTGAAATAGCAGCTGTCAATGATATCAAAAAGCCTGAACTTTAATTTATTATGGGGAATAGTTGTGTATAAAGTTGAAAAGTCTTAAGTTTTTAAGCTGTTGATTTTGGTAAAATCTTGTGATTTCAAATTTTCCAAAAGTTTCTTGGAATTTTTAAGTATCCACATCTGATTTTCACCACTTCTCGACCTATGACCATCATTGATCTATGACCTAGATGTGACATGATCTTTACTCCTGGTCACTGGACAATGTTAAAATGAAATGAAAATATACACAGAATGTAAATAATTAAATAGGGAGAAATAACTATATTTTCACCTTAAGAACCATATCTAAGAATTTTAAGTCCATAACACATTACTAAATTGCAAAAATATAACAATCCATAAAAAATTAGCTTTCACTTTCAATGATTCCACAATGTTAATATGCAAGTCCCAAGGACAGCATGCAAATCAGATAAAACGCATCAGACAGCTTGCGAATCAGATAATGTCAAACATGAAGATAATCAGTTAAATTCTGATTCTGGTTAATTCTTACAAAAGTCTTTTAAATTTTAATTGTATTTCTGTATTTTTAATGTATTATGTATAAAGAAAATACAGGTGTTTCAAATCTTCATGCCCTACATAAGCCATGGATTTCATATTCCTTAAAACATCTTTATCTTGCACTTGGATCCTGATTGCAGCGCGTAGGGCAGGATCAGCTTTGATTGATGACAAGGATATCTGGACATGCATTTTTAAATGGCCAAGAGACATATTTTTTTTATGAAATTGTCGTAGAAGACGCTTCTGAAATCTAACTATAGATATTTCATCGTCTATTGTCTTGATGATACTCGTGCAACTGTAATGTCCAGTTACAACAGCAATTTTTTCAAGTCAAGAAATCACGGAAATGCACCTAACAAAAGGATTTTAAAGCACAGAAAACCTGTCCCGTGTTAAAACCAAACCCGTACATAGAAAATCCATAAAGTCATAAATAAATCATAATGTAAAACAATTTTATAAATGGTGTGGAAGCAGGAAATTTGAAAAATTAATCTGTATGATTTATATGACATTTATTACTGATGAATATCTGTTTCAGGTAGTAATGAAACAGTACCTCTAAACCCACTGGACTGATGTTAAATTTTGTAATGAATACAAATTAAACTTAAAGCCAATGTATACAGATACCCTAACACCAATACCAATTTTCAATATCCAAATGTCCTTTATGACATATTTCATTTTATCAAAAAAATCTGCAACATGACTGAAATAGTCATGTTGCAGATTTTATTTGGTAAAATGAATTATGTCAGAAAGGACACAAACCCACAGTTTACAATAGAAAACTGGCGTGAAGTATATGTCGTATTAATCATTTTACTTCTTAAAAAAGAATTTGATTTTGAATTATTTTTTAATATGTCTTACTTGGAATTAAGATAAACAGGAACAACATTTGATATCATCCAAACTAAGTTCCAGTGAAGTCGTTGGTTAAAAAAACCACTCCATGTTGATGACACAGGAAATGGTAAAACAATCAATGAATCTATAGTTCGTCCAGCGCTCAGTGGGGCCGAAGGACGTAAGGTATTTATTAAAAAAGAATCAATTTCTTTGTTTAATCTCAACCATTATACACACAAACGTTAAGTGATCCAGCGAGCTTGAGGAGTCAGGAACAACTCTGTGAACAATTTGCCCATCCGCACAGTTAATTTGAAGTATATTTTCAAATGAGGGACTGTATTGATTTTATTTGTTCTTTCTCTTAAAGTTTTGTTATATGAATAGTAGTACATTTCAAGTGAAAAGGGATATAAATATGATAGCTAAATTATATTTTACTTAAAGTTTCCATGTGATTAAAACTTGCCATCTTAAATACATAAATATACAATTTTATAGTTTGTTGGAAAATGGCCATTCAAGGAAACAATATAGCTACTAGTATTTAAAAAAAACATTGAAAACATATTAGAATATTAGAATGTAAAATTGCAGAAAGTGATGGGAGACAGTTGATACGATACTCCTATATAAAAACATTGAAATAATAGAAACATGCAAAACTTCGAAGAAATTGATGAGAGACATTTGATAGGATACTCGCACATAAAAACATTGAAATAATATAGAATCATGAAAAACTCTGAAGAAAGTGATAGAAGACAGTTGATACGACACTTCTGTATAAAAACATTGAAATAATAGAAGCATGTAAAACTCTGAAGAAAGTGATGGGAGACAGCTATATATATTACCTCAGGATGAGGTAAGTTTAAAACTATTTGTGATGACGCCTTAAACAAGGTAATTTATACCTTCGAAATGAAATTTGAAAGCAAAGTTAGTAGGAGAAATGAATAAACACGGAGTGAAACGCATGCCTAAATGCATGACGTAAAATCAATACGATAACATACGGTAAAATGTTTAAAAACATACACCATTCATAATTAAACTTTTAGAATATCGCTTCATATATCATTTCTACTAAATTCAATTATAACGAACTATTGCATGAACTTATTTAATGACTTTCACCTTTCTGACAGTGTATATACTTTGAACTGTCGTTTTTGTCTACAAAACATACCATACAATTTATTATCATTATGATTAAATATAAATATATATAAACAGTCAAGATGACTAAGGCTTAAGTTTGGACGTTTAATAATTGTTGCATCATTTGTTGGAACAAAAGTAAATTACACTCAACACACACTTTAAAACCCAATACCTTTATTAGTGGAAATTTTTCAAATAAATAATTCTCTTTTGCATTTTATATCATCATTTAGTTGTTGAAAATTACATGTAATTAGTTTCAAATATTCTATGCAATAATTAAACCTTTTGTATGACTAATATCAAATATTACCTCTTGTACTTTCACATAGTTTCATAAGGTACTTTACAAAAAACAATCTTGAAAAGATGGCATGTTGTGTTATGCAACATGCCAATAAAAGCAAATTAAAAGCACTTGTATTATATATATAAACAAGGAAAATTTATATGATACAGATACTGGACACTGATTTTAATTGCAATAAACATTGATAATGGCTACAACGATTTAGGTTAAGATAATAAATACCAAACAAAGACAGGTGTATCAATAAGAATTTTGAACAGTGACAACTTGACATGTCTGTGTTTACACAGATATGCACCTTCTTCGTAATACAAATTACACCAAAAATCCATTTTCGTGCAGCGTTTATAACTCATTTACTGCCAACATAACCAAAGCTTAAGCATTCCATAACCTTACTTGTATTAACAGATATGGTCTCTTAGCCGAGTTTTGTTGTTATTTGATCAACAATGTCAACATAAAATGCTATCGGACCTCGAGTTTTATACCCCGGCTTCAATTTATTACCGTGTTTGAATCAATCAATTTTAGGTTTGGTGGGCAATCTAAATCCTACTTCTGATTTTTTTTTCTTCCTAAACTTTTGTCGATAAAGTTATCTTTCCTTTTTAAATTAATTTAAAAATAATGAAATCATTATAGATTTACTAGAATTTCCTGAAAAAAAAAAAGATGGTAAATTGATTTAACTCTCATAAATTATTTTGAAATGTGACTGATTTTGAAAACTGAAATGGCATATGGAAGTATCACACTTCAAAGTATGGTACACTAAATAAAAACTGTAAAATAACGAAGTGGTTTTTTTTGGTTTGTTGTTTATTTTTCAATCTATAAAATATCATTATTGTACATCTTTTTTTTTTTTTTTTTTTTATCTTTTTTATTGTAATAATTACATTGTTTGAAATTAACTATGTATCATTATTCTACATAGAGATGTAGTAAAACTAAATTGTTTAAAAAAAAACAAATAAACTGTGGTCATATCAAAATTGGTAAGTTAATAAATACCTTTTAGTTTGAATAAGTTCTACTGTTGTATACAAACACTTTTCTTGTGTTTGAGATAATGTCTACCTTGCATTTGTAATGATATCAAATGGGAGTCATTTACGTGTTTTGAGAGGACCTTATCAGCCCACACCTAGGTAACCTTTTCCTTATCAGCTGTTCCTACCCGAAGTAGTGGCTTATCAAGCTACCAGGTAAAGGACACTATCCAATATTCCGCGTTATAACAACTAACATGGATAAAATCCAAACCTGTACGGACACCTGTTACTAAGGACAACAATCTGTCGTGAATTTTTTTATTATTTTATGAGAATTACATTTTTCGTTACTTTTGAAATTATATACCAGTGCTCCAAAAAGAGGACAAGATGCCACTAGAATAGCCCTAAATCGTTCGGCCATCTTGAATATCAGTACCTCAATGGATTAAAGAATTAAATTTATTGAAAATAAATGGTAAGTTACTTAATTAAAATCATTTGACTATTTATTAACTTAAATATCTTTAATGCAATGTTTGAAAAACAATGCTTATTTTACCAACACCCATAGCCAGAAACATGTCTGGTTTAGTTCATTATACCTCTCCATAGAAAATGACAAATATATTTTCTTTTTTTATTTTGTATGCATATTTCAAACAAAACATGTACATGTATGTACATTTAAGGAAACCTTTATAAATAAAGATGATTTAAATTTCCATTTCTCTTCACTTTTATTTACACACCTGACATTATAGCGAAACAGATAAAATTTTCAAAAGCATGCACACTCATTCTTACTTACTTACTATATCCTTAAACTGTGCTTTAGGATGATTACGATTACGTATGATTAATGATAAATTTATTAACGAGCAATCCTGCCGATCCTTCTGGCAATTATGAGCAAATGGCGCAAACATAAGAATGGTTTCTTGTGTCATAAGTTCGGATTTCATAAATAATATACAACCACATTTGAGTTGCGTAATAACAAAGTTGCTCTTGATGTTGTGAAATGAGTATGTGAATAAAACAATTCTCAAAATATAGCAAATTATGATTACACGTACAATAAGCATAACTTCATTACATGTTTATGTTTAATATATAAAACTTGAATGTTTTGAATTTATGTTATATATTTTCTAGAAGGAACTCCAAATATCATGGCGTATGGTTACTTTTACTTGGTATTGGCGGTTTGGGTGCTATCTATAACGCACACAGAGGGTAGTATTGTTTTTAAGGATACCACTTACTACAAGCAAAATACATAAGTGGATAATTAAGATTGAAATTATTACTTTTTATAAATGGCACATGACACGAATATTGTGCACAATAAGGAAGACTTTCAAGTTTATCCCCTTTTTATAAAAAGAAGAAAAATCTTGCAGAATATCTATTATTATTATTTCTTTCATGTTTTTAGCTCTACTGGTCAGAGACCAGAAGAGCTTATGCGATAGTAAGGTGTCCGTCGTCCGTCCGTCTGTCTAGCTGTCTGTCTGTCTGTCCGTCCGTCCGTCTGTAAACAATCTTTCAAAACGCTACTCCTCCTACAGTTTTAGTTTGATTTCAGTATAACTTAGCACACAAGTAGACTACACTAAGATACATAATTCTGTGTATCGGTTTTTGATTTCGATGAACGGTGTTGCCTTGGTTACTAAAAATAGAGATTTCTGGGAAGTACTTTCAAAACCCTACTCCTCCTACAGTTTTGGTCTGATTTCAATATAACTTAGCACACAAGTAGACTACACTAAGATACATAATTCTGTACATCGGTTTTTGATTTCGATGAACGGTGTTGCCATGGTTACTAAAAATAGAAATTTCCTTGAAAAACTTTCAAAACGCTACTCCTCCTACAGTTTTGGTCCAATTTCAATATAACTTGGCACACAAGTAGACTACACTAAGATACATAATTCTGTACATCGGTTTTTAAATTTGATGAACGGTGTTGCCTTGGTTACTAAAAATAGAGAATTTTGTAAAACTTTTAAAATCCTACTCCTCCTACAGTTTTGGTCTGATTTCAATATAACTTGGCACACAAGTAGACTATACTAAGATACATAATTCTGTTTATCGGTTTTTGATTTCGATGAACGGTGTTGCCATTATTACTTAAAATAGAAATTTCCTTGAAAAACTTTCAAAACGCTATTCCTCCTACAGTTTTGATCTGATTTCAGTATAACATGGCACACAAGTAGACTACACTATGATACAAAATTGTCTTTATTGTTTTTTGATTTTGTTGAATGATGTTGTCATGGTTACTAAAATTGAAATTTCTGTAAAATTCTTTTAAAAGACTAATCCTCCTATAGATTTAGTCTGATTGCAATAAATCTTAATAATACAAAAATCTCAATAAAACAAAAAGAGACTACACCAAGGATCATTAGTCTATGTATTGCTGTTGCAAAGTTTCAAGTCCAAGTGCTACTTTTAAGTACAAACCAGTAGAGCTACAGTCTCATCAGAGACTTCTGGTTTTTTTTTTGTTTCAGGGGTTTGTAACATACCAAACTTTATTGAAATAAAAGAAGATGCGACTGGTATGTTGTCATTTTCTGCTTGTTTATCCCCGTATATAATTGCATCAAAAAATAATGAGAAATACTTTTTTTGACAGGTAATATTCTCAATAATTCAATCACACTTGATGTTCCGTTTACTTGGGACATAACCGAAGTATCAGGTCATCCTATTAATAGTCTAAGCTTTGAAAACCAGCAAAAAATTAATGGATACTTTTCATGGGGCAGGAATAATGCGTCAGTTTGGATCAACGTTGTAAAGGCAATTGATAAAGAAAGTCTCGTTGTAGTGATTGGGGTAAGTTACATGCACGAAGAGAGCAAAATAACATCTTATCTAACTCTGTACAGTATAAATCTCTTCTCACGAAAACAAATGATTTTTTTTTTTTTACAGATAATTGTGAGTAATATCAAATTACGAGTAACATGTGACAAGGCTTTAACGGTACGTTGACTGTTACATTTTTTTTTTTCCATATTCTACAAAAAAAAATATGAGGGCGATTTGTGACAGTGACAAAATTACATAAAAATCAACATAATTTTATGTAAACAAATTTAAGCCTTACATTTACAAAAATAACAAACATGTTCTTACAGGATATGACAGTTGTTATTAGGTCTGTGAATGAATTTCCGCCGGAGTTTGGATCAAATGTTTACTACATAAATGTTTCAGAGGTGAGCAATCATTATATGCTACAATTCAATTTGAAAAATACGAGAACATTTAAAGTAGAAATGTCAAAATATTTATTTTCTTTAGTCGATTATTCGATTGCATTATTCGAACGATAGTCGAATATTCGGAACATTTTCTGAAAATAAAATTTTATTTAAAACTTCACTGAAAAATGACGTATTTGTAACCCCCCCCCCTTTTTATCTATTTTAAAAGTAACGTCAAAATTAATGCATCATAAATTAATGTTACGTGTGGATAGCATGATTATATGTAATAAATTTAGAAACCCAATTCTCCAAAATGTATAATTTCGCAGTCTTTGCAGACAAATGCATGAACTGTCATGCTAATAATAAATAAAAAGTTGACCGCTCTTAGATTTATTTACATTTTAATGAAACTGCAAGACATGTTACACATGCGTTCCTTGGACACATTATAGTTATTTTAGTAAGCATTATTTAAAAATTACCAACCGATATTTTTTAAAGCTTATTATGAAATAAATTGGGTGGGAGTGGGGTAGGGGGTAATCGCCCAGTAATTTGATGGAGAATTTATTACAAAAACAAGACAGACAGTAACTGACAAATAATTCTCGCAGCAGTGAAGCACTTACAATTACTGTACTTTCTATAAGTACATGGAAAGACAATTATTTTTTGTTGAGGAAAATTATCTTATCGACTGCCTCTAAGGAAAGACGGTTTCTCAATTTTGAGAAGATAATTCCATCACGTTATCGCTTTTTTATTGCATTTATTTAATTACTTGTATAATAATATTCGAATGTCGTATCATTATTCGACTGGTATCTCAACTGAGCCTTGCTTACCCCCCCTCCCCCCCCAGGGAGGGCAGCTAGGATAAGGCTTGGCAAAACATCAACATTTTACATGGACATATATAGGGGAAAAGATTTTCTCCAGAAAAGCAGAGACTAGTCATATTGACATTCAAGCATTTTCTTTTTTAGCTCACCTGAGCCGAAGGTTCTAGTGAGCTTTTCTGTTCAAAAAGTGTCCGGCGTCCGTTTGTCGTCTGTCAGCTGTAAACTTTTCACATTTTCGACTTCTTCTCAAGAACAACCCGGCCAATTTCAACCAAACTTGCCACAAAACATCCTTGGTTGAAAGGGATTTAAATTTGTTCACAGGATGTGCAAGGGGAGATAATTAAGAATTCTTGAAAATTTGGCGGCATCTCTTAAAACTCTTCTTCTCAAGAACCAATGAATAAGAAAACATGAAAATTATGTGAAAGCTTCAATACATATCTAGATTCAAGTTTGTTCATATCCAAACCCCCGGGGGAAGGGCGGGGCCACAAGAGGGGGAGGCGAAAGTTTACAGAAATGTCCTTAAAAACTTCTTCTCGGGAACAGCAAAGCCATGATTAGTTATATTATTACAGAAGTATCCTAAGGTAATGAAAATTCAAGTTTGTTGCACTTACGACCCTGGGGATAGGACAGGGCCCAACAGGGGTCAAAGTTTACCAAAGGAATATATCAGAAATATCTTTAATAATCTTCTCAAGAAAAGCAAAGCCATTATTAGTCATTTTTATAAAGAGGTATCCATAGGTAGTGTAGATTCAATTTTGTTCAAATCATGACGCCAGGGGTAGGGCGGGGCCATAACATTGGGTCAAAGTTTTACATATGACGATATGGGAACTATCTTTAAAAAATCTTCTTTTCAAGAACAGCTCAACCATTATTAGTCATATTATTACATAACTAACCTTAGATATTGTAGAATCAAGTTTGTTCAAAGATGACCCCTTCAGGGGTTGGGGGGGGGGGGCACAACAAAGGATCAAAGATTTACATAAGAATATATAGGAATCATATTGAAAAAAAATCTTCTGCTCAGGACAAAATATAAGTAATATATTCCACCATATTTCAAGTTGAAGTCAACACATTGTATTTCTTTTTCTTAAGGACATTGGCAAGTCAAGGTTTTCCGGAGAAAAAAGGTTTAATACATGGGTTTTTTCACTTATGAAATAGTGATTGAGAGTGATCTCCCGTGTAGAATTCTCTAAGCGGTGAAAACCAATAAAGCGTATGTTTGCAGAGGTAAACAAAAGCACGTGCACTTCTTTCTACGGGTAGAATCATCCATATAACAAGAAAGATAAATGATAAGCAACTTTATATATTAAATATGAAAAACATATATATTTTTACAGATTCACTTTATGGAAGTAAATATATTGTGTATCTCGTAATTTATAAAGGGAAAGAACATTCTGATTAACAATCTTTTTAATGTTTAGAAAACCTTTAATTCTGAATAACTTCTCCCACCTCAATCCCCATATACCAACACTTAAACTTATATGTATAGAGCAGCCCGGTCCTCCGGGCTGCAAAAAGTAGTAACAGCTTTGTTGTACATTGTATTCAGGGGACAAAGAGCCAACAGGTCGTCATTTACCATAGTTATGCTCAGTATGCTGGGAAGGGCAAAGATGTCTCATATATTGAAAGGTAGACCGACTGAGATCAGTTCTTAGGTTGTATGAAGGAAGCAGCATTTAGTAACTACGAATAAAAATTGAAATAAATCCATGCCAATATTTTTATGACAATGTGTTTCAATCAATTCAGTCAATTACATGATAGAATCAATCAACCAGTCTTGACTCTCTTGACCATTATGAATAATGTGTAACTATAGCTGATAAGGGAAGTAACTCAAAAATAAAGATTGGTGCCGGTATGTCCATGTCTTGTTTCTATATATACATTTTCAGCCAAAATAACTATAAGTCATAGGAAATGAAGATACAATAATGTATATAATACAAAAACTATATAAAATAAGTGGGTTTTAGAGAAATATTATGGTAAAAAATTATGTAGGTCCCTTTTATCAACATTTTACATAGGAAATGCATTGAGAATTGCAAAAACACTAATTTGATAAAATCTAAAAAAGAAGGTTGGGTTGGTAGGTTAAACAATCCAGAATATAGCCTGTCTAGTACAATTAAACCTACTCAAGAGTTCTTGAAAAATTCTATACTATAACCAGGAACCTTGCCAATGTCCTTAAAAACATTCTGACTGTACACACTAGTTACTCTGAAGTTAACGTTTCTCGTTGACAATATCTATGTAGTTTTTGGAGACCAGGCTTCATAATTATATTTTAATAAAGTAAATAAATTATCAATCACATTTCCAAACAAAATGTGGAAAAATTCAGCGTCTTTTTTTTATAAATTTATAGTTTCACAATGCGGTTTATTTCTTCATGAAGGAGGAAAAAATTATTTTGTCCTAGATTGCAATAATTTTAGCTTTATTTGGAAATGCTGATAAATTGAATTATGTTTATTAAAACAATGTTTATTAGGCTGGCGTATTTAAGATGTTGGAATCCAAAGCCTTTTCAATAAACAATTTAGCATCTATGATCCAAAAATGTTCTGATTCATTTCACCATCTTCCATTTATTTACTTAAATGCAGTTACTAGTAAAAAATAAATAGCTTTTAATTTCATGAATTTCAATATAGTCCAGGTGTAATTGCACTTTTATTTTCAATCATTCAACCATGTAATCAAAAGCCTTTTTGTTTATTTGCCGTTCATTAAAACTCTAGAACACTGCCGCAGGAACAAGTGTATACACCATCAACGACGTCACTGACAGGGATGTAGACGAATCCAATGATCGAATATATACTGTTTCAAGAGACCTTCAAGAGGTATGTTTCGCATCTGACAGTTTCTTAAACATTCTACTGCTTTTGGCATCGAGTCTTTGTAAAGGTAGCCTTCTAAGGCTCTTTTGGTGGCAAATATACAATATTTGTATATGATAAATATATGAATATTGAAATTCTTTCATGTCTACTTAAAGTTCGATGGAACCCCGTATTTCGGAATGGAGGCTGGCAGTATCCCAAATATTGTCCTTCTACAACCTATTGACTATGATGCAATAGTTGAAGCCGGGAAGGTCCCGACATATCTTATCAAAGTGACTGTTGCGGTAATATTGTTAATTTATGAGTGTTTAAACAATTACATAATAACTTTAATGTTAGTTTTCACCTTTTCTACTAGCACATACTATTATCATACAAGTGACGCGCTAAATTAATTTGATTCTTATTGCATCAAGCAGAAATACTAGTACTTGGTGCATTTAAATATTCTTGATAATAGATGATATTTCATTTCAGATTAGGATAAACTTTTTCTTTTATTTTAGGATCATGGTGGAAGAACAGACAATGCTCGTTTTAACTTTACAATCATCAATGAAGATGACCAGCCTCCTGCCTTCATACCGAGCTGTGGCATCAGCTGTACACCCAGTTATACTGCGATTGTCCCTTTAGGACATAGAGTGAGTAACATGCTGAAGCTTTGCATTTAAAATTTACCAAACGAGTACCTATTGTCTTGAAACAAAAATTAAAATTGATCTTTAAAAATCTGAACTGTGTTTCGAAACCAGGGACCACTGACCAACGTTACACCTGCAGCTCTCCAAGCAGCTGACCTGGATAAGCAGCATACAGTGAGATATAGTCTTGTTCAAGGTAATGTGTTACACTTTCAAAAAAAAATTATATTCATACCTTGTTCTAGAATAAAAAATACTTTAATACATAAATAAGTGTTCTGTGTAACATTAATTTTCAGATTCCGAGGAGTATTACAGGGGTTTTAGCATAGACGCAGATACTGGTGTCTTGACTGCGCTCTCCGCTGTTCTACGGACAGCTGTTTTACAGATCAAAGTACCATTTTTCACTTGCTCTCTCAAATAATGAATAGAAAATTTTATGTCTTAATGATTATCATTTTTAGACATGATCGGAAATGTTTGTAGGCTACTCGAGTAATAGGATTATTATAGTAAAATTTACTTAGCTCGAACAAGGATACTAAGATAGCATATTTATAAAAATACGGAACAAAATTACTTAATATTTCAGGTAACAGAGAATTCTTCTTTACAAAGGTCAGCAGTAGCAACTATGCTTGTTAAGATTTCAACCAATACGACAGTAGTAGAACCACCGAGAGTAGGTCAATCAGTCCTTAAGGAAGAAGATGATAATATGTTAATAATAGTCATCGTTGTCGGCATCATCTCTCTCCTTGTCATCGTTGCTTTGATTATAGCTCTCACTGTATATTGCAAAAGACAGAGAAAGAAAACGATAAAACCTGGAGATGTAGGCTCGTCTCCTTCAGGCTCACAAGACGCTTTGAATGCCGACAAGGAACTTAGTAGCAGCAAACAGGAACTTTTACAGTCATACGCCATGTTTATGACGTCACCTGATGGTAAGAATGATCAGCTTCCGCCAATCAGCAAAGTAGATATGATGATAGGAACCGACGAATTCAAGAAAAGGTCGAGAAAACGAAAGAAGAAAGAATTAGAGGTTTTTGATGGGACAAGAGAATATGATATGGAGGCAGATATCAACTTCTTCAAGCAAGGAACGAAGTCTAAAATCAAACGATCGACACGTAGTATCAAAGAACAAAAACTGGATCCAAAGTATTGGATTACAGTACAAAATGGCTACTTGGAATAGGGATTTTTCTATGTTTTTTTTGGTAGATATTAGATATATAAGTGCCATAAGTTGACTGTGATAAGATACTGTATGACATTAGTTTTGAATTTGTGTGAAAAAGAGCTTCATTATACATGTAATATTTATGTTTGATAACAGTGACAGTTTTTATTTATTTTATATAAAAAAAAAAAAACTTCGTATGTACGTTCTAATTTCCCAATATTGGATAATTCTACATGTGTACTCGTAGTTTACACTTGTAATGATTACTTTGTAAATGATTGGACACAAAGTAAATAAAACAGAATATTTTTTTGTGTTTTTTTTAAATATGTGCAACATACACATTCATACAAGCAAATAAAACTTTTTAATTCTATAAATTACTCATAATAAAATTAAGTATATGATAGATCATGTACTTCTCTGTGTGTATTGAACTTTATGAAAGCAATGTTACTTGAGATGATAGTTGCATTTATCCAAGAAGTACATCTATTTTTCAAGTGTTTTATTTGATCCCCTTTCCACTCTCTTTGACTGTCACTTGCAGCTTAATAATGTTAATAATGTCCATTTTTTTTAATTATACGAGTATTATATGGTTTAATGTCAAAACCTATTTGAAAAAAAAGTTATGAAAGAAAGCAAGAGTACGTATGATAATAAGTACAAGTATTTTATTTCATTTATTTTGTTTGAAGTATACATGCATCTAGAAATTTTAACTTAATCGTCTGCGTTAAAAAAATCGACAGGGGAAACTTGAATCGTGGAGTTCATCTTTGTGAATTGCAATTTTATCCATGCAAATGTCAGACTTCGATTTAACAAGGTCATTTTTCGTTTTTTCAACTGTTTTTATCTAGAATATTAGAAAACAAAACACAGTTTGCACTATATTAGCTTTGAATCTAAAACATTGAATGAATATAAAGACAATTTACTTGCAAAGGGATTTAATTTATCAGCATGTTTCTTGGATACTAACTGCACATCAATATCATAGCTATTGACGTCAAAATCGATTTCTTTCATAAATGTTTACATTGCACTGCTTTTTTTTCACAACGGCAAACATTTCAGAAGCAAATTAAATTTTAATAGTGTACCATACAATGATCCTTCGTTGGATTCTTTTTCAGAGATATGTATTTGTCTGGTAATCAATAAAAATCAAGTACTTTTTTCAGCTTCTTTGTCTTGAGGTCCGTCAGTGTGCTTAATTATAACTTCAGGTAATTTAACTGAAACGTACCGTGATGAAGAATGTCAATCTGAAAAATTCCTCTTATTTATTCGAGAATTTAAAAAACAATAAGTATTGTAGGAAACCAACAAAACATAACGGTCTGAATAAAACATTGTATCAAATAGAGACTTGATATATCCTATATTTTATTCATAGTCCTCTCAATTATAACAATAGTGACTGAAATATTTTTACTCAAACTAGAAAAGTATCCAAAGAATCGCAACACCACTAAGGGATGACGAAAAAAAAAGAAAGCAACTTATAAGTTGAAGTTTTTTGTTTTCATTGTACTAAAAAATCATACCGTATATACATGTATATGCAAGTATTTAATGATTTGATAAATATGTTTTGATTTATTGATTTCTTTTTTAAAAAAAAAATCCTCTTCAGACATAATGATGTGTAGATAAGTGTTTTTTTTTAAATTTTCTAATGGTTGTAAAGTTTTACCAAATTACTATACTACCTAACGTTTTTTGTTTTAAAAAGTTTTTTTAAAACACTGGTGCTAAAATTATGAGGATTTTGGAAAAGAACTATATTAAAATCTTATGTTTGTTCAACAAATTTTTAAAACCAGTTAGAAGTCTTTCTCAATTCATAACGAAAAATTATCTACAAGATAAATAAACAAGAAAGATGACAAGTTTCTTTCAATACCACACCATTATTTGTCTGCCCTCTTCTAAGCTACTGTAACCGATTTATTGATTAAAGATAGGCATTTTATACAGTCCTATTCAAAATTCTACATGAAATATGGGCACGGAATTTTTATTTCAAAAACTCTTTTCAACCAATAACGTTGGATAGTAATCCTTTTTTCCAAGCTTTTTATAACCATTATAAAAGTATATTAAGTACTAATTTGCATATTATTACGTCAATTCTTGAGATTTTTTTATATAGATATTATGTTCTCAAGAGCAAAATAGGCACATGTTTATACTAATGACTATTAAGTCAATATAATTAGATGAATCGTCTTATAAGTATGTGAAATAAACCCAGATATCGAAGATTAAAACCCCATACAGTTGAACTTCGGTATCTCGAACACCGATATCTCGAGCCCTGTTGAAATGAATGGAACGTCCCAAACTCTTATTTTTTAAGTATTTTACCTTGATATCTCGATGCCACGGATATCTCGAAGTTTTTTTTCATGGTCCCATCGAGTTCGAGATAACGAGGTTTGGTTGTAACTTAATAATGATAAAAAAGGAACACATATTCCAAATCTGGAATACTTGACTTGCATATAAGAAAGCACTGATAATAGAATTTTTACCTAATTACATTGAAATATTCTCAGAAATGTCAAAAGCGATTTAAAAATCAGAGATCATTTATGTATAATATGTTTTTGATATAATCTATTAACTGTAAATTCCAAGATATAGAAAGTATTTCTAATGAAAGTTTGCTGATTAGAACTGAGGTAGAAAATGCAAAAGATTATATATATATATATATATATATATATATATATATATATATATATATATATATATATATATATATATATATATATATATATATATATATATATATATATATATATACCAACACCGAAATAAACTCTACCGATTTCATTCTTTAGGAGTTTGACAATATATTAGTTACATAAGTACAAAATCAAAATTCTTACTGTGACGTCAAAAAGCTTCATCAAAACTCCTGGTGTTATCTAATAAACCTATTTAATTAATATATTTCAATGTGTCTACAATTAACTTCAATGAGAAAACCTTTCAATAAAATAAGTTTAGGAACCAATATAACTTTACACTGTTACTTCATGACATTTCTTTACACTTCCTAAACTGTAAAATCTAAACAAAATGTTCTAATTGTTCAAACAATATCTTATATCCTTGCAATAAAATAATTTACTACAAAACGTTAATACTTACCAAGTTGCCATAGAATCATTACTAGTCCACAATTTGGATAATATTTCATGTTTCATTTTTGATGACATAAGTGCTCAAGGATAGAAAGAGCATCTGCAGTGGTTGATGAGAACGGTACAAAATTCCTGTTCGCCAAAAAAAAAAAAAAAAAAACTTAGAGGAGATGTGTACATTTGATCAAAAACAGTCTAAACTGTGTTGTTAATAAATTACCTCTCTGTTAAAATATTTTATATTGATTATGGTCTTTCTGTTCATTATAAAGTCTGAAACCAAACAAAGGTTTAAAAAGTGTACCAAAGGTTCACGTTGAACGTCGATATATGGCTATAAAAATAGTTCTCCATTTGAATAGATACTCACTATAAATCATTCATTTTCAATCTCAGATTTTTTTAACAACAGCATTTTGAATCTTACTGAGAGGTTCCCCACGTAAATCTGTCATTTCACTATTTTCTTCAACACAAATTAACAGAAAATCTGTCATCGATTGTGGTCCACACGAAAAAGACAAAACAATGATTTGTATGGCCGTAGCTTTGGTGGTTGTCTGTGAGCTATTTAAAAGAGGAAATGGAGATTGGCAGAATCTTTTTTATATCTTCATTGTGGAATCATTTTATTGCGTTGGGAGCTGCGGGTATACAGCAATGATTGAAATGCACTCTGTCAAAGTATCGATTAGGGCAGCTGAATGAACTGTTGATGTAGATCATTGTGGTAGGGGGATGTGGATGGTTTCTAAAACAGATTGGCACATTGTAAATGTCCGTTCTGACAGAGCAGACCACTCAAATTCTTTTCCCGAAGGATCGCGCTAGTACCCTGTATAAATCATCGTAAGTGGTTCATGGTTGGTAAATTGCTTGGTTGTAATTAAACAACAGTTTTTAGTGATGAAGATCGATTTTTTTATGATCTACTTTATAGCCGACCTATTAATTGACTATGCAAGTTATCAAACTCCTATCACATGAGATGATGACAAGTTTCCTATTTCTTTGCAGAGAAAGAAAACCTTGAAATATCTGTTCTGCTTTTAGCACTTGGGAAACTGATGTTTAAGGAAAGTTTTAAAGTTATCACGCTCATACTGAGCTGAAATCAATTATAGATTTCTCTACATGAAATAAGGTTTATTACATCGTGTGAGGCAATTTCTATTTAAGAATGTCCTTACTGGCAAAATATCTTAGTTTAGGATTGATCAACGTTCTGCACTGTAAACAGTATTACCTGTTCTGTCAGTAGCAGTCTAAGACCATTAATCGTTTGTCTATGTACGATGTAAAGCCCCAAACATGGGAAGAATGCAACATGAATTGTTATTTGTAATTTCATTTCAGGGTTTTCAAACTATACAGAGAATGCATGCCTACGAAAGAAATATACCTTCTATATAAGACTGAATTGAAGAATTTACTCTATGTTTTCCACAGACATATCCTATGTTTTATTTCAGGAGTTGGAAGAAAGAGGTTTTTATCGAAGTATTACTTCTAAGTCATAAAAAAAGATGCCACAGGATATTGAAACATACCGAAAATGACAGATTGCTAAAAATACTTAAACATAGCTAGGATAGATCGCATGGGATATTAAAACGTACGATAGATCTCCACCAGATATGAAATATATAAGATCACCACAGGATACTGTAACATAGTATCAACATTCTCGTTTAAAGTCAACATTTCGCAAACTCTATGGTCGATACAATGACCTTATCAGTAAATATAATCTATCATGAAAGCGAATGTTGACTAACGTTTTTATACAAATTGTTGGGCCATTATTTTCACACGGAATTGTCTACGGGTTTTTTTTCTGTTTGGTCAATCATAACAAGGAGTACACGGCGGGTGTGACTGGTCGACAGGGGATGCCTACTCCTCCATGGCACCTGATCTGACCTCTGATGACTTTAGAGGTCCATGTTTAGCTCTGCTCCAAATTTGTATTGTTTCAAAGAAATTTTGAGATTACTGTTCGTTATTTTTATATTTCACTTAACTTTTTTTTTTACTTTTTACGAAAGAAAAAAATAACACTACTGATGTTACAGAAGGAACTTTGCCATATATCATGATGCAGTAGATTATTTATAAATTTTCTGAGAAATGTTAGGGTCTTAGAACAAATTACTAAAATTTGATATACTCTGGCATCTTTTCAGTCAATGGAATACAGGCTGAGTTGTTAATACAGAAAAAATTGCCTGGCTTCCGTGTTCAGTTAGTCAACGATTTTACAGACTGATTTTACAAAAAATTCTGCAGTACTTGGCAACAATATATATTCGAGGAGGGGTTCATTAAAGTAGAATACTAAAAACTTCTATAAACCTTATTAAAAAATTAAATCACGAAATTTTGCAAAAGTCAATAGCATTAAAAGGTGTAGCTTTTTTTTTACACTGTATACAACCATTCTTGATGATATATTAAGGAGCAGGTTTATTGACGTCATAGACATCTTTTTCTTCAATAAAGATGGAATGCAATTCTGATTCCATACAAAAAACTCCAGAGTTAATATTGAAAAAAAATCCTTGAAGTCCTCATTGACAATACATGTTTGTAACAAATGTCTTCGAACAATCAGATGGAATTATCATAGATACTAATTGTGCCCCTTTATTTCCAAACTTATGAAGCAGAATTAATTTTAAAAAATCTACATTAAAAGAAATATCTTGCCATGGCAAACTAACCACTGAATTTTATGAATAACTTGATGATTCCAACTTTTTCTATATCACTTCCCTTATTTATTTAACAATACATTTTTCTCTTGTCCGCATATTGTGTTTATGTCTCCCAGTTTATGCGATACGCAAGAGTATGCACATGTACTGCATATGAACTATTTTAAAACCAAGACACGATGTTACAAGAGTAGAACATTTTTTCTTAAAGTCGACATTTCATTCTATGCTATGGTCGATCCAATGACCTTGTAAGCAAATACATCCTGTTCTTAGGTCGAATGTTGATTGACGTATATACCGGTAATACAAATTGTTAGGCAGTTTTTTAGTGAATTGTCTACAGATTACTAGTATTCTGTTTACGCAGACAAGTGGCTCAAGGCGGCTGTAACTGGGCGGTCAACAAGGGAAGCTTATGCTCCTGTTTGATAATGCTGCGTCCAAGTTCGTAGTTATCTAGCCTACATGTATAACTAGCAGCTATAGGCTAGCTATAAGGTCTATTAAATGCATTTTATGAATTAAGACTTTTTTATTCCTTCGTAGCAGATAAGCTAGCACATCATTCAGTATAAATTCTTTAAGTAGAACTAGGCAGTCACTGATCACATCAATAATGTTTTCAGAGGTTGGCATTTGCTCTATTCTCAATCTGCATTGTATAATTGGACTTTTGTTGCTTTTCGTTATCTTTAAATGTCGTTTCACTAAAAGTATCTTTCTCATACTCAGGTTCGCCAAATTTATTTAGCACCCACAAATGTAACATTTATTTACCAAAAACATTAACATGAAATATCTACGATAATGTCTACTGTAAATGATTTGAAATGATTTTCTTACTAAAACATAGAAGGTCTTCCTAGGTTCTTGATTTATTTTGCTAAATGAAATATATGGAGATAACGAACAGTATTAAGGCTCAGAAGTCCATTAAAAATACAAAACAGGAACAGAGCAAACACGGACCTCCAAAACATCAGAGGGGGGATCAGGTGCCATGGAGGAGTTAGCATCCCCTGCCGACCGGTCACACCCGCCGTGTGGTCATTGTCATGATCGGGAAATAACGGAAAAATCCGTCGACAATTCAGTGTGTTTTGTTTGTTTGTATGTTGTTTAACGTCCCTTTCGAGAATTTTTCACTCATATGGAGACGCCACCACATGCCGGTGGAGAACTGCAAATTTTGTCCTATACTCGGCACTTACGGCCATTGAGCAGTGAGGGATCTTTTTCGTGCCAGCACCTACTGCGACACGGGACCTCGGTTTATACGGTCTCGTCCGAAGGACCGTCTCCACGTCTCACAGTGGGATTCGAACCCGCGACGTAAGGATCAACTCCTTAAATCGCGACTCTAGAGCAGACGCTCTAACCACTGCGCCACCCGGGCGACGAAATTCAGTGTGTAAATAATGGCCTAACAATTAGTATGAAAATCGTAAGTCAGCATTTGACTTAATGATAAATTGTATTTGCTGATAAGGTCATAGTATCGACCATAGAACTTACGAAATGATTACTTTAAACGAGACTGCTGATATTCTTGTTTCATCAACTTGTTTGTCAATAATTTACATCGCTTTAGAAATTGTACATACGTAGAGAAAATAAAACACAAGCAGTGCTTTCGACGTCACTTTGGCTGTTTTATGTTAATCCTACGATTAAAAAAACAAGAGGCCCAAGGGCCTTAACGGTCACCTGGGTATAATGTAATGATCATCCATAGATTAAAACAAAAAAAAGCTGATAAATAAAGCTATGTTGCCTAAAACCAAGAAAAATTGGATAATCAGGGATCAGCAAAACATCAATTTAGTACTCAATAACAAATCTTAAAAGTTGATCTATTTATTTGCCTGTACTTTCCCTCATTTGTCACTATCCTCATGCAGACTAAACAAAACAATACAATAGTTCTAGAGCACTATCAGTTAACTCATTTCATTCCCCATTGCATTGGCCTATCTTGCTCTTTAAAGATTATTTATTGTACAAAGATATGGTATTTTTGTACCATTTTCATTTATCTATCATTTAACACTTTTCCTGACCATTAAAAATTATGAAAGTACTTTTGTATTAGATATTATAAAATTTCTTGTATAATTCTGTTATTCAATTGTCCTTTTAATTTTCATTATTTATAGTGATTAGCTATTATAGGTGAATAGCAAAGGGGAATAACTTCTTTCACTAGAAATTAATAAATTGACCAAAGGGTGCAGAATTTCAAAATCTTGTAAAAACGCCCCACTTATTACAACTTCACATACTCTATTTGCCTCCTAGATGCCCAGGACCAGAGAAGATTTTCAAAGAAATAATCCATTTTCACTATAGATTCTCTATAGCCCCACCCTAATTCCAAACCCAGGCGCCAATATAAATCAATTTTGAAAGAGTTGCCCTTGCTCATCATAACAATATACTTGGTTTATTTGCTAAATACACAGGGACAGAAAAGTAGATTTCAAAGAAATAATGCACTTTCACTATATATATAATCAATAGAGCTCCACCCTACAATGTAACACCAGAAACTCTGACCAGGGGCCATGAAATTCACAATTATGGAAGAGACGCCCTTGCTCATCATAATTACATATTTGTTTTATCTGCTTAATATCTAGGAGCAGAGAAGAAGATTTTCAAAGAAATAATGCATTTTTATTATATGATCAATAGAGCTCCATCCTAAAACCAGAACCCTTGACCCAGAGGCCATGAAATTCACAATTCTAAAAGAGGCACCCTTGCTCATCATAACTAGGAGCAGAGAAGATTTTTAAAGTAATAATGCACTTTCATTATATAATCAATAGAGCCCCCCTACCACTGAACCCCTAACCCTGGAGCCAGAAATTTCACAATTTTGGAAGAGGCACCCTTGATCATCATAACCATGCACCTAGTTTATCTGCTTTATATACAGGGGGATAGAAGAAGATTTTTAAGGAATTTGCGCATTTTCACTATATATTCAACACAGCCCCACCCTAGCACCAGAACCCCTGACCCTGGGGCCATGAATTTCACAATTTTGGTAGAGGGCTCAATGCTAATTACAATCATGCCAACAGTTTGACTGCTTGATGTCCAGGAGTAAAGAAGATTTTTTAAAGATTGCATTAATGTTATCGGTTTTGGCCCCACCCCTCAGGTCCCAGGGGGGCAGGGACCATGAAATTCAAGATTTTTGTTCCCCTTTACCCATAGATGCTATATGCCAAATTTGGTTGAAATTGGTTAAGCGGTTTCAGAGAAGATCTAGATGCTAAAAATGTTCAAATGTTCACACGACGCACACTGACAGACGAAAACAGATAGCAATAGGTCACCTGAGTGACTCAGGTGACCTAAAAATTTGAAGTACATCTTAACTTGTGACATTCATTTTTAGTTTAAAATATTTGCAAAATTGTTGCTGCTGCTTTCTAAGCTGATGTCAAATGTTATAGAAATAAGTCCATAACAAAAAAATGTGTTTGTGAGACACTGATGTCCCCGTATGGCAACTTATAGCGAAGGTTAAACTTTCTCAAATGCAAATCAAATATGTTGGTAACCAAAGTATTGCCTTGCCTCGAAGAATATACCTCTGAAATATGAAAAGCCATAGCAGCAACCATTGAAAAGATATGGAAAAGGTTAAAGTTCTTTTCAAAAGTGAGTCAAACATCAAGGTCATGGTCAAAATTAATGGCGCTTTCTCACAAGAAATGCACATGTAAAATTTCAGAGCCCTAGCACCAACTATTCAAAAGTTTAACCAAGATTAAAGTTTTTCAAAAGTAGGTCAAACTCCGAGGTCAAGATCAAAGGGTCAAAGTTGGTGGTATCCGAAGTAAGGTCTTGTCACAAGGATTACATGTGTGAAGTATGACAGCCCTAGCACCAACTGTTCAAAAGTAATGGCCAAGGCTAAAGTTTTCCAAAAGTAGGTCAAACTCCAAGGTCAAAGGGTCAAAGTTCTTGATATCCTAAAGAAGGTCTTGTCACAAGGATTACATATGTGAAGTATGAAAGCCCTAGCACCAACAATCTAATTAAAATTAGATGTTCCGAATCCGCAACCGCTTCTCAAACATCTAACAACATCCCATTCGGGGTCACGTCAGAGCGACCTTTCGATTACCCAATGAAATCGCCGTCTCTGAAATCTTGGCTTATAGTTCGGATGCGTTTCTTTTTTTACTGCCAAACCTAAACGCCCGAGGGGTTTCGTAGTAAACAAAGTATGCATGGTAAAGACTGTGCTATATATGAATGTGACGTGCGGGATATATAGACGTATACATGTAATTTGTGCATTTTAGGTAAGAATGCCAGATTGGCGGACTACGTTCAATTTATACAAATATTATTTTAATTCAACGTAAGAAAATCTACTGGGCATCAATAATGTAAAGATGTAGCCGTGGAACTAATTTTAGAATCGTATACAGAAGGTTGAATCTGATTGGCCAATTTTTTTATGTTTATTCAGAATCGAAAGGTCGCTCTGACGTGACCCCTAATGGGATGTTGTTAGATGTTTGAGAAGCGGTAGCGGATTCGGAACATCTAATTTTAATTAGATTGTAGCACCAACTGTTTAAAAGTTATGGCTAAGGTTAAAGTTTTCCAAAAGAAGGTCAACCTCCAAGGCCAAGGTCAAAGGGTAAAAGTTCTTGGTATCCAAAGGAAGGTCTTGTCACATGGATTACATATGTGAAGTATGAAAGCCCTAGCACCAACTGTTCAAACACTGTCCTTTGAAAGCTGTATTTGAAGAAGCATATTTTAAAAGAATCTACCAGATTTTACTACTGTAGTACCATGATTTTATCTAATTGCAAACAATTTGTTTAAAACTTGAACAACTTACAGGAGGAAAAGATTCTCGAAATAATGTACTCTTTAATCAATGTAAAAAATAAAACACATTAATCACTGAAAAAAAACCCCTTTATATCCATATATACGCGTTGATCAACTTTTCTTGAAACCAGACTAAAATCAAATGAAGAGAAGCAAATTGAATTTATCAGATTATTTTTTATCTAGCAACAAATCTATCAAAATCAAACACCAATAAAAAGAATTGTATCATTAGGTCTGATACAAGATAATTCATTGTCTTTAGCCATATGATCATCAGATTATTTTACACAGAATTCCTACGGGGAAGGGGGGTTAGTACTTTTATGGTGTGAAACTCAATTTTTAGATTAAACTTCGGTCTCTTTATCAGAAATTTGAAAACTTAAATTTAAACTTTACAATGCCTAATCACGTTTGACAGAGGTAGTATCGATTTTATATAATTCAAACCTATTGATTCGAATAGAAATGCTGTTATCAGTTCGGCATTGACATAACTGATAAGTCCCTTTACCTGATAAAGTAGAAAAAAAGCTTGAAGTGCACGCTGGGACTTAAGTTCTGTTATGGGATGAATTTATCGCAAAATCCTTGCAAATTATCAATTCTCACCATAGTTCCTCAAAAGGACTCTTGGGTCTATGAGAATAGCATAGGATGAATTACTTTTGAGAGAAAAAAACGTCAGACCCCAACATTTTTTAAAAAGCTTTTTTTTCATATAAGTGGAACCAGGAAGTACAGAAAAATTCAAACAACATAATGACCATAACTCTGTTGATACCTTAAACATGTGACACAAAGAGAGAGGTAAGTGATCGTAAACTTCAGTACATTATTTTTCACTTTTAATGTTAATCTCATATTCTATTTTCAACTACCATTGAGAAGTTTTGTAACCATGTAATTGTTTATTTTGTAATTTGCCTTTACGTCTTCTTAGACGTTATAGTATTTCTTTTTAAGGTGTTCACAAAATTACAGCGATGAAGATGTCATAGACTGTCAAGTCTGTTTGCGTAGAATTTGTCTTTATCTGGACCAAATATTATTAAACCATTTCTTCACCCCTGAAAATGCTTCCTTCTGATTTGGACGTGAAGAGAAAACACTTTATCCAAATATTTCTTATAATAGTACTACTTCCTGCACAAGGTATGTTTAAAAAATATTGTAAAACAAATTTAAGGATGCAAATCTGGGAAAAAAATGCATTATTTTATTGATAAAATTATCCCTTTATAAAGAATAACAACATTTTATTAAAACTTTTAATACGTAAGTTTATGATCTACTGAAATAAGTCATAGTTTTCATTTTCAATGATGGAGAAATAAAAATGATTCATATCTTCGGCTTATTTTTTCTAGTGTCGTGCAGTTGTGATTTGACTACGAACCTCATGCACATCAACGAATCGGCCGAAGGTAAATGATTTATTAATCCCTTACCGGTGAAACCGGAGGGGACTATAGGTTTCCTCTGAGTATGTCCGTCCGTCTGCCTGTCTGTCTAGCTGTCCCTCTGTCTGTCCCTCTGTCTGTCTGTCAATCTGTCCCACTTGGTTTTCCGCACTTTTTTCCTAAACGCTTGCAGATATTGGGTTGATTTTTGGTATGTGAGTGTATCTTGATGAGTTACAGATCAACTTTGCATTTCGTTCCGCTTCATTGATTCTTGATGGAATTACGGCCTTTTCAATTTTTACGGGTTTTCCGCAATTTTCTTCTAAACGCTTGTAGATATTCAGCTGATTTTGAGTATGTGGCTTTACCTTGATTAGTTATAGATCAAGTTTGCATTTCGTCCCGCTTCATTAATTTTTGACGGAATTATGGCATTTTCAATTGTTAACGGGAACGGAACCAGATTACACTTGCCGGTAGGGGACTAGTATTGCTAATGCAATACTCTCAGAATGCTTGTTGATTTTTGTTTCTTAAAGGAATTTTGATGTAGTATGACAACATGTGATATTATTAACGCAGGTGGAAATGAAAGAACTTAATTTTAAGATATTTTGTAATTTTACGCCATACATGTATTAATTTGTTATTTTTAAAGGCAAAGTTTAGATTGTGTGTAATTTTAAATTTTGCGTAAGAAACAGAATATGCAAGTTACATAAGGCTTTAATTTGGTGACATTTGTAAAGTAGCATATCCTATTACAGAAGTTTATTTTTATGTTAATTTTTTTTTTTTTTTTTTTGTTTTGTTTTGTTTTGTTTTGTTTTTTTTTTTTTTTTTGCAACTTTAATTTGGCAAAGCACGGTATATTGCAAAGTAAAAATTGAAAAGTACACAGATAAATAATATTTATGTCATTACTTATAAAAACTTTATTCCAGATTTTACTTTATAGCATTTATAAAGATTGAAGAACATTCCAAATGTAATAAATGACTTCGATTGCAAAACACTGTTTCGTTGAAAATTTAGAAAACCTAAAATTATTAGATTTGAATTACTATTAAAATTTCTTGATTCGAAGTATTTTGCAGTAGAATCTGCCTTTGCTATAATCTTCAGTTGTAACATTTGCGAAGTAAGTTTGTCGATCTGTTAATTGGTGTTTTTCATATGATTCTAATACGGACAATTTGTTTGTTAAATGCTTGATAAATGATGAATTTGTTGGTTAAACATAGCTTAATCTCCTATGCTATTATTTGTTTTATATCTATTATTTATTGTTCTATTACGGAGATGTCGACAACAATAGGGTGTTATCTTTACACCTGTATTTACATAACGGTTTGACGTGCAAGTTTATAGGACACTCATTGTTTATATAGTGTTGCTAGGGATTATGCCTCAACTTTCCCCAAAGAGCTATATGCGATATATGCATTTTTTTGCCCCAATAAAAGTCACATTTTGAAGATTTCTTGAAATGTGCTGAATTGTATATATTGTATGAAATATCTGAATTAACAAAAATGGTTTCGAAGTAGGTTATAATTAAATTACGTTACTATGTCGTCGCAAACTATTTAAATTTCGCGTTATTTTTCAGAAAGAGTTAGAATATCGTCCTTTTTAGACTTTAATTTTGTGTATAAAAAATGACACAGTTCTGTCTTTATGGATATTTATGAAATACACTAAGAAATAAAAAAATCATATACAAGTAACTAATACACATTTGAATCTATACACCATTCTGTTTTCTCTTTTTGTTGTTGTTTTAGATGTAGTGATAAAGTATGTGAACTATACACTTTCTAATATCACATGGGATATGAAGTTGTCCGCTGCTGGTGTCAGTCAAGTAAATGCAACTGAGTTAAAGGAGTATATAATGCTGAATTACACTAACACGTATTTGGAGCTCACAGTCGTTAAAGCACTGGACAAGGAGGAACTCTTCACAAAATTCAATGTAACTGGAAGAAATACCTTATCATTAATATATGTGTAATTTATATCTAAAAATAAAATAAATCATTAAAGACTGCGAATGTCTCCTACAATATCATTTTTATGAATTGCAATAAAAGTTATAATAAATTCCTTTTGAAAAATCCTTATATTCAATGTAAAATCTTTTTATAAAAAGTCAATTTCCAGTAAAATACGTATTTTTGCTAAATACTAGCAATTGAATCAAATATTTCCAATTAATGAATGTATGTGTACCTTTTTTCTTCCGTAGGTAAAACAAACGAAATACTTCAATACGTAATGTATTCTTGTTGTTTTTCTCCTCTTCCTTTAGGTTGATATAAAAAGTATCATACTTCAGATGTTCTGTTCAACACCAGGGTCTCAAGAAATACGAACAGTAAAAAGTTTTACTCTTACCTATAACAAAATACGTGCGATCTTTTTTGCGAAAGCATCATTTATATCCCGTATAATAATTTGCTTTGTGAAGACAAGTCTGTGTTCTTATTTTAGAATTTGACATTAGTTATCCAAGAAGTGAATGAATTTTCTCCAAATATTTACGGGGGTCCATACAACGTTACTGTAAAAGAGGTAAGAACTAGAAGGTCCGTTGCTCTCTGTTTTTCTACATGTAGTGTGGAAATATCTGAAAAATGTATATGCAAATGTTAAGCCCAACCTCCTGAATTGCTGCAATCTTTTTGTTCAAAAGGATAAAGAACCCAATATTAGTAAAGATAAAAACCCTTGATTAATCATAAGCAGCAGTTTCAACATTATGGAGTAAGGAATAAATTACACATCGATTAAATTTAAATTATTATGCCAGGATACACCCAGTGGAACAACGATTTTGAAGGTCAACACCACTGACCCGGATGTTCCAAAAACTTCCTTAATCTTCCTTTTGAAAAGCACTGATAATTCCGTGAGTTTATTATTTTTTCTATAGATTTTTAAAAAGATAGAAATTTCTACTAGGTTTCTTCATGTTGTTATAATCAACATTTTTGCTGATATTTTATTACTTATTACAATTTTGTTTTACAGACATTAGGTTCTAAATACCTTGGGTTTCCTCAACCTAGTGTCCCAGACATGAAGCTGCTTAAAACGGTCGATTACGACAAACTTGTGGCTGATGGAATTGTACCCAAATTTCAGTTTCTTTTAAATATAACGGTATGAAAGGAAATCATTTTGTATCGTATTTAACTTTGAAGAAACTTGCTGCTTTTTTTCTTGTAGAAGGGCATCTCACAACAGCTTTTTTTCAAAAGCAATAAGCCATTCATAGTTTATACCGTATTCTCAAGTTTAGCATCAAGTTTAAAATAACTGCTTAGAATCATTATCCGAATAAAAATACTAGTTTTCAGTCACTATTCAATTTATTTATTTTTGGGCAATATCATGACACGCCGTTTTCATGTAGAATGTATTAATTAATGAAATTCATTTTTTTTCTATCAATTTAGGACAATAATGGTTATGGTCGAAGCAACCAAACAAACATTACCGTTGTCATTGAGGATGTGGATGATCTACCCCCTGTATTCCTGTATCCTTCGTGTGGAAAGCAATGTGCTATGACTCAGTTCCGTATAAATATAACTGACAAAACCCATCGAGTATGTTTTTCAACAATTACTAGTAGATGTTAGATGAAATAATGGAAGAATAAAACATAAAAATGTTTAAGTGTGATGTAAAACCACTCTTTCTGTAAATTATTTTGGGTTTTTTGTATTCTTATTAGGCGGAATCTATTTCTTAAAATTCTACGTGCAAAAAAGATGTCTCTTGCTGTACCCTTCAATTCGACATTTAAATATATTGACGACGTTTTATCAATTAATATTCATTTCATCCCTATATCGATCCGATATATCTCCCTAAACTCGAAGTACAAGACACCACAGAGTCTGACCCATCTGTTTCATATTTGGATGTTTTACTAGAAAAAGACACTGACGGCAAACTAACAACTAAACTTTATGATAAACATGATGACTTCAATTTTTCTATCAGCAATTCCCTTATTATGTAGCAATATACCGTTATCTCCTGCATGTCAGATTTATGTCTCCCAGTTGATTCGATACGCAAGCGCCTGTTCTACGTAGGAATAATTTCTAAGGCGAGGCAGGTTATTGACAATTAAGTTAGTGAAACAAGAATATCAACAATCTAGTTTATAGTCAACATTTGGCAATTTATATGGTCGATACAATGAACTTGATTGCAAACTTTATCGTTGAGACGAATGTTGGCAGACGTCTTTCATACGAATTTTCACAATGAATTGGGCACGGATTTTATCATTTACCTGATCACGACAAAGAACGCACAAAAGGTGTGACCGGTCGACAAGGGATGCCTACTTCCATGGTAACTGATTCCACCTCTGTTTCATGCAGAGGTCCGTGTTTGCTCTGCTCACAATATGTACTGATTAATTGGACTTTGAACATGATTACTGTTCATTTTCTTTACATTATTTTTGAATTGATGTGATTTATTTACATTAAGAATAATTTTCTGAGTTCATTACAACCCTTAATGTAAAAAAGAAATAAATTGCACCTCATTTGGAGTTAACTTATTTGGAGTCAATTTAATGTTAACTTTTCATAACCTTACAATGTTTCCGTCCTTTATTAGGGACCATTGACAGTTCTCCCCATTGCCTTAAAAGCGGAAGACCAGGATACACTGAATTACAGCATCACTTATTCTATACTCGAAGGTATATAGTTGTTTTATATTAAATCCTTTTTTTTTTAAATTATTTTCCTTTTTAATGTCTGTCGATAATATAATGACAGTTTCAACATATTTCTTTTCTTCAAATATTAACATATTAAAGTATCGCTTTCTCTTGTAGACCAGGAGAAGTTCCATGAATCGTTTAAAATAAACAGTTCAACTGGTTTTATTTCACAAGTAGGGGATGTTAGTCAATCCGGAATCATTTCAGTGAAGGTAAAGTGAATAAAAAGTACTTAAAATTTATAACATATCAAAGAATAAGACATTTTTGCTTGTTGTTTTTATAGAAGAGCAATTTTTGAGTGATAGTCATTTATTTTGCACAATAGTTATAAATCTTTTATAACCAGTGTCCACAAAGGTGCTAATTCGTTGGCATTCAATTTCTAAAATAAAAATCATCTTATTATTCAAATTTTAGTTTTGATTCAGATAGTTAGTTGTTATTTTACTTGTTTTGTTAGGCAGAAGAGATTTCCATCAACAAGCACTTTGCGACAGCAGTAATATTAGTGAACGTTCCGGAAACTTTTGTAATCCCACCAGCAAAGAGCACGGCCGAAGATAATAGTGGCGGGTTTTTGATTGGTATAATAGTTTTGGCCATTGCAGAATCCGCATTAATATCTGTAGTTGCGGTCCTGATAATTCTTCATCGAAAGTTAAAGAAACAGGTAGTGCCTTTTGATGGAAGTGATGTGGCAGCAAAACCATTGGAACAGTCTGTTCCGAAAACTACGGAAGTAAACGAAGTGAAACCCATTCCAAGGACAAATGAAATTCAGAAGACTAATGATGAGGAGGAGAAAGAAAAGGAAACAAAAGAGGATACAACTGTAGCAGAAAATACCTTAAATAACGATGCTATAAACAATATTCCTACACCTTCTCAAAGGAACAATTTGCTAGATCCAATAGAACGTAGCAGAGAATCTCAAAAGAAAAGAAAGAAGAAAAAGAAAAAGAAAGATTATCTGAAAAAAATGGGACAGGAAAGACAACGAGACCAGTTAGAAAATGCAGAGGGACAGATGGAGGGAGACGAGGAAATCACACAACTAAATGTCGTCGGAGAAAATCATCACCAAATAGAAGCTTTAGATGGACATTTTATACAGGAAACTCAAGAAATTATGGTGTGAATAGTTTTAAAGATCTCTCTAATTTGTATTGTCTGTGATATGTTTAAATACTCGACAACGAGAGAAAAGATAGAGGTATAACATTTCTTCTTTTATTGGTGTTGAAGAGAACTGAAAATTCTTGACAAATACATCAGCTTTATATCAGTTATAAAGCATGTTGCAATACTATATATGGTGCAGAGAATCTTCCGTCATTAAAAAAAATGAAACGTTGTGCATGTATTATGGAATCTTCATCGCCATTCAAATTTGCATGTTTTAAAGTTATGTGATATAAGGGAGAAAAAGGGTGAAATAATTTTAGTAGATCCTGCTTTAGATATGAAATATCGAATCACTTATGAAATAGTTGTAGTGTATATAATACAAGACAGGGACGTAGCTGGGACTTTGATGAAGTATAGGCACCATTTACCCTGTAAAAGGCGATCGAGGGGTCTGGGGCCGGCCAAAGCCCCAAGCGGGTCCAGGACAGCGCCATGGTAGGGGGTTCGGGGGGGTCTCTTGCCCCCCCCCCCCCCCCCGTCAACGGAAAAAAATGGATTTCACGATTTTGATACCCCTGCGTGTCAATTCCTGAGCGTTTAAAATACAAAATTTTGTGTTTAAAATCTAGGAAAAAAGTGCATTTCCAACTTTTTTTTTAATCAGAGGTCTTTATAGTTAAAGTTAGGAGAGTTTTTTTGTCGGCGTATTCAAATTTAGAACAGGAAGAAGAAATTTATTTAAAAAGTATTAAAAATTTTCAGACACAAATCATGTTTTACAAGAAATAATGAGCCAATAAGTTTTTTTTTTCCAGGAAAGGCTAGTTTACCCACAAAGAAGAGGTAAATTTGGGTGGACAGCCTTAAAATGTTAATCGCTTTTAATTCAAATTAAGGAAGCTCTAAACACTGCACACTAAAGAGTTCTACTTATAGAGTAGTTTTATGCAGTTAGAGTGATCTGCCCTTAGAAGTAAGATAGAAAAAAACCCGGTTATTTACATTTAATTACGCAATTTGTAATAGATCAGAATATTCCTAGCATTATATTAGACCGAGAATAAGTAATTGAATTCATTTTTTCCATTAATTTTCCCATTGTACATGTAAGTAAACAACAGTGATTTCTGCTCACGAATAGTCCATTGTCTTTGAACATTTTTCCTGCGGAAATAAGGCAGGTACCCTATGTTGAACATGAACTAAATAGTCTCATTATGCACATCTTTATATGATATATTTTTCTCCAAGTCCAAAAAGCACTTTTTGTTAGTGTTTAGAGCTTCCTTAATTATGTAAAAAGACAATACCACAGATAACATATTTTGTTAGTGTCAGGGGAGTTTTATATCTATTATTAATTTTACGTACACGTAGAAATTTTAAAGACATTTTATAAGGAGTCCTCAGTACAGTGAAACAGAGAGTTAACTATTGCAGGTTATTATTACCTTGCACAGTTTGGTGATCATTTATAAGTTCATGATCTCTTTCAATGGCCAAAATGATATTTAGTCATTTATTTTCTTTCTTTCTTTCTTTCTTTTTTTTTTTTTTTGGTTTCGTTTTTAAAAATTTTTTCTGTAAAAAATTATGTGTAGGCACGTGCCTTCAATGCCTAATGGCAGCTACGCCACTGCAAGACTGACGATATCAGGTTATTTTACTAAATACATGCATCCAGTCTGTTTATAGATCATGCATGTCCAGAATAAGTTACTTGTCTGTCACTTCACCTACAATTGCTACATTTTTATTCATTTATATGAAGATAAATAAGGCCATCTTTAAAAAATTGTTTGATTGCCCTCTCCCGACCGACTGGCTAAAAATGGCCCGACTCAAAACTTTTTTAACCCTCAGGAAGCAATTATTTTTTATGTATTCTGGACAAAAGATTTTAAAAAATTAGCATTGATATTGAAATTTTCTGAGAAAAAAAATTCTTACCTACCTACCGACCAAATGTTTTCATCCTGAGTCGGGAGAGGGCAAACAAACATTATTTTAAAGGTGGCCTAATACGCATTTTCTAATCTTCTTGTCATTTATTATAGTGCAAATAAAAACTAAAAATGCTTCAAATTGTTAGGTAAAAGGAATTTTTCCAAGTATCGCTTAGACTTTACGTCAAACAAGCATCCATCCTAATGAATTATATAAAGATACAAATTTATATAAACATATCAAAATCATCCACCAACAGATTTCTGTCATCATTAAAGTATCAATCGAAACAAATAACGTTTCATTAGTTTTCTTATTATTCTCATTTTAATTTTAAATTCTTTTTTAATGAGAAAAATTTACAAATTCTTCTATTGTTTGAAATATGCCTTTCATCTGAAAATATCCGTCGTAAATATGCAAGCATGAATATTCGAGAGGAAAAAATAGTGGGAAGGTATGTGTAGTGAACTGTCTCCAAAAATCTCGTAAAACATTTTTGCGTTGTTTTGATTACATTGCAATTTATATGTCAATAATTAGAAGATAATAATCAAATCTATTATTTTACATCGATTTATCTTGATTGGCTAGGCTATAGAAATTCAAAAATTAGGTAAATAAAATCCCAATTAGAAAATATACTTCCGAAAGTTACTGGTCGATTAAATCTAAGTCTAACGACGGAAAACATCATTTGGCAACGTGTAAATATATTAATCAAAGTCGTCATGCATTAACCTTCTCAAGGCGTTCTCAACGATCTGTCGAAATGTAAATCAATCGTAAAAAGCTAGAATAGATTGATTAAATCAATTACCTAAATGACGTCGTTATGTATGATAGTTGAAACTTTGTAAGTTTTCTTGATCAAAACACAGGTGAGACAATGATGGGCCAAATGAAGTTTCTCTTTATAATATTGTCATGTGTAGGATTCTTACAAGCAGCTGTATTCAAACTGGAAGCTGAAAAGTATGCAGCATACAGATTTCATAATCACCGAGAAAAGGCTAGTGGCGAGAAAGCAGTGAATTTTAATAAAGGTCAAAGTTTGAATTTCTATTTCTGCCTAAGAGACGCTGCGGAAATTTCTTTAAGTCAGGTAGTGTATTCAAATGATGGAGGGAGTGATACGTTTGAAATACGACTTGATGGAAAGATTGTTCTAGGAAAACTTAAAACACCTGAACAGTCAAATGAAGGGGAATATTGGAACGAGTTCCTCTATAGTGGACAAGTTGGCCCAAATATGACCCTCGAGTCAGGGAGACATACAATCACCCTTGACTTCAAAGAAACTGACAGGTTTGGGGTGGATGTTGACTTTATTGAAATAAGAGTTGACGATGATAAACTTCGCAAAGATCTTTTTGAATGTTTAATTTACTGTATTCCTGAAATTGGATATAAAGATGGACCTGCCCGTGACGACATGCCCTCAGCTGTTGCACGGCGAATAACAGTGCCTAACACTTGTCCAGCGGATGATAATTTAGTCTTAATACCCGTGTTCCACGAAGAAATCAAACATTTCTTAATTACTGCAACCCTTCCAAAATATAGATCTTTTGAAAATCACTACGCTAGGAAAGACGCTATCTGCGATGAGGATAAGTCTGGTATTCTATGGAACTTTCCAAACTTGAAAATTCCAATGGAGACATTTACAGACGGTTTATCTGGATTTACCACGGTTAGGTATCGTGCTTCAAATATGAGTAAAAATTCTATTCTTTCTGTTACTTTTCAACCATTTGCAAAGGATGACTTTGAAAAGGGTAGCAATTTGAAAATAACATTCCATGAACCTAAAGCGAACATATACGTGGAAATGAAGTATAAAACACTAGACGGATCTTGGTCAGATCCTGAGGGTCAATATATAACACCACAAAATATGGACTTTCTGGTAACAATTCCTAGACAGGCATGGTCAGGTACGACACAGAATGAGGTCGAGATCACACTTCTAGCAGATCCGGAAACTCTGACAGGCTTGAATCTCGATTTGAAGCTGATAAAGCTAAGGGAGGAAAGACGAAGGGAATACGTCCTGTACAACAACCTGGATTTCCGAGTGGTAGCTGTTGATGTTTATGTCGGAGACGAAACAGACCTCGAAAAGATGACGGTTAAAAGCGGTGACATGATGGCCAACATTTCTACCGTTTCCTTTATCAGTATCTATGCGAACACACAGTGGTCCAATTCTCAAAACGAGGTTCTACGCCTTCATCAAAACGGACAATTACAACTGCTTCCAATGCCACCCCATGGGTTCCAAGGGAAAATACCATTTGCAACTTCCATTTTTATCGGTGCCCATGATACCACAATTATACCTCCCAATGTTCCAATAGAAGAAGTTACCATTGTTCCAGAACCTCTCGAGATGTACTTATCATACAAAGACGGTTCAAAAGCCACTCTACTGGTAAAACCAGACCTAGATCAAACAAATGTACTTGTCAAGGATTTCCAGATGACAAGAGACCCCTTCAAATACCCATTTGCTACCATCAGTTCTAACTGGCAGTATGATGGTAACTCTGATATTGACCATGTTAGTACCAATGGCAATGTAGAGCGCCATGTCATGAACGGATGGAAGGAGTTGTACGGAACAGATTTCGCTTTCTTCCGGAAATGTATTTCAAAACACAATACCCTGAGTCCAGATATCAAGCTACAATTGATAAATAATGAGGATTTATACCTGCATGTTTAAACGAAAATCCAAACTGCAAGTATAAAGAAAGAACTACTGTATAACACTACTTTATAATTTTTTCCAAGTGAAACTATATGTTACAGTTTCTACAGTAATGCAGTGAACAAATACATCTCCATTAACTACCACATTGACTTTCTCTTGTTTCTAAAAGAAAAAAAGTGAAATCTAACTGAATTTTCAAATGTAGTCCAGAGGGTTTAATACAGATAAATTTCTGATTGTTTAAGCTAAAAAAAAAATAATATTAAGTTGGTGAATTCAATTTGTTGAATCCTAATCAAATTTTGATAATGCTAGTAAGGTTAAAAGAGATTTAATTTTCTTGTGTAATAGATACGTAGTTATAGGAAAGGGATAACTTTTTCTTAATAAAGTGTCCATGAAAAACTGTTGCTATACTTGTGAAGTTGAATTCATTACAGAGATATAATGAAACCATAATTAGGAATTGTTTATTATAGTATCATTAGGGTGTATAATAAAGGATTCGTTGAAACCACGATTAACGAAGTTATTCTGCATCATTAACATTACTTTCTTCAATATACACTAATTTGGCATTAAACATTGTGTGTACAAAAAAGTTTAAATTCATTGACTAAATATGATATTTTAAACCCCCTATTCAAGATAGAACAAACTTTCTTTACAGAGTTTACGTACACAGAACACTGGGTAAAACTGATCAGAAAGCTGGTGTGCGCTATAAATTGACTAACATAAATTGACCTGCACTCATTTTATTGTTTGATCTTTTATCACATGGTAATAACTGACTGATACTTAGAAGATTTAGAGCATCAGACCTGATGTACAAAAATATACAGCTGCTGTTTAACACACATTCATTCAACAAGACGAAAAAACGTGTAACAATGCTATCAAATCTATCATACTGACATAAAATGTATTAAAAATAACATTTTATAAAATATTCATCCATAATTTTTGTTGACCTACTTTTTACAAACTGCAATCTTAAAATTGTATATATTTCAAACCATATATTTTATTCAAAATTTACATTGCAAAAATATACACTAAATGGGATCCAGCAGCAGACCGTGCCTATTTCAACCCTGTGCCGAAATTTGTATATAGATTTGTCTCGAACTAGAAAAAAACATTACTCATAAACTACACTCCACACTTAGCATTACAGTACTTAGCATTACAGTAACTATTTACAAGGATGTTGAGTGTATCTTTGTTCTAATTTCTAGTGAGATCAACCTTTGCCTCTGACAAACAAGCATTTAATGCTTTCATGTTTGTTAAATCTTTCTCATACATTGACGTAAACCCCGATTGTTCATTTCAACAATTTGTAAAATTCATTCAAGAGACATAAAAATCTAACAGAAAAGACTTTAAAAGCTATCCTTCAGAAGTTAGGGTTTTCATTCCTCGATTTTATTGGGAACTTTTGGTCTCTTCTCAAAGTGTCTTTTGGTATCAGTATTTAAGAATTTGTGTGAATATGTTTAAAGAATTGACAATTCAAAAGTACTGGTAAGTACATGTCCACTATAAAAACAAATCACATACATGTACCCTGTACCATTGCTCATAATTTAAGGTACATGGTGTATTTAAGAAACATTTGTAAATAATGTAAAAGAAAATATAGCGAGGTCTTTTCAAAAGGTGGTTGTCAGTGGCTTAAGAACCATTCAGAATTTATGAAATGTTATTTACACTTAAGTGCAAGGTTAAATTAAAAAGTTGAAATCTTTAATGGATGCATGATTTCTAATATTTAACTTATACAGAGCTTTCTAATTTAGTTTTCTTATCAACATCAGTAAGTGAAGCCAATTTAAAAAAAAATATCTTACCAAAAGTAGAAAAACAGCAGATTTATGGGGGAGAAGTATTTTCAATACTGAAGAGAAAGTACAAAATCAATGATTCATGTACATTACACTTAAAAAAAATCTTTTCTAGATTTACTACATTCATCCACAGTGGAATGTAACTTGTTAAGTACTTTTTTCACATGTTAATTTTTTTTAAAAATTAATATGATTGATATATTTAGCACCATTTATTTCAATGAATGCTTGTATAAAATAACAAGATGAGTGTCTAGAATTTACATAAATTATTTAAAAAAAAAAAAAAATGCAAAATCACCGACAAAAGGCATCAACACTAAATCAAGCATGATAACCATTTCTTTTTAAAAAAAGGGTTTGTTCCAATAAATAGAAACACTGAGGAAGCCTTACTTGCAGAACCTTTTTTATAATTCATTTCTTCAAAAGAAAAGTAATTACAGGCATCACCATTCAAGTTGATATTCAATATCCAAGAATTTGAACTCTTCAACATACTGTACATGTTCTGATGCATTTAAAACTAAAAATATTGATAAATATAGACTCATAATTCTTTTTTCTGTAATATTTTGAAAAAATCCCTCTACACAAGTTCTGTGGCAAAACATGTATATAAAGGTTTCATGATCCTAGATTATAATTTCTCTAGATTTTTCTTGAGATATATACATCAATGCCCCCCCCCCCCCTTTTCTATTACTTTCTTCCCCTCTACCAAAATGATAATAACAATCTAAAATTTTATGTCTTTCTATTACATTACATTCTTTCTAAACATTTGGAAACTGAAGAAAAATGACAGAATCATCTCAAAAAGATAAACTGATGTATAAATGTTCAAATCTTTAAATACTTGATAATGTAATAACTATAACATTTAACAAGAAGTCATAAAATTTAACAAATCAACAATAGTTGCCATTTATTTTTCCATTCATTTCAAAAAAAAAAAAAAAAAAAAAGAGAGAAAAAAACAATATCGTCAAGTGAAATAGAACCATTCAGTTCTTAGAATTTGATACTTAAACATAAATATGAAAAGTGTGAGCCAATTAAAAAAAAGATTAAAGACACAGTAAACAATATGAAACATATTAGCATGGGAATTTAAATATTTGGACAATGTACATTAAAAGCCTGAACAATGAATTGTCAATTAAAACTAGTTTATACTAAGGAAGTTATACTAGAAGCTGTGAATATTCTAAAAAGTATTTTTTTTTCAATGCTTTATTGTGTTCATGTCCTCTGTTTTCCATCTTTGAAATAAAGCTTAAACATAGGTAATCAAAGATTACAGAGCTCACCTCAGCCATGTCAACATTGAGTAATGCAAAGTACCACACTTAACTAATAATTAGTAGTGTGAATCCCTAAATGCAACATTTATGCAAGTTTGATCCAGATAGGGCTTGCAGTTACTTAGGAATGGACTTGTTCTAAAAACTTTATCCTAGTTAATCATCCATAAAATGCAAGTCAGATTAAATATCTAAAGCAAGTCTGTTAGTGCAAGTTAAAAGTTTTGGAGCAGGTTCATTCCAGTTTAATTTTAAGGCCTTCAAGCATTTATGATGCACCTAGGAATGCACACTACTGGACTTGCTTCAGATGCTGGATCTGACCTATGATTTCTTGATGAGTGACAATGTTAAGTTTATTGAGCAGGTATATTCTAAGTAACTATAAGGCCTACCTAGACCAAACATGTATGGATGATGTATCAAGGGATGTGATCATTCAGTTGGAAAATGTAGGTCAAATCCAGCATCTTAAGCATGTCTGATAGTGTGCATCCATAGATGCAAACTCAAAGCAAGTTTGGTCCAGTAGGGCTTGAAGTTACAAGCTAAAATGACTTCTCCAAAGACTTTACCCTGGTCAGTCATCCAGAAAATATAGGTCAGATCCAGCATCCAAAGCAAGTCCAGCAGTGTGCATCAATAGATGTACCATGCATGCAAGTTTTGTCAGTATAGGGCTTATGGTTACTTTTGAATGTATCTGCTCCAGAAACTTAAACTTGGTCATTCATCCAAAAATGTACGTCAATTACAGCATCTGAAGCAAGTCTGGTAGTGTGCATCCTTAGATGTATATAACCCAAAAATGTAGGTCAGATCCAGCATCTGAAGATATTCTGGTAGTGTGCATTCTTACATGTATTATCCCTGCACCTTTGAACAATATAGGGGTTATAGTTACTTGAAAATGAGACCTGCTCCAAAACTTTAACCTGTTCTAAAAACAGAGACCTGGTCATTCTTTGGCTGAAAATGCAGCATCTAAAACCCAAATAGTACAATGAAAAATACTAGAAGCATTATCCATGCATTTCTGACCAATTTAGGGCATAGATGTTCTTGAAAAGAAATTTCTCCAAAAACTTTAACCTGGTATGGCAACGCTGAAGGTTTAATGAGCTAAAAATGTTATGATCAATTAGTTTCTGATTTTAGTCATTACTATTCAGATATCTGTGTATTGCATTGCTTCCAAGTCAATTCACATATTATTCATTACTTGTCAGACAATGGCTGAAACTTTAGCCAAAATGACAAACTCATTTTCCTTATTGCACACCATTTCTTTCTCAAGAGGACAGTCTCAATGATCAACAGACCATCTAAAACACAGTCTTTATAAAAACAAAACAGTGCTGAAGTCACTTATGTAATCAAGTATAAAGTGATGCCCATGCAAGGTCAAAAACACAGAAACACAAACACACAAAAAAATGTGATTATCTACACAAATGATAAATATGAGAGGAATGGTTACAATTCTCTTTTACTCTAGATTCAGAATATCTCATTTACACTAGGATTCATTATTCATTTACTCATTTTGGCTTTTGGTACTGGCTTAAGCAATCAATAACTTCAATTATTTTGACATTTAATTTTTTTATTTAATCTGGGATCTTTAAATTTTTTTAACATATCCAGTTTCCTGAGTGCTGTCTAATTTAAGAAATCCAACATACTTTCAGTAATGCACTAAAAAATTTTAACCTCTAAAGTACTATTGACCTCTTTTTTTATTAAAAAAAAAAAAAAAAGCATAATGTCTGGAACAAAAAAATCCTGTCAACAGAAACAAAATATGCTTCATCAAACTTTAAAGAAAAACATCAATTATCACATGATTGTAACTTAAGGAGGCTGGGGGGTCAACAAATTAACCATCAGATATAACTTAATTTTTTAGATATGATATCTTAAGCTGTCAACTATCATTTGGCAAACAAAAATTTCATACATTTTAGTTTTAAAATTTGATCATTTTTGTATATCTTTATATGGAGCTTCTTTCTAAAGGAGATCAATATAATATGAAAATTGCCACAGCCACCCAGCCCTCTTAAGTTAAAATGATCATATTTGTATTCACAAACTCAAGTTGATTGGATGCAGAAAAATTCAAAGACTAAACGAAGCATATCCTGAAAAATAGTATATGTGAAGGACATCATTAAGAAAGCTAGAGAAGACTGAAAGGCCTTATAACTGTGAAAGAAGGAATAGTTCAACCAATTTACAATTTTTTTTAATAATTCATTATTATTATGATGAAGTTGGAAATTCAAAACATGAAAAAGTTTAGACAACTAAAATGTTTACAGATTGCTATTCAAAACCATACCATAAAGACAAAATTTCTTGTAAACAAAAATGAAGTAACTTTAATTCAAATAAATAAATAATGTCTTTGACTGAAATCTACTTCATTACATGTGAATATTCATTTTGAATATAAGCACATGACAATGAATTTTATACCATGATTATCAGTGTGGAGATGGACATTGAGAAAGTTCAGTTCACATTATATTCAAAACACTAGTACGTTTTAATTTCTCTCTTTCCCATCATTTGATTACCATTAGACATTCCTCCATTTTCACAGTTCACACTCGCACACTTTAAAAGAATTACACCACTAAATTTGACAGCTGTCAATCAAACAGCCGTGGTTTCTAGCCCTTCCCATTCATCGTCAGTATCGGTGTCTGACAAGTCCTCCTCCACAATTTCATTATCACTATGTTCATTACATATTGTGTCCATACTTGCCACACTCCCTCCTGGTTTTTGGTAACTACCCCCTTTAACACTATGGGGGAACTTTGGTCGGTCTGGACTAAACACCTGTTTTTGGCTTAACACTACTTGAGCATTGTGGTCATTCAAAGCAGGCATCGACGATGCTGTGGACATGTGAAAAGGGTCCTTTGAAGAACTGGACATGTTGGTCAATTTCTCATTTGTAATTGACTGACTCCGAGGGAGTTCTCGGGGGACCTGTAAGGTATTCGGAATGGAGTGGCATCCATCATCCGTAACGGACATATTGGCTGTTACATCATTATCAGGCATTGTGAAATGTAATCGCACCTGCAAAATGTATTGTGTGGTTTATAGTACTGACATCAAATCATTTTAGTCTAACTTTTGTATCCTATACTGAGAATCTATGTAGCAATGAAAATGATTAAACAAATAATCATACAGAATCCAGTGATATTAAACTTGAAATATAGCATTGGTTGAATATTATATCATAGATATCATTCTTACAAAATTAAGTCCTTTAAAACTACAGAGGGACATTTTGCAGTCAAAGTAAATATCAGCTTTCCACAAAATGGCTTAAAAAATTTTCATGTACCTTAAAATTGGGACTAAAGAACTTGTGTGATTTGTCTTTATTGGCCTTGTCTAGCTCGGCCTTGCTGAGGGTCAAGGTCAGATACTTGGACACCCTCGGGTCTTCCGTTGTGGGGCTTTTCCCGTTTGAGTACTGGGATGGGGGGTTGTAGTCATCTTTCCCCACAAAAAACGTGTTGAACCAGAACTGAAACATCTTCTCCTGGACAAAGAAAGGTAAGCATTAAGTTAAATATAAAGCCAAACTTCTTAGTAATCCAGTAAATCTGACAAAATTCTATCACACATTTAATCTGCATTTGTTGTTGAGCCGAAATCAACTTCAAAACTGAGTAGTTTGTAAAAAAAAAAAAACATGTTTCAGATCATAGCTTTGAGAGTCTTTTCTTAATCTGTTCAGATGTGCCTTACTTTTTTCTTTGTAAGTCTGGGTTTGTTGTAAAATACGACTTTAATATCTCCACACAAAGGAACAGACTGGTCCGTTGCCATTGAGAACTTGTCCTGTCCTTTCCTAATATCTTCGTAAGTCTTCGAGGTATATACTTTCACTTTCAATTGAAACACTTCAAAAAATGGACCTGTAACATCACAATAATTCTAGTTCATTACAGTGTTTTACATATTAATTTCTCATTATCAAACCAAGATTTAACAAATAAATGAGTAACTAAAAGAAGTAAGAAAATAAGATGTGTCTGTGAAACAGTGATATCCCCATAGGTTATAAGTTTTTCAAAAGTTAGTCAAACTCCAAGGTGAAGGTCATGAGTCAAAAATGTTGGTATATAAAGAAAGATCTTGTCACAAGGAATAAACTTGTGAAAAATGAAAGCCCTAGCACCAACTGTTCAGAAGATATGGCCAAGGTTAAAGTTTTTCGAAAGTTGATCAAACTACTAGGTCAAAATCATGAGGTCAAATATGAAAGGTTTTGTGAAAAGGAATACACATGAGATATGAAAGCTTAGCATATAGCCAAGGTTAAAGTTTGGGTATATGTTTTTTAAAAAGTAGATCAAATTCCAAGGTCAAGGTCATGAGGTCAAAAATGTAGGTACCAAAAGAAAGGTTTTGTTACAAGTATTAATACATTATAATATGTGAAAGCCAAAGCACCAACCATTCAAAAGTTATGGTCAAGGTTAAAGTTTTGCAGACAAACAATAAACAGATCTGTCCCCTAATTTCCAATTACAGGGCAATAGAATAAAAACAATTTTGCGGTTGCCCATTTGTTCATGTTGTTTATGCAAATCCTTAAGCAATATAATACTAGAAACTTTGAATTTGAATGTATGGCATGCACATTATTAAGTTGGTCAAATTAGTAACATATATACATATGTCTTGGTTCAATGGCATCTTTAAGCTAGACTTTGACCTGAGTTTATTACTTCCACCATTTCAGGCATACCATTATTTATATTTTCCTCTATTTGTTTAATATGAGACACCTTTTATCACAACAATATTCATGAGCTGGCAAAACAGAATTTACTTCCTTAATACATAGGCAAGCTTTTAAACTATGAAATCCTCAATACACAAACTTTGAAAGGTGTTATTATTGTTGCTCAATGAACACTAGTTTGAATACATCACTATTGTAAATGAATAATAAATTAATTTTTTAAAAAAATCAACAGTTCTGAAGATTTTAAATAAAGATACAATAGTGTAATGAAAAGAGCATTCATTTTTTGGAATTTGATAGCATTATGCATCTAAAATAATATCCCAGCATGACTTAAATAGAAATACATATATAAAAAAAACACTACAGCATGACCTAGATTTTCTGGATGGAAGTTGCTACTTATGTACAAAAGATGGATGACTGGCAGATTTTTTTTTTTTGATTACAAATAACTACTACGGGAAAAACTTCCAACACCTTCAGTGTGTACAAAAGCTAGAATCGAGACCATACAAAATCAGCTACACTAAGGAAACTAAAATATAAAAGCTAGTTAATGTTTCATTATGTTTGTTAAATATAAGCTGCCACCAGCAAATTTAAGTACAAAGTGTACTTCTTATAGGACTGTTATGATAAGCATTGCACAAGTCTTAGATGGACACAACTACTTGTGAGCATATACTTACAACATGTCCCTCCATTATGCATAGGTATAGTAAAGAAATCAATGGCTCTGAGTAATAGTGTCACAGGCTTGTACTGTAGATTGTGTCGAATCATGTACCCATAATACTCCACATACCGAACCTGGCTAGGTATGGTCACACCCTGGAATAGATTAAATCGCTCTCTCAGCAGTTACATCTCTATAATTATACCCCATGCTTATTAGTATTAATTACAGCTAGTAGTGTAATCATATTTATTATGTTTGGTCTATCTTTACCATTTATCTATGCAAACACAGATGGTTTATATATATTAACTGGTACTGAAGTGATTAAGGAAAAAAGTTTCCCAAGTCTACCAGAGGATGATTTATCTAAACTGATGAAAAATGATGTCTTACACACCAGCAAAAAAAAACAAAAAAAAACACCAACATAAACTGTAAAAATATCATAAACTTGTAAACTGGACATTTAAACCTATCTGTGACAGTTCATTGCTGAAAATTTGTCATTTTGCAGTGCTTGCAGATGTATTTTAATATCCAATACCAGACTATATGATAAAACAATTATAGACTTATTGTAGTGAATAGTTATTGACCAGAAAAATAAAAACATTAAGAGAGGCAATGTAAAGGTCAATGTTGTTATTTTTCTGGTCAATAATAAAAGGTCAACATCAAACCATAACCACCTATTAGAAAGTCCACAACTGCATATTAAGTAATACTATCTACATGTACTTAAATGCAATTATAACAGACAGGGAAAAATGTCAGCCAGACTGGGACTCAAACCCTGGACCTCCTGCTAAACATATGGGTGCTCTACCACTGAGGTACTGAGTAAACATACCCAATCCCGATTACACCCTGTCCCCTTTCCCCCTTTTTCTTGAGGTTTTCCATCCTGAAAACGTTACCAAGACTCTGCTAAACCATTTGTGGGGTTGCTGTTGGGTGACAAATATAACAGGCAGGGGAAAATGTCAACCAAAATGGGACTCGTACCTGGGACCTCCCGCTAACCTTGCCAGTGCTCTACCACTATGCTACTGGGGCCACATACCCTATCTCCATTAACAACCATTTAGATACAAAAGAATGAACAACTTCTGAACAGGAGGTCCATGGGCTACAATGTTCACCTGAGTCACTTAACAATAAGGCTTCTTCTTGTCTTCTTGAATGATCATTGTCTTAAATAATGTGGATGCTTGCTTACTTATTTTATATGTCCAAGTATATTAGCTATAATCTTACTGTATTCATAAGCATTCCTTCTTGCCATGTCATATCATTTTAAATGGATATTTTAAATTAAGATTTTAAGGAATTCAATACTGCTTATAAATTTTACTATAATTTTATCCTTGCTCTTCTGAAAAAGATTTTACATGAACCTATATATTTCTATTTAGACCTTTGAACCACTGATGCATCTGTTCTATATCATGTATATGGTGTTGCTTTCATTTTGACTTAATGTACTTAAATTCCTCCCTTTTTAAAAAAAGGTTTTTTAAAAAAAATTCAATTTATATATCTATGTAAAACTCTGAACCCCTATCCACATTCTAATCCTAGAGGTAGTGATTTGATCTATTTTGAACCTATAAGTACATGTACATTTTTATAACAATTCTTTAACATTTGATTTTTTTTCTTCCTGTCCCAGTGGTTTTACAGACTTTTATAACAACACTACCCTGTTTCCATCATTTTCAACCATCCCCCATAATTGTATAAATTTCTTTACATGGGGATGCTTTTTGATAAGTTTAAAATTTGTCCTGTAGTTGTGTGGAAAAAAATGAGAATATGAAAAGTTTGTCACTGACAACATGCCTTTGGATTGCTTTAATTTGACTGACAAAACTGGGTTATAAAAAAAATATCCCTGTTTTGTCAGTCGGATTAAAATGATCTATAGGCCTGTAACATGAACTACATACAGAGAAATAGACATAGGCAAGAAAAACTTGATTCTCAGTAGCTCATGTGAGCTATGAATTTCTCCCCCTATTCAGTGTTTTAGATGAAATAATGCAATAAAATTTAGAATTTAACATTGTAAACTCAGATGGAAATAATAAATTTGTTTATTCTGTTTTGGTTCTAAAGATGATGCACATTTTTTTAAAAATAGATTTTGTTTCTTTGTTGTAGAAATACAAGTATGAAGACTCTGATACAAAAGAACTACAATTGAAATACGTAAGTAGTACACATCATTCCATTGCAACACTTGTAAACAGTAGCGCTCTATTTTACATTATGTTGATGATAAAACAGGGAAGTGATACAGGCTTACAATTCTATTTCATATGCATAAAATAAAGGTACTCTTAAACCCTCTAGTAGTCATAATGTACTAATGTACAGTGACAATAACACAATACATGTATATCAGAACAATTGAAATACAGCACTGAAATAATTTCAAAGAAATACTAAATTACCCTATAATCATTCAGGCCATCATCATGTACGCAATATTCATGTATATTAGGGCAGAAGCTCTTTATTTTCTAGATGCCAAATCAGTACATAAACACTTACATCAGGGAAGTTGTAAAGTTAATGAAAAAGGGCATTTTCCCTTTTATACATTATGACTAGTACCATTCACTGACAACATTTCTATCACTTATTACGTATAACTTTTAAAAAATTATTAATCACTCAAATGAAATGTCTGATCATTGTGTCATTGTGTACCAGAATGTATACAAGACTAACTTAATGGTACATTACGATGCCGATTAAAATCCTGGTTTTCAACCTTCAGGGAATGAAATATATGCTATTCAGTATTCGTACTTTTGGTGTAGTTTATTTTGCATAGAGTTAATTTGGGGGGAAGCTCCATATTTTGCAAAAAAAATTAAAAATCAAAGCAAGGATGTTGACATTGTTCATAGGTCAATAACAGGATGAGTTCAGTATGTACACAAAATCTGTGCAATAAGGAAATAACATACATTTTTGATTTTGACAATAATTATACACTAGGTCATATTTAAAAATAAAACTGAATTCAGCCAAACCGACACAGTAAATTTAGTCTTAAATAACTTTGGTGATATAATCGATTTCACTATCTGATCATAAGTAACAGAACAACATTTACACGTACTTCATTACAGCAAATGTCAGACTTAGAATGTCATACCATCCTTTCTAAAAAAAAAACATGTCCCTGTGCCAGTTATATAATGGTTTAAATGAAACACATGTCAATGTGCATGCTACATAAATCTTCATAAAATATGTCAGTGTGTCTGTTACAAAAAAGATTTTATAAGATGTTTAGCATACATATACCCTTTAATAGTTTAACCTGGATTATCATGTCTATAGTACATGTACAAATATATGTACTCAAACTGTCTGCAATGCTACTGAGCAAAATGGAATCACATTTAATTTCAGTTCAAGTATATATTTCAATACTGGATGAAAATTCTAACATTTTACTTGCCCTTTAAAGGGCTTTGGACACAGATTTGAAGCTAATATTTTCTAAAATTTTCATACAATGACATATCCTTGCACTTTCACTAAGTAAACTTATCCCTAATATCAAAGAATTTTTAAAAAAAAAAAATGTTGTATATTAATGAAAAATATTAAAACTATAATCCAGAAAATTCAGAGTAGAAATGTGAGAAAGCAAAACCAACTCAAGAGATTTGTCAGTCTGTGCTTAGTTATGTGTGAAGAGTTGAACGAACTGAACACATCCAGTAAAATGTAAACATTAACAATAACAGAGCTCGTGCCTATGTTTTCAAACACAGATGTTAGATGTGATGTTATGAAGAATTTCGTTACTTTTTGAATAAAAATAGAAATCTAAAAATGTAAACAAAATGGCAACGCAACTGTGTCCAAGCCCCTTTAAACCTCTTATTCAGAATACAGCCTATGGCATTTATTAATACTGTACTATTTGTCTAAAATATTTGGCATTGTTTTGTTATGTAATATGTTATATATACTTATATGTAATATGTTATATAAATATGTTATGCAATTGTAATAAAAGTAAAACATCACTCCTAAATGGTCAGTTCTGCATAATCCCCATACCCTTTAACACATGCCTTTAGCATGCTCTACAAAAGTGTATGTGACCTGCATGACATCAGCAAGTTGTTGCGGTAAAATATACATTTGCATCAGCATGAGTTTAACTTTTAAAACAAAAAGAAAGCCTAATTACCTGGATTATATCTATCAGAATATATTTTATTCACATCAATTCTAAAACAAGATTTAAAGATTTAAGTCAGTCTTATTATCCATGACCAATGATGTATGATAAAGAAAAAAATGCACTTTTTGGTCTTTGTTAAAAGATATTTATTTTCCTGGCTATTTTATTACATTTATATTGTGTTCTATACATGGTACATTTTTTGCCAGTATAAACTGAGGTGTGCACTGTACATATAAAACATTATGGTATATACAGTAAATACTGCCCCCCCAAAAATGTGTTTAAAAATCACAAATGCCCTGAGAGTAGCCATTTCTAATGAAAGACAATGAATTATAGGGATTCCAACAAATCTCAATAATAACAAGTAACTGTGACAGTGAATAGGCCTACTGCATATGTGGTTGGGCACTTTCCCTTATACCTAGTGGAAATGCCCCAGTAGTTCGATTGATGTTCAAATGATGATTTAGAGTTATGAAAACAATAAATCTTGAGTAATCCATTTCCATCTATTTAACCTAAGAATACCTTTTCATCCCTGGTTCGAGTTTGTCCATAATATTTCAGTGCTGCATCAGAATCTGTAAATTTCTTCCTGTGTAACATGTAAGCACAGATCATGACTCCTGTTCTTCCCTGTAAAACAGCCTCAAATTAACAGTAAACATAGCAGAGGTAAACCTTTTGTTCTAGAATTATGTCCCCAGACATGAATACCCTGATCAATGGTACATTTCCATTGCAATATGAAATTCAATTTTCATATTTCAGCTAAAAATATTGGCACTTTTCATTCAATGAGAAATACCCTTATACAGACAAACTAACAAGTACATGTTCAAAATGAACACAAATTATATGTTCCAAATGATTTGATGGTTAATACCTTTCACATTTGCAATTTAAATTTAACAAATTTTGGTCCTCTTTAACTCACCTTGCCAGCCTTACAGTGAATGGCGGCAATGTTTCGGCCATCTTGTCTTAGCCAGTCATCCAGGTCCTCACAGAAGGGTTTGATCAGCTCTAGCCTAGGAGGGTTGTGATCATCAAAGGGGTAACTAACCACTCTGTTGTGGAATTTGGCCACATCATAGGAACGCTCTGAACACCTGAATTTAAGTAAAACAATTAATCTTCTCATTCTTTTCATACACTAAAACATATAGTGTCAGAGAGAAAAAAACTTCTATTGAATACAAGGATATTTATCCTCTTCACAATTTAACTAAAATGTCCATATACCATTGCTGTGCTTCAAAATTATTGTATATGTCAAATTTTGACACTTTAAAGGAGAAACAAAAAATGTTTTTATTCAAGTATTTTTCATGACCTATCAATTTCACATACACAAATACATGCGAAAACCACTTATATGACTGTTAGCAACAGATACTTCAACACGTAGAATACAGCAGACATATGATTATTTATCTCAAGGATTATGGTAAATCCTTGGTACATATAACTTGTTGTTATTGCAAATTTCACTTTTAATCACAAACACATACCGGTCATTCTACAAAAACATGGCCAATTAAGAATTTTTATGTCGCTTACAAATTTACCGCTGTAATTTCTAAACTATAAATTTAAAGATCGATTTCAACTCTAAGACTCAACATACACAAATGGTTTTGTAAATATTTACTGATATATATGCAGTTAAAGTTTTGATATGAACATAATGTAATGTTGAAAAACGTATTTCACTGCAAATCTTAATGGCGCTTCATCTATTTAAAAATTTCAAGATGGAATTTTCAGCCGTAAAAGTATTCAGAATAAATTCCAATGAATGTTAAAAAAAGTTTTTTATCCTATATAAAAAGAAATCAAACCACTTCTTGCAAAGAAACACATGGATCTTCTTTCATGCGAAATCATAAGCATGTCGCTAAAAATCGATTAACTTTCGTAACAATTTTGTTTTAAATTTTACGCACAGAATGCAGATTTCAAAAAGAACTGAAACTTATCTGAAAGTGACCATGGAACCTAATATCATCGATTCTAGTTGCAACTGAGCTACTTTAGACCAATACATTTTCGACATAACTAAATGAATTAGACAAAAACAGTTGCCTCTCTTAAAAATTTAACTTCTGTAACAGGAATTCAGGGAAGTTTTTGCATTAAAGATATAAATTTTTTATCATTTTGGGAGTGAAATTCTTCATACTTTTGTTTAATATCCTAAAACAAACTTTGATTTTAACTATTGCTGAGAATTTTAACTTTTATTCTGGGAAATTAACTTCCGTAATGATTAACTTCCGTAACGATATTTTTTCCGAAATTTTAACTTAATTTCGGATTCATGCGAGACTTCATGAATCATACTTTAGCGTTCTATACTGAACATCAGAAATGAAAAATTGGTCAAATTCAGCTTTATTTAAAAATAGTAAGACTTGATCAAGCATTAACTTCCGTATCATTACATTAAAATCAATGGTATATTGAAATTGTTGTAAAAAGTTAATGATACCAGATTTGTGGACAATTCTTTTTTTTTTTTCAACTTCTCTGATATGTCCTTTAGAGAATTATGATGCTCATTTTGCTATTCTAAACAATTATTTTTTTCATGTTTTATACCCTGAAAATAGTGAATTGGTTCATTTATTGTAGAATGTCTGATACCAAATCAACTAATTTGTCCTAAAATTGATTTTGGTAAAATATAAATCTTTTGAAATGACTTTCATATGAACACTGTATGTTTTTATTTGTTTTCTGTTTTCCACCATTACCTCCTTTATCACCATAACTAAGTCATACAATGCCACTTGTACCAGTAATAATTAACTTGCAAAATGAAGTGTTGACAAAAAATTATTAACAAAATTCAACACTATAATTCTGCAACATTAAAAAAAACAAATGTTCTTTTTTTTATTCTACAAAAGTTAAAAATCAAAAACATCAAAGCAGTAATCTCTTCAGCATAAAAAATAAATTACAAATCACGGTATCTCAAAAAGAATCTCTAAAACACATATCTAATCAATAATAAAAATCTATAGGTGTCTTGCTTTTACAGTAAATTACATATGTATATGTACTAGTTCATGGGACGAAATTCTGTGGTAACTTTTATGCTCTATTAAGAGATATACATGTAACTTTACCATGTTCAATGTATATGTGTATCAATGTTCATGGAGGTGTAAATTCGTGGGTAAGGGTTGCCAACAAAATCCAAGAACATTGATCTCCCACATACAATAATGATTTCACAGCAGTAGGTTGTGGGTTAGTGCATACAAGTTACTCATTACATGTAGCAATTCTCCACTGCATTCAACAATATAATTATTATAAGTACATTTAATTCTATAACTGACAGTGCTGTAAACCTTGGTCAGGCTGATAATTGGTAACCAATTGACAAGATCCAAACAAAACAAAACAATCCCCTATGATAATTCTCTCTAACTCTCCAAAAACATGTTGATGACCTCTGTTGATAATTCGTATGTCTTATGATTTAACCTAATCCAAAGAAGGTTTCAAGGTCATAGGTACAGTAAACTGATAATTATCAGCTCATATATATATTGGGTGATAATTGTGAAATTTCAGAACAATAAGTGAGAGTCTTTCATTAGTCGTAATTACACATGTTGACAGTACGTGGCATAGCTTCCACATATACTTATATGCTTATATAAGCAAACATCAATATTAGAAATTTAAAAATACCATCCTAATATTTCATTTCTATTTAATTTTAACATGCATTAGCTCTTTATTATTGGCAGTGCATGATATGTTTGCAAAAAAAAATATTTCCTACCCAGTCCTGAATTTCTTTTAATATCACATATACATAAACAATTAATTGTGAGTTAACCATAATTGTTGTGTCATCATTATTTTAAAGTAATGTCATGCAAGGTATAGCTGAAACACGATATGACACATACATGTATCAATTTTAAACACATTTTGGGTTTAGTTAATCCAGGTTAGTTGATCAAGATTTAAGATTTAACATAACTTAGTGTGGATCAGCCCTTTTATTGCTCAATACACCATCATGTAAAATGAAACATGCAGTCAAACAAATTCTGTGAATAATAATTTAAAGTACTTTTGTTTTGCTGAATTTGTGTACTATGGAGTACAGTAAAACATGCTTATAACGAAGGGACGGACAATTTTGCTTCGTTATAAGTGTAATTCTTTATATCTGTTACATTTACAAAATATTTTAAAGTCCGGGGAATAAAAATTACCTCGCTGTAAGCATCAACTCATAATACAATGTAATAATCATATTCGTTATAAGCGTGTTTTACTGTAGATGCATTCCACTTCTATCAGCTTGATCACCTTGTCAGCTCATTTCCTTTTCATTACATAAGAAACCTCCCAATTATCTCTTTTTTTTTACTTCCTTCTGAATGTTGTCATATTTTTGTTCACTACCCTAGCTCCTTGTTGAGTATTGTATATCTTAATAAGTGTGCTCTTTACAAAGCTCATCAAATTATCCTTCCTCTTTTGTGGTTGTAAAATACATATATATTTTAAGATTTAGTCCAGCAAATACATCCTGCAAAAGAACAATTTGGTGACTCTGACCGTATACCAGTGATCTACCCATGCACAAATTCATACATGAGAGATGACTTTCCCCTCTCTCAACTTAAACCTCCCAACCCCTCCCCTACAGATTAAGGAAATTTTGGATTTCCTAGCTGATTGAAATTCAGTGATTATGAAGATGACTTGGACAGGTATAAATTTCTCTCCAAACAGAAACAGAATTATACATACACACCAGTATACATATATGTATACATGTGGTGTACATTTTTGCCAGGTTACATTTATTATAGGATGTATACATGTATTTTTTAATTCAAGATGACACACATTTGATTAGGGAAGTTTCAATGTAATGAAGAATGAACTTGGAATGAATTACATGTTACTTTTAATATGCTTATCATTATCATGATAATATGCACTTGAACATTGAGCAATCAAAATAAAGCATGGGGACCATGAAATCATCAGACTGACAATTTTAAGATAAAAAAAAAACTCAATTTGCTTGTTTGACAGGCTTCAGATAATTTTCACAGCTCTGACCCCCCCCCCCCTTTCCTGTATTGAACTCAAAATTTTACTCTTAATGTAAATAATTTACACTTAATGCAATTCTTTTTTTCCCATTGACTTGTTTTTGCATTGAAGGATTGCAAAAATAGTCATGTAGTGATCCCATCATATCATCATGAACAAACAATTTATTTTCTGACTTAAGTAAAAAGAAAAAAAATATTCTCCCATCCTACCAGTGGCCAGAAGGGTTATACATTATGTACATTAACAAATCTTTTTATGAAATTTATCTGCTCCTATCTCATCTATACCACTGAAATTTTATAGTGTTTTTCTCAAACCACAGAAATTAAATATACACAAATGTTTCTAAGATACACAATTAAACATGTTTGCAAGAGTACTGGTTACCATCAAGGGTCCCTGAAGATATTCAAGAAAATTGTTACAAGACCGTGACACAAAAAATACCATAACAGAAATCTAGTGTTCTAGTATACGTGACTACTCGTGTTAAGATTTCACAGTACATGTAAATTGTTACAAAATACATGAACACTCCAGCACAGTACTGGTATATACAATGAGACCACTACTTAGATTGTATTTCTACTATCATTAGAGAGGTACACACAGTGAGGAGATATGGTTACATATCTGTACCGCTTTCACATGGAAATAAAACTCTTAACAACTGTTTTCATACAGGATTGATAAATCTTGGTTAAGATTATAAATTAGACTATAGATTCAACACAGCCCCACCTTTACACCTGAACCCCTGACCCAAGGGCCATGAAATACTTAGTATTGTGATTACCTTGGGTTATCTGTCATCTTATGCAGAAAGTTTAGACTTCCAAAAGTAGTGTTTATCAGAAAGAAATGGTTGAATTAAATATTGAAAGAGTCAGCTTAGCAGAAAATATCTACAAAAATGTAACACAAGAGAACTAGCAGTTCCTAAATTTCATCATTGTGGTGTACCGAATGTTTAGAAAGATATTTCACCAGGACTTCTTTCTTATATGTCCTTTAAAAATCTACAGTAATCAATCTCATAGTGTATTCAGTAGCACATTGCCCAGAGCTAATCAACATTTCCTACCTCCAATGAAAAAGAGTTATGTTACATTAAGTAATCACGATATCAAGTATTCACAATATTTGAAGAGACACACTTGCTCATCATAACAATGCACTTAGTTTGTTTGATTAATACCAAGAAGCAAAGAATAAGATTTTTGAATAAATGATTCACTTTCACTACATAATCAATAGAGCCTTGTCCTAACACCAGAAACCCTGACCCAGGAGCCATGAAATTCACAATTTTGGAAGAGGCACCCTTGCTCATAATAACTATGCACTTAGTTTGTTTGCTTAATACACAGGAGCAGAGTAAAAGATGTTCAAAGAAATAATGCATTTTTACTATATAACTGATAGAGCCCCCACCACCACCCCACCAGAACCCCTGAACCCGGGGTCACAAATTTCACAAATTTGAAGTCAAGCACCTAGTTTATCTGCTAAATATACAGGGAAGAGAAAAGAACTTTTAAGCAAGAGGCCTATGGGCCACAATGCTCACATGGGTTCCTATGGTTCTGCTGTTTTTTGGCAGATTTTCCCCCAAATATATATATATCTATGTCAAACTTTATATTATATTGTGACCCATCCATGCCATTAAAGTAATTATTTGAATATACTTGAATCTACATTTTCTGAGTATGTTTCCAATAGAATGGCATACAAAAATGACTAACCATGGCTTTACTATTATTGATTATTTATAAACAGATTTTTCCTATATATTCCTATGTAAAACTTTGATTGCCCATTGTGTCCCCACCTTAACCCTTGGGTTCATGATTTGAACAGTCTACCTGAGGATGCTTACAATTATACCGGTAAATATGACTAACTATGGCTTTGCTGATCTTGAGAAGAACTTTTTCCCCCTAAATTTTCCTATGTAAAACAATAACCACCCATTGTGGCCCCTTCTCTCTTGGGGGTCATGATTTGAACAGAGGTCACTTGAATCTACCCTACCTAAGGATATATTCCATAAAAATATGACTAATCATGGCTCTGCTGTTCTTGACAAGAAGATTTTAAAAGGTTTTTTTCCTAATATATTCCTGTGTGAAACAATGCCTGCCAATTGTGGACCCACCTTAGGGGTCATGGTGAGAACAAGCTTGAATCTTAACTACCTGAGGATGCTTCCATATGACTAATCATTGTTTTGCTATTCTTGAGAAAAAAATTGTTCCCATATATTCAAATGTAAATCTTTGATCACCCATTCTTGTCCCCATCCTACCCCTGGGGGTCATGATTTGAACAAACTTGAAACTACACTACCTGGGGATGCTTCTATGTAAATATCACTAACTATGGACAAGCATTTCTTGAGAAGATTTCTTAAAGATTTTTCCTTTGTGTTCCTACGTAAAACTTTGATTTCTCATTGTGGACTCACCCTAGCCCTGGGGGTCCTGATTTGAACAAATTTGAATCTACACTATGATATGATGCTTATACCTATGTTTCATCTTTTATGGCCAGGTGGTTCTTGAAAATTGAGAAGATTTTTAACAGATGTCTTTAATTTTTCACTAATTCTTAATTATCCACCCTTGAAAGAGGGCTTGGTTCTTTATTTGAAGAAAATTTAATCCCTTTAAACTAGGGATGCTTTGTTGCAAATTTGGTTGAAATTTGCCCAGTGGTTCTTGAGAAGAATGTGAAAATGTGAAATGTCTGTGACAACAAGTACAAGAACATTGACAGACAACAGACAAAATATAATCAGAAAAGCTTGCTGGAGCCTTTGGCTTAGGTGAGCTAGAAATTTATGATCATTAGAACCCAGACTACAAAACCTCTGACCGTGGGCCATGAATTTCACAATTCTGGTTGATGGCTCAGTGCTTATTACATCATGATCATGTCAACAGTTTGACTGCTTCATGTTTAGGAACAGAGGAAGATCTTTAAAGGTACATTAATTTTTTATAATATAATAATAATATTAATTTTTAATAATTTAAATAATTTTATAATAAAAGAATAATTTACACTAAATGTAGCACTAATTTTGATGGCTTTAGTCCCATCCTTTAGGCCCCAAAGGAGCAGGGATAATAAAATTAACATTTTTTGTACCACTTCACCCATTGAAGCTATATGCCAAAATTGATTGAAATTGGGTCACTTCAGTTGTTCAAGAGAAGCAGCTGAAAATGTTTAAAGGTTTTCCACTGATGAATGACGCTTGACACGATGATGGGCGAAAACAGACAGCAATAGGTCACTTGAGGAACTTGGGTAACCTAATAAAATTACATGAAATAATCAAGAGTGATCTATAGTCCTTTACATCAATGACTTGCAGTAATTAAATGGGATACAATACATTCAAAGAACTAGTGAATCAAGTAGCTGATGTTTAAACATCATGATGTACTTACAAATTGTAGACTCTATAGTGGTCCTTATGTCTCTCATCTAGAAAACTGTAAACACAATGCAAATATAAGTCCCTGTGTAATATAAGCTTCAAATGTTACACAATGGTGGGGATGAATATATTGTCAAAATCATGGGTTTTAACTCTAAAACACTCTAACAAAACTTTAAATATTTGACGCACATGTAAAAGGAACTTGCATATAATCAGTTTACATTTTACCAGTAAGTATGCACAAAAAATATCCTTATTAGAGAACATTCGTGCTGAAACTTCTCATAGAAAACTTACTTAACAACATCAGCCATTTTGTTACGATACACACCCTCCAGTTTTTCAGCAGGAAATCCCATGGCAATTATATTTGGGTAAATATCTCAGCTTGCATTAAGGAAACACAATCTATGCACATTAAGCTACAGTGATTACATAAAAAAATCATTAATTTTTTAAGGAAGCAGTTGACTCTAAATGCATGTACCAGTATCTGGATACTTTACATGCAAGTCGAGTGATGCAATGAATTCAAATTAATTAACTATAACTGGATAATGATGGACTATACTTAATTTATTCAAAAAGTGAAAGATTCCCTTGTTGGGTATTTACACTGAAATCCAATTTTTATCTTCTGAGACACTAGACTTGATGCATGCATTCATTTTCTTAGTAGTTATCAACATGACTTAAGAACTTTCTCACCACTAGGGCTGTATCAATATATTGATGGAAAAAATAACTTCCAATACATATTGGGCACTTTTCTTATAATTCTATGAAAAAGTTGGGAATTTCAATCAACAAAGATAATATTTAACTGTTTTGAATTTAAACTGATCAATAATGATATAAACATTAAGAGACAGCACATCTTAAATTATTATTACAAAAATTATGGACATGCAACTATATTTTAACATGTTGGTTTTACAGTCATTAAAACTTTGAATTAAATGATTTACGACTTTTTTAAAGTCTTGTTAAAGAATCCAATATATAGCATATCACTTTATAAAATATCATATTGTATCATATCGAAATTTTTTGCTCACTTCACAGCCCTACTCATCACCTGAGTTTACTTTATGAATGCTGCTAGGCATCAATACACCTCACTCTTTGAGTGTCTGACAACAGTTTTATTCACATTCAAAATTACATATATTTATTGCAATGTCCGTAATCACCAAAAAACAGATCTTCAAATTCCTTCAAAAGAAAATGCTTTCCTTGACAAAATCTTTGGAACCTTGTAAGAGCATGTTCCCTGTCGCTGAGTATATGTGTCTTTGAAGGTTACTGCTTAAGCTAATTAGCCCTAAAAATCTTATCAAATATTAGCAGAGCTAGCTAACACTAAGCAGAAAAAATGATGCCATTCATCATTTATTTTTACACTGCAATTCTATCTGGCTGCCTACTAGAAACATTTTGAAGCTTGGACTTTCTGTGTTCTCGACAAACTATGAGATGATTTAAGCTTAATGCCTTTATCTATTAATTGTGGAAAATGTTGTATGCATCTACTCTCTCCAATAAACCCTTTCATCACAAATTGACAACTGTGGTATATTACTTTTTTCCCAGAGAAAATTAATACATTTGGCAAATTTTTAGTTGACAGATAATTAAATGATGTTTTTTAAACAACTGCAGCTATGAATCTATATTTCAGCAATTTTTTTATTTGCCCTGCAAAACAGCAGTATTGCAATAATAGTCAAACAGTCTATGCTAACATTTTTATCTCATACCTAGATAAATAGATAAACCAATAAATAGTGTGTCTCCTATTCCAACCCGAAAAAAATAGGGTAGGTATAGGTAGAAAAAACATTTTATCTTAAATTTTAAATAACTTTGGCAATCAACAATTATATTTTAAAGAGAAACAATATCCCCTTCTAATCCCAAAATGTGCAGCTTAATGATGGAAATCACAGGGGAAGATAGGATATATGTGGAAAAGACTGAGAATAGGATTTCTAATAGTGAAACCAGAATTGTCTACTTTCAAAAAGTATACAATGTCAGAAAAGTTTTCTGGGTTGGCTCATATAATTTAGGGTAGGTTGACAAACCAGAAACATACAATTTATTTATCTAGGCCTCATGCAAAAAGTATAGCCTAAGTCAATGTCAGAGTGTTAACTGTGACATAAATCTAAGTGTTTCACCTCCTACTGAAAGTGCAGGCTATCAATAAATTTGTAATAATTCTGTACAACAATTGCACTGCTTATTCAAATGTCAATTTTAAGTATTTGATCCTATTTTTCTTCAAAATTGACCTTCTTAGTTTTATGAGAAAAGAATTGCTTAAACACGATTCCTGTGGTATTACGTGAAATGATAAACATAAACTTCTTTTCATATAGGACACATTCAAGTCCCTTAACTCCAAATCTAACTACATGTATTTACAAAAGACCCGTTTCACGATAACTGCAGTACTGCTCTCTTGCAGGGCAAAATGACATACTTTGGTGAAATATGATGCAAAAGCAATTGCTTAATATACGTCATTTAATTACATGTCAACAAAAACTTCGCCAAACATTATTAATTTGCCCTGCAAAAGAGTAGTACTGCAGTTATCATGAAGGGGCTAATAAGTAAGCCTGGCCTGGCACAATGCATGACGATAAACATGATAAATTGTCTTGCCTTTGAACAATCTCTTCATGGTTCTGCATGGCATTAACAAACCCCCTTTACAACATGTTACTATGATTACAAAGTTCACTCATTAAATAACTACAGGTCATATGGCATAATTTAAGTTTTACAGAAATCTAATGTTGTGATCATTCCTAAGCATTATAAAGATACAATTACTTTGATCATAAATACATATAAATACATTTAGATCCATCAAGAACAATATAGTCAGTGCACACTCAAACTCAAAGTGTAAATTAAAAGCATTATGCAAGTTCACGTACATAGAGGCTCATTTGCAATGACATTTATGATTTACATAACACCAGTTTTGAACTCTTAAGCTTTTAACAATATAGAAAGGTGCAAAACATGTGATGGTTTACTTGACTTATTGGTAAACAGTGTGTATGCATCACTATGATAAATTTTGATGTCATTCTCAAAAAATCCTACCACTGAGTTTCACAAGCATAGCTCACTGGTACAATTTTTGCCGACTTATTTTTTGCTCAATTGATAAAATTACAGACTCCTGAACCTACTCTTATTTAAAAATTTGAAATGATGCATTAAACAACAAATACACATTACCATTAAATTGCGGATGAAATAATATAAAAGGATACATGTAAGATCGAGGTCGAAGCCATCCTCCGTGTAGCGTCTCTTGTGCTTACTGACAAGATTTTTAATAAAGTTCGCCATCTTGTACATGTGGTCCTCCAAAAATCTCAAATTATGAAGATGATGTTAACTCCATTCTTATGTCATGGTCAAACACTGAAGAAACTTCCCACAGTCAGAATTTCCTCTGAGGTTATTTCTCCAATCCTTATCACATCTTGTTTACTACTGAACTGATGAGATGATAGCTGTAAAGTACAAAAAGTACAATGTCAGTGGTTAAGGAAACACTTCCTTGGACATGAAATAAGACTCTTATACGAAATACCTCTTCCTTTATTACATTCCCGTTCCCTTTCCCTTTATTTCACTATGGCGGCTTCCTGGTGTAATGTGTATATTCCGCGGTCAAATATAGTTCATAATTGTTTTCTTGAAAACTGTTACACTATTTACCTCTCTTTTAGTCCCGTATTACTCCTGAAGAGTATTGTGATCGTCGAAGATACAATCACACCGTTCTCATCATTCCTCAAGAGAACTAATACGCTTTGGACTGCGTTTGTTTATTTGTTACGCGAGGCTGTTAACCCACTAACCTATAATTTTATGACCTAAAAACTATCAAGGACAATAACCCCAACACTAAAAATAGAGTTATCTTTCTTAGACTACTTAGGGGAGGGTGGAGTATTCCGCGGGGAAGGGGGAGCTATTAGGGGGGGGCACACTCCCACTTTTTTTATGAATAGTCTTTCGCTGAAATTTGCTATACAAATTTTTATTTCGATGTTCCACCTGTTCGAACACTGGCAAATGATTCCAGCATTAAAAAAAAATCCCCCCCCCAAAAAAAAGCCCCCTCGCCCAGAAATAGGATATTTTGCATGTCTAATTTTTGCGTGGAGGTCCCCCCTCCCTTGAAAAACTGAACTTATCATCAGGTCTCATTGACCCTTAGATATATTTTTATTTTTAGAATCAATTTAATTTTATAATAATTTGTCATTTTTACTCTGGCATATACATGTATATATAGTTGAGAAACTTGTCAAGTAATCTTAATGCAGATTTGTTTAATCATAACTAAATGCTTAAAATGTTTGTTTGTTTTTTTTTGTTTGTTTTTTTTTTTGTTGTTGTTGTTTTTTTTTTTTTTTTTTTTTTTTTTTTTTTGTTTTGTTTTCTGATTTTTTTTTTAAAGATTCTGATCATTTTTTCTCTCAATGCCCATATTATGATCTTGCCAGGAACTCTTTGATTACATATATGATTGACCATGAGTAAGCAAAGAGATATCAATATTGTATTGTCTGGTTATGATTGTCTATCTCTTAGAGAAATCTATATATATATATATATATATATATATATATATATATATATATATATATATATATATATATATAATTATATATATATATATATATATGCCGACGTCATAAATGTTGAGTTATTTCTCTCTATTTTTATTGAGATCTATATATTATAATTATATTTTCACAGCATTTTTTCAATAAAAAGATTTAATAATTTTAAAGCATTTGCAATTTAATGTAAGCTAAATAGGCCTATAACACAATTAATTAACCATTATATTATATGTACATGTAGATTTTATGCATGCGATTAATTCTTAAATACGCAATCGAAATACATTTTCATATTATATTATTATAATTCAATTCTAGTTGTAACGTTGTATTTGATTGGATAAAGAAATTACTTTATATCGTATAAATTGGGTTGCCTATATCACATTGACTTGCGTCAAAAACGTATCGATCCGCCTGACGTTACATTCAAATTTTATACAAATTGAAGTATTTTTTTAAGGGTAATCATCTTTTTTTCTTATACCAAATAAATGAAAATTAAATTATAAGGAATGAAATTAATAGCTACGCAATTTATACGGTATAAACTGGGTTGGAACAGTTTACGCTTTTTTATAAACCGCTTCGCGGTTTATAAAGCGTAAACTGCCCCAACCCAGTTTATACCGTATAAAATGGGTAGCTGTTAAATTCATTCCTTAAATAACTGTGAAACTAAAATAATGGTAACAGTCCATTATAACAGAAATATTTTTCAAGTTACACTAATAATAAATTTTATAACATTTCCCAAACAGATCAAATGAAATACCTCCCCCCTTTTCAGAGAGAAAAAAACCCACTTTGTTTTAGTAATTTTCTTTTTAAAAAATGCAAATTCATGTAATTTTTAATCATTACGTGATTTGACATAGGAAAACAATGGATTCTTCTTCCAGTAATAACTCTGATTTGAATCCGAAAGCAAAGATGATGTTCCCTTGCCATCAAACCATTTCCCCCGATATATGGGACATGTTTACCCGCCTCTACGTCGAAGCCCCCCCCCCCCCCGTCTATATATTTCAAGAAATTATTACATACCTGATCATATTAGAAGTCATATAGATTTTTTGATAGTTTGATGTGCAGAGCAGGTTCTATCCTCTCAACATTTACACAAACCATATTTAACGAACCATAAATACTCAGATATACTAATCACATTTTATTTGGAGAAACTGAAATAGGAAATCTTATAGGCAGGAAACTCTCTGGCTTTTAGGACACCTGCACAGGCGCGTATCCAGAAACTTTTTTCATGGGGGGGGGGGGGGGGGCCGGGTTCCACCCTTGTTAAAAAAAATCCAAAGTGAAACAGGGGGTTGCTTTCCTTCACATGTATGTCTATTTCTACCACCTATCTTCGCAAGGGTAGTCCATTTTTTTTAAAACTATTTACTACGTACATTTAATAACTCCGCAAATTCCACGTGGGGGGGGGGGAGTCTGGACCCCCCCCCCCCCGATCCGTGCATGCTGCATATCAAGAAATTATTAGGAAAGGCAGGTAAGTTTCTCCATAGCATTGATAGATATACCTCGCGCGGGACCCCTGAATATATGACCCAGCGCACATGTCCAGTACTAGTACGAGACCTTGCAAGTATAATTAGCACATTTCCAAAGGATAACAATTTGGCGAGAGGTCTTACATGTACTATTGATGAAAGATTTAAAATATTAGTTTTTTTGCATGTAAACACTCGCATTAACTGGATAAAACTGAGCTTACATGAAATCTATACTGAAAAATCTACATAGAATGAGAGCTAATACGTATTTTACTTTTTGTCGTGGTATCATGTGAAAGGAGTAATTAATTTACAAACATGTATATACATGTATGCTCAAATACTCTTTTACATCCCTTCAAAATAATCACCCTTTACTTCAACACATTTTTGAAGTCATTTTACCCAGCTTTGGAACGCACGAAAGAGGTATACTCTTTAGACACTGATACACCGCTGAACCTAATGCAGAACGGTAATGGAAACGCCGTCCAGATAGCATTTTCTTTTTCAATTTAGGGAATAAGAAAAAGTCACATGGGGATAAATCTGGTGAATAAGGGGGGTGATCCAGTTGCTGTTGCTCCATTTTCACACAAGAAACCTTGTGTGTACTCTGCAGTGTGTGCTGGGGTATAATCATGTTAAAGATTGATCCTCCTGACTTTGGTCTTCTGTTTTTGTGATGTTTTTGTACCTCAGACAATTTCTTTTTCACGTTAACAACTTTAGTAACACTTCTGTCCTTTTTAATTGGAATTTGAGCGACTACCCCGTAAGAATAAAAAAAATGCATACAAAACCTTCCTTGCTGTCTTGCCGCGTTTAGCAATGGTATGTCGTTTACTTTGTTTAGTAAGCCATATTTTGTTTCCCATTTTCTCTCAGGTTCATAAAAATGTAGAAAAGTTTCATTCCTCGTAACAATTTCAAAAAGACGTATTTTATCACATTTTCCGTAAATTTTCAATAGTTTTCGAGAAATTTGCAATCGCTTTCGTTTTTGCTCATCATTTAAAATGTGTGGGATCCACCTAATACTTTCCTGACTTCTAAACGTTAAAATCTTAAAAATGCTACCCGATGAAATGTTCAGCTACTTAACAATCTGGTTCACGGTCACTCTGCCATCTCTGTCGATTATGTTTTTTACTGCTGCAATGAAATATGTATGGATAACGAACAGTATTCGAGCTCAAAATTCCATTAAACATTACAAAATAGGAGCAGAGTAAACACGGATCTCTAAGACATCAGAGGTGGGATCAGGTGCCATGGAGGAGTGAGCATCCCCTGCCGACCGGTCACACCGGCCGCGTGCTCCTTGTTATGATCGGGAAATGACGGAAAAATCCGTAGGCAATTCATTGTGTAAATAATGGCCTAACAATTAGTATGAAAAAAAAGTCAGTCAGCATTTGACTTAATGATAGATTGTATTTGCTGACTAGGTCATTATATCGACCATAGAACTTACGAAATGATGACTTTACACAAGACTGCTGATATTCTTGTTTCATCAACTTGTTTTTCAATAATTTGCCTCGTTTTAGAAATTGTTCATACGTAGAGCATGCTCTGGTGTATCGAATCAATTGAGATATAAACTCCGTATGCAGGTGATAAGGGTATATTGCTGCATAGGTAAGGGAAGTTGACGATTGAAAAGTTAAAGTCATCACGATTATCATAAAACTTTGTTGTTGGATTACCATTAACGTCTTTTTCTAATAAAATATCCAAATATGAAACAGATGTGTCAGACTCTGTGGTATCTTTTATCTCAAGCTAAGCGGGATATATCGTGTCGACATGAGAATGGAAATAACCATTGTTATTTGACAATAAGTCATCGATATATCTAAATGTCGAGTTGAAGGCCGCAGCAAGTGTTTTCTTCTTTTCTCGTAAAAGATTTTGAAGAAATTCTGCTTCATATGAATACAAAAATAGGTCTGCTAATAACGGGGCGCAATTGGTACCCATGGGAATTCCAATAGATTGTTGGAAGAGCTGGTCTCCAAAAACCACATAGATATTGTCAATCAGAAACTCGAGCATCTTTTTAATGCCAACTTCAGAGTACTTGTGTGTACAATCAGATTGTTTTTTGACAAAGGAATTTTGCAAATGACCAATTACAAGGTGAGTAAATTTCCATTTTTATAGAAAAAGCAGCTATCAACGATGTCAAAAGTCTGGACTTTAATCTATCGTGGGGAATAGTTGTATATAAAGTTGAAAAGTCGTAAGTTTTTATGTTGTTAATTTTGGTAAAATTTTGTGATTTCAAATGTTCCAAAAGTTCCTTGGAATTTTTTAGCATCCATATCTGATTTACACCACTTCTCGAATATATTGTTGCACAGTACTCTTGAAGTGCAACTGATTTCTCATTGATAACCGATCTTGGCCTTCCGGACTGTTTGATATTTTCAACTGAATCCCTACCAAGTTTGAAATGCTTTATCCGTCGATAAACGGTTTTGATAGCTACAACAGAGTTTCCATATAATGACATGAGTTCTTTGAAAATTTCTTTTCCGGTAATATTCATTAGAAGATGATATTTGATATACGACCTGATGTTCAAATGTCCTTTCGGGACTTTCCTTCTGTCTTCATGTTAACAGTGTCCTCAGGGTGGGTCCGAAAAAGATGCTTTCTTTGAGAATTGCTTTATAAATAGGTTGTGACTACGTGTCAAATCAATAGTATGGAAGACAATAAACATTTCAAGAGATGTTCCAATTCAATCAAGTGTAGAATTTAATTAAATGGAGTACATTTAGTGTCATTATTTAATGAATAGCTCTCGTGTGTCATAATTCGAACCTCATCATGTATAAATATGTCTTAAATTTCAAAGTACTTCGTCAAAAAACAAGAAAGTGAGGCTTTTGTTTCAGCCAATTAGAGCGAAGCACACGTGCATACGCGCGCTTTCTAATATCTAATTCAGCCATCTCATCTTGTCTACAAAACTAATATATGTTTATATAATAAGGTTCAAGGCATATCATCAAAATACGGTTAAAGCTGTTTCAATTATATTAGTCATTTCACTCCTCGCACGCGCACACACGTGCATGCAAGTGCACGCGAAATGACCTTCGTTCCACACAATTACGTAACATGCCCGTTAATCGTAAAAAGGTTTCATCTCAACAATTGGAAGAGTAGTTTCCGAGAACACTAGCGGACAAAAAAGTACCGGAGAAGAAATTTTGAAAAAAAAAGAAAAGAAAAGAAAAACAATATGTTCCGAAACTTTGTTTGGGGAACATAATTACACAGAATAAGAACTCTTTGGTGTGCAGTGTGTATAAAGTTCCCTTAACAATTTATTTGTTATTAACGTTACAATGACTCATTATATTGCACAAAAATATACTTCCAAGGTGAAAAATACCTGGCAGATAAGTCATGGTGCCGGATTCTTAAAATTTACAAAGATGGGTGAACAAGCCGAGAAAAATACCTATTGATTGACAAATAAGTAAGTGAACCAGAAGTCTTTGATGAGACTGTAGCTCTACTGGTCTGTACATATCACAAAGGAAAAGTAGCACTTGGATTTGAAACTTTGCAACAAGCAGAAATAAATAGAATTATGTATCTTAATGTAGTCTACTTGTGTGCCAGTTCATATTGAAATCAAACGAAAACTGTAGGAGGAGTAGCGTTTTGAAAGTATTTCATAGAAATTTCTATTTTTAGTAACCATGGCAACACCATTCGCTGAAATCAAAATCCGATATACACTATTATGTATCGTAGTGTGGTCTAATTGTGTGAAAATTAGATTGAAATCAGTCCAAAACTGTACCAGGAGTAACGTTTTAAAGGAATTTTACAGAAATTTCTACTTTTAGTAACCATGGTAAAACCATTCATCAAAATCAAAAACCAATTCATCAAATTATGTATCTTAGTGTAGTCTACATGTCTGCCAAGTTATTTTAAAATCAGATTAAAACTGTAGGAGGAATTGCGTTTTCAAGGAATTTCACAGATATTTCTATTTTTAACAATTTAACAATCGTAGTGTAATCTACTTGTATGCAAAATTATATTGAAATCAGACCAAAACTATAACAGGAATAGCTTTTTAAAGCAATTGCACAGAAATTTCTATTTTTTGTAACCATGGCAACACCGTTCATCAAAATCAAAAATCGATGCACTGAATTATGTATTTTAGTGTAATCTACTTGTATGCCAAATTATATTGGAATCAGACCAAAACTGTAGCAGGAGTAGTGTTTTAAAGGAATTTCAATACAGAATTTACTATTTTACTTACCATGGCAACACCGTTCATCGAAATCAAAAACCGAGGCACTAAATTATGTATCTTAGTGTATTCTACTTTTGTGCCAAGTAATAACGAAATCAGACGAAAACTGTAGAAGTAGCGTTTTGAAAAAAATGTTTACAGACAGACGGACAGATAGACATACGGACACCTTACTATCGCATAAGCTCTTCTGGTCTTTGACCAGTAGAGCTAAAAAATCGCAATCTCAATTATTATACAATTATGGACTCTTTAACTGGTGAATATGGTTTGATAATCACCAGAAAAATATCCGTAGTGACCGAGGGAAAAAAAAGCGTAACAAAACAAACATGGAGCAAGGACCCACTCTACTCTAAAAAGCACTTTCAATTATGACAAAAATTCGTATCTTTCCCAGAAATATTTGAAGTCCAGTTATTCAAGAGTCATATCACAAACAATTTAAGATTTAAATAACGCTGCCTGTTACGAGGTGTATTGTGTAGTGGTTATAGTGTGTCAGTGTCTGAAAGAGGAAACTGATGTTCAGGATTTTTATCCACTGGTTTCGAATCCCATTAAATCCTTAATAGTAGAAAGAGTTTTTTCGCAGATTTTTTTTTCATAATTTCATAGATTTTAATAATTGGAATTTTGCTCTAAATACTTAGATCACAAATTGAATCTAATTTTTATACATTTGAAACTATAGGCATTTCAATCTAATTAAAATTAGATGTTCCGAATCCGCTACCGTTTGAAGCGGTAGCGGATTCGGAACATAACATCTAAATTTAATTAGATTCTAAGAATTTTGCATGCCTTGTTCGCCCAATTTCTTTAAAACCCAGGAGGTTGAAAATAAGCTTACTAACGCTCTTTACAGACCTCGATAACATTTTTCATATATATATATATATATATATATATATATATATATATATATATATATATATATATATATATATATTGTTACGTGGGGTATAACAAGTTGCGTGGGGGGTATAATTATTAAACCATCGATTTTCAGGTAGCTAATGTTTGTATTCAAACTGGGGCTGGCGATCAGGGGATGCTCACTTTGCCGTCATGAACAAAATTTTTTTTCCTTGGTTTTCTTCAATTTCCCTTGCAGAGTTGTCGTTCGTTCCTCTCTCAGACACATCTGCAATTAGTCTGAAATATCTGACGTTTTCCTGGCTTTTTTACTATTTTTATATTTAACGTGCCAGGAAAACGTCAGAACCGGCGCCATTACGAAAACTGGAAATTTCGCCGTCTCCAATCGGAGTTGATTTTCGATACCTGGGAACCGAATTAAATGTCGTTTTCACAATTTATCAATAACACAATGCTTCTAGTACTCACCAATATCGATGAAAAGAAAACTTCACTCATCATTTCGATACAGGACTTGAAAGATTTTAAAATGCACGAAATGATAACAAATCTCGACAGTCAGATAAAGTTTTCATGGGATTATATATTTTATAAACAAACCATAAAAAACGATGTTGGTGAGTACTAAAGGCATTGTACTATTGATAAATTGTGAGTTTGACATTTCATTCGCTTTGCAAGTATCGAAAATGAACCCGAGAATGCCGCCTCTGGTTGGAGGCGGCGAATTCCCAGTTTTCGTAATGGCGCCTGTTCTGACGTTTTCCTGGCACGTAAAATATCAAAATCGTGAAAAAAGCCTGGAAAACGTCAGATGTTTCGGACTAATCTGCAATGGGCTCGCGTCAAGATTTATGACAAAAGGTACAAAACAGGATTTTCCAAGGATTGTTTCAAATTAAACATATATCTAGATCTTCTACTTAGTAAATATATACCTTAAATACAAACGTGATTGCAGGAATATAATTATGAAATATGGAGATAACAGTTTTCAAGCTAAGAAGTCCATATAAACAATATAAATCTGGAACAAAGCAAACACGGACCTCTAAAACATCAAAAGGTTGAATCAGGTGCCATGGAGGAGTGAGCATCCCCTGTCGACCGGTTACACCCGCCGTGTGCTCTTTGTTATGATCGGGAAAAACGGAAAAATCCGTGAACTATTCAGTGTGTAAATAATGGCCTTAGAATTAGTACGAAAAAGTCAGTCAGCATTTGACTTAATGATTAGATTGTATTTGCTGACAACGTCATTGTATCGACCATAGAGCTTGCGAAATTATGACTTCAAACGAGACTGTTGATATCCTTGTTTCATCAATTTGTTTGTCAATAGCTTGCCTCGTTGAGTATCGAATCAACTGAGAGACATAACCCCCATCTGCAGTTGACAAGGGTATAATTGCTACTTAAATATAAGGGAAGTTGACGATTGAAAGATTGAAGTCATCACGTTTATCATTAAGCTTGGTTGTTAGGTTACCATTAATGTCTTTTTCTAGTAAAATATCCAAATATGAAACATATGTACCTGTTTCATATTTGGTAAAATATTCAAATATGAAACAGATGTGTCAGATTATGTGTTTTCTTTTATTTCAAGCTCACATGGGAATTCCGACAGATTGTTGGAAGACCTGGTCTCCAAAAACTACATAGATATTGTCAATCAGAAACTTAAGCATCTTATGTGTTATCTTTTATTTCACGCTCACTGGAATATATCGAGTCGACATATGAATGGAGGTAAATATTGTTAATTGATAATACGTTCTGCTTCATATGAATACAATAAATAGGTTTGCTAATAACGGGGTGCTATTGGTACCCATGGGAACTCTGACAGATTGTTGGAAGACCTGATCTCCAAAAATTACATATATATTGTCAATCAGAAACTTAAGAATAAAGAAAGAGGATTGGTAGAACACTTACTGGAACCTGTTACATGTACGTATCTTTGTAAGGATTTTTATGAAGTTTAGAAATCCAGTTTAGGTTTAGGTATATACGGTAATTCAAATTCACTTTGGTTGTTGGGAATATCAAAAATATTTAAAACTGACATGATTTTGAAGAATTTCCTCCTTAGAAACGGAGCTATGTGTATAAGTTCACTGTTGGATTACCACTTGCAGAATTAAATCCCAGTTCCCCTAAAATACAATTAAAATAATAAGCCTTATACGTCGTTACCTGTTTTGTCAGCTAGGACAGAAATTATGGATTAAAACAAATGCACTATTCGGTAGAAGAAAAGAAAATGTTCAAAAGTTTACTATCATCCAATTACACACAAAAGTAGTGACAAAAAATAGTTTGAGTCACTCAGGTGACTTATTTAATGTGCTAAAGTTCTTCACTAGTTTTGGATTATAATTGTAATGGAAGAAAAATTCCATTCTATAAATTTCACTTTCTTTTTTTATCACTTCACTGACTGTCTTCATTCCAGCTTCTAAAAGAGCCTGAGTTTTTGCACATACTAAAATGTGAAATGGTTTATTTGAATGTGAAAATCCAATGCTCCCATTTTGCCCTCTGATAATAAGAGTACACTGAGTTTCTCTCTCTAAAGCACCTTGTAAACTACCAACACCAGAGCAGATCTTCTTGATAAAATGCCCTCCAAGATCCTCTTCTAAATGCAATTTCCTTCTAAATTTTAGTTCAGCAAAGTTCTCAACTCCCTCCTGTATGACATTTTCCACTTGAATTACAGCTTCTTTTAACTGTTCTTGAGTTTCTGAGTACACTTTTAAAGTATGATTGTGCAAATCAAGCACCAATTTACATTTATGATCTCTTTCCAGTTTCTTTCGATGACTTGCTTTATCACGCCCAAGTAAGAAATCAAACAGAAAGTTGTCATCTTCACTAGCACATGGAAGTTTAATAATTTTCATCGCTTTAAACATCTTGCTATGATCCTCAAAGAACCTTCTCACAACCACACCAGCTTTCAAAACTTGTTCTTCATTTTCACCCGTTAAAACAATACTGAACACACCTTCACTTCTCATCCCTTTAAAATGAATATTACATCCTGTTTCTTTTTCCAACTCATACAATATTTCTCCATCTGACTTCAAGAGACTTTGTATAATATGTTTATTATAAGTAAACTTAAGAACTTTGACTGTCCTTGCTTCTGAATGCAAAAATAGTTTATCCTTGTGATCAATGAATGCTTTCACATCTTTAACTGCATTGTCAACAGAAGCCATTGTTGGTCCTAGGAGAATTACTTGTGGAGGATTGTGTTTTTCTATGCTGGTCCCTTTTCCAGTCATTATAAATGTGCACTGAGTTTTTTTCCTTAAATTTTCTGAAAAAGTCTTTGATGCATTTAAGAAAGCTAAATCATCTTCCTTGATAGCAACTCTTTTAAAGCACTTTTTCTTTTGAAGAAGTAAAACATTTTTCACTAATTCTTTGGCCCTGAATAATTCCTCATTGCTATTTGCAAACACTTTCATACCATATGGTAGTTGACTAAAATTTGGCATCAAGAAAAAGCTGGGATCTTTCCCTAGTTGTGCTAGTTGGTTTTGTGGTTTGAATAAGGGATGGTTTTGGAGAAGATCTTCACAAAGGTATATTTGATATAAACCACCAGTATCTAACACTGAAAATGGTACCATTTCACAAATATTGTGTTGCTTCAGGATCCTTTCAATAAATGTTTCCAATTTTTGAATGGCTTTACTAACATGGTAATGATCACCAGTGGCAGTTACAGAATAAGGAGGGCATATTTCCAGGTGGAGTGTACATTTAGTTTCCTTTGACAAATACTTTTTCATCTTAGCTTTGAACCCTAACAGGAATAAAACAGATTGCTCTGAACTCTCATCAGTGGATAAGTTCAAGGTTTGATTGATCTCAAGGTTATTTTCTCTCTTCTGACCTGTTAGAAATTTATCTAAATATAACAAAGCGTTCTGCACATCATTCACAGCATTTCCCTTCACAATCACTTGATCAGCTCTTTTGGAAGAATAAAAGAGGCTTTGGAGTTGAAAGTTGGTTTTGATTTTAGTAAGATCCTCATCAGTAAGCTTTTTAATGTGTATGTCTTTCTGAAGCTTTAGGGTTCCAGTAATGTTCCCTTTTTCTACAGGGATTTCCTTCTCATAATCAGTACCTCTTACAACTGGTCTAGATGGAACAAAACTGCAAGCTTTTATATGTGGCAGACATTTAGCTGAAGGACTTGGCAATACCTCAATTAAATTTAGCCTAAAAGACCTAAAACAGAAGAAGTATGTTCATTTACTGCATAATAACAATAACGTAAAACAGTAGTTTAATTGCTGTCTCATCAGTTTAGATATTACAAGCATCTGAAAAGTCCAAAATGTGGCTAGTAGATTAAGAACTGTAATTTTGCATAGGGAGACATATCAGATCATACAGAACTAGCTTATTTGTGTTGAGAGGAGTGAGTAAATTGTAATTGAAATAATGTTTAATGGAAATTCAAAAGGATTTGAGGAAAGGGGTGTGTGTTAACATGGTACAAGTATATATCAGGATAATCTGAGCAGTTACAATGGGTGATAAAGTGATACATACAGTTATTGGTATATATATATATATATATATATATATATATATATATATATATATATATATATATATATATATATATGCTCACCTGAGCCGAAGACTCAAGTGAGCTTTTCTGATTGAAATTTGTCTGTTGTCTGTCATTGTTGTCCTTGTAAAATTTTCACATTTTCATCTTGTTCTCAAGAACCACTGGGCCAGTTTTAACCAAACTTGCCACAAAGTATCCTTGGGTAAAGTGGAATCAAATTTGTTCAAATGAAGGGTCATGCCTTCTTCCAAGGGGAGATAATTATGAATTCGTGAAAAATTAAAGACATCATTTAAAAATCTTCTTCTCAAGAACTAATGTGCTTGAAAATATGACACTTATGTGGAATCATTGTGAGGTAGTATAGATTCAAGTTTGTTTCAAATCATGATCCCCAGAGGTAGGGTGGGGCCACAATGGGTGATAAAAGTTTTACATAGACTATGCAGGAAAAATCTTCTTTTCATGAACAGCATAGCCATGATTGGTCCTATTTATATGGAAGCATCCTCTGGTAGTGTAGATTCAAGTTTGTTCAAATCATGATCCCCGGGGGTAGGGTGGGGCCACAATGGGTGATAAAAGTTATACATAGCAATATGCAGGAAAAATCTTCTTCTCAAAACAGCATAGCCATGATGGGTCATATTTATATGGAAGCATCCTCAGGTAGTGTAGATTCAAGTTTGTTCAAATCATGACCTCTGGGGGTAGGGTGGGGCCACAATGGGTGATGAAAGTTTTACATAGGAATACACAGGAAAAATCTTGAAAAATCTTCTTCTCAAGAACAGCAAAGCCATGACTGGTCTGACATAATAATATTAAAGCATCCTCAGGTTATGTAGATTCAAATTTGTTCAAATCATGATCCCCTGGAGAATAGAGGGCCATAACAGGGGGTCATAGCTAAACAAAGGATATACCAATAAAAATTTTCTTCTTAGGAACAGCAAAGCCATTATGTGTCATATTCATTCAGAAGCATTCCTTAAGAAGTGTAGATTCAAGTTAGTTCAAATCATACAAATCACCCTCCCCCTCCCTCCCCAAACCACTTTTATAATTAAACTTTTCAAGACTAAATTGATCTCTGCTTTTTCCTAGCCAAAGTGCTCAGGTGAGCAATGTGGCCCCTGGGCCTCTTGTTTAAATTTTGACTGATTGCATGGATCTGATATTTATGCTGGATGTTATGAATTGTGAACTTTAAAACAGTGATATCATTTATTTTATAAAATAAAGGCATTATTTATCAAAATAAATGCAACTTGAGACCTTACATAAGCTTTTGCTATCAATGATACAATGATGCACATTGAAGTGGTAAAATTCTTCATTTGAATGGAACATTTCTTAGAGAATGTTGATTGTTACATAATGACGTGCCCATTTCTTTAGAGACAAGAAAGCAATAATTGATGCAATGTTTTAGACACCCCACTCTCTGTGACTAGCTACATGGGTTTTGCTGAAATGAGGATTTTATGAAGTTAGCAGAGAGAGTGAGAGATTCTCCAATTCTGTAAAACTTGCATATTGTTATAAAAATTTAATAATTATGCAATTATCATGTTCATTGAAGTTATTATGTAGACTGTCAATCTGATTGGCTATTGTATTTAAAACTATTTACAGAATACCTGTTCTACAGGTATTCAATTGAAGCATGTGAGAAAATTTTCTCCTTACTGAAGAAATGAGCGTGCCATTATGTAACAATTAATTTCAACAGAAAGCTCAAATCATTCCATTCAAACAGAAAATGTTATCACTTCAATGTGCATCATTGTTACAGTAATATATATATCAAAGACATAAATAATAAAATGTTGTTTTATGTCACTGATGATCATAATATGGATCTGTAATTAATAGTACAATATCCACAAGAAACTGCAATTCATTGATTTCTCTTACTTTTATCCCAGCTTTTAAATTTTGATATGAGCAAAGGAAGTCAGTGCAGATGCCAATCTAAAATCAGAACTCCCTATAACAAACAGGTGAAATATTAAAGCAACATCAAAATATAAAAGTTGGTGTGAGAGTTGAAGGAATCTGGGATTTAATATGTCCTTTGAACTTTGGAAGAAATTGTCAATGATCACCTTAAACTTGCTTAAACACAATATACAGATACATATGCCAATAATATATAAGAAATGGGAAATGTGTTTCAATCTTTTTAAGGTAGTATGGGATACCTCCACGTTATGACGTATTTCCGTTTGAAGTATTGTTTTGATTTGCATGAGTGCTTATTATCGGGTCAAAATTTGTAGTTACACCGTTGAAAAGAACACTCTGAAGCCTATTTCAATGCAAGTTCTCACAAGTCGGCATTTTAAGTAAAAACAGACAAAAAAAATCGCAAGTATATAAATTTACTTATAATTGTACAACGGACATTTAAAAAAGCAAACCCCTGTAAAAGGTAGTTTCAACATTGCTGCTTTTGAACACTTTTAAGCAAAAGCTGTATTTCAATTGTTTGAGTAACTGTACAGCACCTTGTGTGCGGTGAGGCATGGATAAGTGTGATTACTTCACATTGTGCTGAATTATCACCAATCAATTATCACGTTAACCACAGCTGGACTTTTTTGTTATTTAATTCAAGAAGTAACTGTTTGGTCACAAATCAGCTAGCTGTTGTATATAGTCCCAAAACGTTCAGATGAATGCAATTGCTCTGAACAAGACACGTCCTGGAAAGCGATTGTCCATGCATTGTTTTCAAAACCGCTCAAAGTTGAAAACTACAAAGTGCGATTTTTTTATGGTTGGGAAAAAATGCTCATCATTTCTAAAATAGCACCCAGGTTTTTTCAACCCTTGGAAAATAAAGAAGGATAACTCTTCCGCTCGGATCTTTTAATTCAAAAAATTTTAAATGCATTTTATATTTTCCATTTATACATATATTTTCAATTTGTTTATTTCACTTTGCTAACATATTAAGATACATTCTTATTGTAGACTTTCATGAAATGTTATCCGTCTGTTTTCAAGAAATAAAGTTTTCCCAGTTTTTTACGCTTATTTTTTGTTGAAAATTAAAAAAATACTAAGACATATTTCTTGTCATTTTTGTTTTTATATACACTTTATATTAGCAAACGCCTGCCTATAATATTAAGCTTATGAAAAAAGAATTATGCAAGGAAAAAATCATTTTTGTATTTCTCATTAAAATAATAAAAAAAATTATTAAAATTACACTTTAATATACTGAAAGGTGGGGGTATTTCAAATCCTTCTAATTTGGGTACATAAATATGTAGGAGAAGTTTCGTTTGGTATCCCATACCACCTTAAAATCAAATCTACTAAGCCTCAAGGCACCAACTTCAAATTACAATTAAGATAATTGAGATATACATGACATCAGCTGGCTGAATTTTCATATGGCTGTTCTGGCACTCCTCCTCATACCAAAATATACATGATTGTAAAGTGAAGAAAAGAGTCAAAGAAATCTCCCTTTTTTAGCTCACCTGAGCCGAAGGCTCAAGTGAGCTTTACTGATCACATTTTGTCTGTAGTTCGTCTGTCCGTCTGTCTGTAAACTTTTCACATTTTCGACTTCTTCTCAAGAACCACTGGGCCAATTTCAACCAAACTTGCCACAAAGTATCCTTGGGTGAAGGGGATTCAAGTTTGTTCAAATGAAGGGCCACGCCCTCTTTCAAGGGGAGATAATAAAGAATTAGTGAAAAATTAATAGCATCTTTTAAAAATCTTCTTCTTAAGAACCACAAAGCCAGGGAAGATGAAACTCATGTGGAAGCATCCTCAGGTAGTGTAGATTCAAGTTTGTTCAAATCATGACCCCCGGGGGTAGGGCGGGGCCACAATGGAGGATCAAAGTTTTACATAGAAATATATGGGAAAAACCTTTTAAAATCTTCTTCTCAAGAACAGCAAAGCCATGATGAGTCATATTTATATGGAAGCATCCTCAGGTAGTGTAAATTCAAGTTTGTTCAAATCATGACCCCCGGGGGTAGGGCGGGGCCACAATGGAGGATCAAAGTTTTACATAGAAATATATGGGAAAAACCTTTAAAAATCTTCTCCTCAAGAACAGCAAAGCCATGATGAGTCATATTTATATGGAAGCATCCTCAGGTAGTGTAAATTCAAATTTGTTCAAATCATGACCCCCGGGGGTAGGGCGGGGCCACAATGGAGGATCAAAGTTTTACATAGAAATATATGGGAAAAACCTTTTAAAATCTTCTTCTCAAGAACAGCAAAGCCATGATGAGTCATATTTATATGGAAGCATCCTCAGGTAGTGTAGATTCAAGTTTGTTCAAATCATGACCCCCGGGGGTAGGGCGGGGCCACAATGGAGGATCAAAGTTTTACATAGAAATATATGGGAAAAACCTTTAAAAATCTTCTCCTCACGAACAGCAAAGCCATGATGAGTCATATTTATATGGAAGCATCCTCAGGTAGTGTAAATTCAAGTTTGTTCAAATCATGACCCCCGGCGGTAGGGCGGGGCCACAATGGAGGATCAAAGTTTTACATAGAAATATATGGGAAAAACCTTTAAAAATCTTCCTCTCAAGAACAGCAAAGCCATGATTGGTCATATTTATATGGAAGCATCCTCAGGTAGTGTAGATTCAAGTTTGTTCAAATCATGACCCCCGGGGGTAGGGCGGGGCCACAATGGAGGATCAAAGTTTTACATAGAAATATATAGGAAAAATCTTTAAAAATCTTCTTCTAAATAACAGCCAAGCCCTAATTGATCATATTGATATGGAAGCATCCTTAGGTAGTATAGATTTAAGTATGTCCAAATCATGACCCCTGGGGGTAGGGTGGGGCCCCAAAGGAGGATAAAAGTTTTACATAGAGATATATAGGAAAAATCTTTATAAATCTTCTTCTCAAGAACAGCAAAGCCCTGATTGATCATATTTATGTGGAAGTATACTCAGGTAGTGTAGATTCAAGTTTGTTCAAATGTTGCCCCCCTGGGGTTGGGTGGGGCCACAATGGAGGATCAAAGTCTGAAATAGAAATATATAGGAAGATTTCTTCTGATGAAGAACTGCAAAGCCATGATTAGTCATTTTGATATGGAAGCATCATCAGGTAGTGTAAATTCAATTTTGTTCAAGTGATGACCCCCGAGGGTAGGGTGGGGCCCAATAGGGGGATAGAAAGTTTTACATAAGAACACATAGAAAAAATATTTCTTCTCAAGAACAGAAAAGCTATGTTTAGTCATATTGATATGGAAGCATCTTCAGGTAGTGTAGATTCAAGTTTGTTCAAATGATGACCCCCGAGAGTAGGACGGGGCCACAATGGAGGATCGAATGTTACATAAGAATATATAGAAAAAATATTTCTTCTCAAGAACAGAAAAGCTATGTTTAGTCATATTGATATGGAAGCATCCTCAGGTAGTGTAGATTCCAGTTTGTTCAAATGATGACCCCTGGGATAGGGAGGAGCCACAAGGGGGGATCAAATTTTTACAAAGGAATATATCAGAAAATTTTTTTAAATCTTCTCAAGTACAACAAAGCCATTTGTTATTTTTAACATGGCAGCATCATCAGGTAGTTTAAAATTCAAGCCCCCCCCCCCCCCCCCCCCCCCCCGGAATCTTTTCAATACTGAACTGATTTGTGCTTTTGCCTATCCACTGTGCTCAGGTGAGCGATGTGGCCCATGGGCCTCTTGTTTTCAATTTTTTAGTCAATTTTTAATTGGGTGTAAGGCCTTTTACCAGATCTGCATGCAATGGATATTAAACCTTGTGATTGGATAGAAAAAATCCTGTGTTGATACAATATTATTTAATCACATCAAAAACATATCAACACTGAGCAATCTGCTTGATGTTACACTTAAACAGGTCCAGTCCAAAGACTATTTCTACCTACGTACCTATTAATAGCTACATAGGTATGTAAACCTATCTGAAGAAGCTACTTCTACCTACTTTAGTTTTACATGTCTTTGAAAATTAAATTAAATAATAATTAAGGCACATCTTTAAAACAGTTCAAACTTGTTGTTTATCATCTTGTGCACTTGCATGGCAAAATTCAGGGTGTTAATTTGAAAACTTTCCGAGAGTGGAAAATGGAGAGGAAATGCATGAAAAATCATCCCAAACATTTTATCTAATGCCCTGTTCACACGGAGAGTTTAATTCGCAGTAAATTAATGCAAAGTAAAATGATTCGAATTAAACTAATGCCAATTAAATTGCGTTCACACGACAACTTATGCGAAGTAAACTAATGGGAATTATAATTTATTTCTACAACAAGGCTACTCAGTGAGGCTATTATGACGTCATTTACAAATCACGTCATATTTTGCAGAGCAGATATACATTTGACGTAATATCATATTGTCTGTACACATTTTAGTGATCAACATAATTTTCCTTTGTTTTCCACTCAAAAAAAAAAGCACAAGTACCTATATTTGACCATCGAAATGTGGCCTGTGACTTAATTCTGCCCCTACGCATGCGTCAAAATTAATTTGAATTAGCTTCGCTTAGCGTTCACACGAAGCTAATGCGAAGTAAATTAATGCACAGTAAACTAATTCGAAATAAACTAATTTGCATTAAATTCTCCGTGTGAACGCGGATCAAATTTAATTCGCAGTAACTTACGTTTAATCCGAGTTAAACTCTCTGTGTGAACAGGGCATAAGAATGCATGAAGATAAGTTTTAAATTTGATACAGATTTGTAAGACATTTTTGACTTAAGTTTTGATCCTTAGCTACCAGAAAATGAAACTGGATGCAGTTTTGATGCAAAATTGATAAGTTAGATAACCATTTTTTGGCAAAAATTTTTGCCTTATTCATCGTCTATGTGAATGTAATAAGAAATTTGGTACTCACCATATTGCACTGTTCCAGTGTTTGGCCACAAAATGCAAGTAAAGCAGAAAGTAGGTAAAAATAGCTATCTGGAGTAGATTTAAATACCTAAGTAGCTATAAGTAGCAACGTAGCCTACACTGCTACATAGGTAGAAATAGTCATTGGACTGGACCTGTTATATTAGTATAATCAATGCCATTTTTGAAGGGGAATTGTCTTATTTTTCATAACGCTTAACGATACAAAATGAAATCATATTGAATGAATTTCATAGATACCCAAGTTATTTTTTATAACCTGGATATTGTTCAAGCTTTTTTTATAAACTGTGTTTTAAGTAAACTTCCCCAACCCAGGTGCTCGTGATCTGGTGATACAAGTTTGTTTGCTTGCAATAATAATCGATCACAGCCAAAATCCAAGTAACATATCATATGGCCCATGTAGAGAGTCATAGGAATTTGAATCCATCACATTACAATACTTAGTTCGAATTTTCTCTAAATAAGTTTGTAGATTTCAGGTCCGAATTTTAAAATCCTTCTGCAGAGAGGCATAGGTTTTCTTTAGTATCCGTAATGAGCGTGGTTTTTGTAATTAAGTCAACTTTGAGCACTAGTTGTCCATCATAAAGCATCACATACCTTAAAAATGTCCTAAGATACTTTCTAAAGGAGGTCGCCATTAAAATGGGAGATGGTAAAATGGGTGCACGAAGTTTCGGCACCGCAGTCATTATGGTTCGGCAATTTACCCAAATGGAAACCAAATGGACCCAAATAGAAATCAATGGAAACCAACTGGACCCAAATGGAAATCAAATGGAATCCAAATGGAATTTTAAAGTATATATTATCGTATATTCAAGATGTTACTTATATAAACAGATAAAAGATTGAAATAATGAACTTACAAATGAGAATAATTATTCATTTCCAATAGTGTATTTTTAAAATACGAATTAATATTTTTTTTCTATTAGTAATAAATATTGCATACCATTGAATACGAAATTGAAACATTTTTTTTAAAATACAGTCTACACTAGGACAATATACGGAAGCTCTTTTGCGAAATAAATTTTTAACTGAACAGTTAATTAAAAGGTAATAATGGACCATTTCAAAGCACATTACGTTGTCTAGATAGGATCTTCAACCCCCTCCCTTTCCACCTTGACCAACTCCTTCCAAGTTTTCCTTTCGGAATGTTTTTATTTCTTTCTTCAGCAAATGAGATTAAACGGAGATAATACCTCTCACGAATATATAACGTATTTTAAGTTATGTTATTCTGCCTCCCATCATCTTTTGTGCTGAATGTATACCGGTAAATCATGTTGGCGTCCTTAACACCATACCAATAAATACTAGTAATGTTTTCTTATCTATTGTCAATTCCGTATACCCCCCATACACAACGCAGGATGTTAGCTGACAGACATGCACTGATGTTAAATGTCAAAGTAAGTCGTCGACTGTAAAAGTCAATGTTTCTCGCAATTTAAGTCCAATGATAGCACTTGACAATTTGGTAGTATACATTGATCAATCTGTTTTCATTTGATTTTGATCTCATATGAATCCATCACCTATGTTCTTGTGTTTACTGCATGTATGCAACCATAGGAAGGGTTGTGAATATACATTTAAGTCTAAATGCTTCACAAGTATTAGCTTGTCTGACGTGAGCAAATTTATTATTACGCGAAGAATCAAGAAAAATTAAATCCAGTTTATCAACCTGACCCTGAGTCCAGAAATGAATTATTTTTGCTAAGAAACAAGAAAAGTTCAATTCAGTGGCATCAACATAAGATAAAACTTGGGCATGAATTTTATTCTGTATACAATACATGTATATTACTTTTTTTTCATGGCCGTAGGAACCGAGGGGGATGCCTATGATAGTGCACACCCTAAACTGAATTTTTTTTGGTTGTGCACCCCCTCCCCATGAAATTTCTTTCAACTTAGATATATTTATTTCTTTACGTTTTTAGCTTCGGTACTTTCCGTGAATTTTCGTATCTAAAGAATACTGGTTTTTTCATGCACGAGCGCTTTAGCTACATTTACAGGGGAATGTTCGATTAATGCGACGTTCGTAACAAAGAATCGCAGGTCGTTTTGTGTCTTTGGCAATGTCTACAGAATCTTCACGTTCAACTTCTAATAGATATGTTCCTCGAGAATTACAAACAAAGACAAACTCCAATTCTGGACAGGATTTTGATATTATTGACGCTGTCAGTTTATTCAACAGCAGGTTAGAAGCCGCACTTGAAAAGCAAAAAACTCTTATTCTTTCTGAAGTATAAGATAAACTTAAACCAACAAACACATTTGAGTTCTGCGGAGAAGGAACCAAAATACAGTTTCATTTTAACGAGGAATGATTGTGAGGTTTAGAGCTGTTGTCACAAAAACTCATATCTCGCGATTTAGCGGTGTCATAGATTTAATTTCCTCCGAGAAAGAGGCCACTCGTCAATTCGAAAGAAGATATTACGAATAGCTGATAAACATGGTTAGGAAACCGTTAAAGGAGTACGTGAATTCTGATATTGCTGACAATAGCGAGGATGCCGCTAGACTGCGCGCCGCTATTTTAAGAGCCGCCAACAAGAAGCGGAAATTTCCATACGACAGACCGGTTTTCCCTAAAACTTCAGGAGTGTTCGATGGTTTGTCCTCTAGACAGCTTTTTCTCGGCAGTTCAAAATTCAACTACTGCCAGCAATTCGACCCTAGATTCACTTCGCCCAGTCCGGCCAATTACAGAAAACCCCTACAAACACAGGTCAGGTCGCAAACATCGTCTGCCACTACTGCCGACTCCCGGGCCACTTTGCAAGATTCTGCCCGTACACCCAGCAACCACAGTTCACAAACCCTCAGGGAACCCAAACAACAGCACTAGTTCCAACATCAACAGCAGACCAGCAATGAAGTTGAGTATGATAGTCATTTATAAGACCAGAAATCTGACTTGATTCAAAATGTACCATTTCAGTTCAAGATCTTTAAAAAAACTCTTGAATTTTGGAATAATGTTATAAAGCCAGACGATTATATTTTAAATGTTATCAAATTTGGTTATAGCCTTATATTAGGATAAAATTTATTACATTCCCCGAAGTTGTATTTTTGTCTAACAACAAATCAACACTGCATAGCGCCCCTTTCGTTGAAAAGGCCATTTTAGAATTGCTGAGAAAAGAGTTAGTTATTGAATTCTTTGATCTGCCCCATTGTGTAAATCCACTGACCGTTTCTGCGCCATTGAATAAAAAGCCAAGGTTGATTCTTGATCTTCTATAGACATGTCAATGCATGCGTTTTAAAGAGAAAATTCAAATTCGAAGGGTCTTCAGAGTGACTCAATTTTGCGAAAAAAGGTTTATTTATGATCAATTTTCATTTAACAAACGGATATCATCACGTAAACATTTATCCAGATTTTTACAAATATTTGGGGATTTCTTGGAATTTCAATGGGTCAAAGCGTTATTTTGTATTCACGGTCCTCCCCCTCGGCCTCAGCAGTGCTGGTTATATTTTTACTAAAGTATTAAGACCGTTAGTATTGCATTGGAGAACAAAAGCGTATGGAGTTATTATGTACTTAGATGATGGCTGGGTTTGCGATTAAAAACAAAATTGTATTTTAATGTACAGGATATTCAAAATGACTTAATGCATGCTTGTTTTCTTGTTAATGAAGATAAGAGCGTTTGGAATCCAATTCAAAAGTTAGAGTGGCTCGGTTTTGAGTGGAATTTAGAAGTCGGGTTTATTGGTATTCCTCGGCATAAATTAGAATGTTTGTGCAGCAAGATAATTAAACTTAAAGAAAAACAAAAGATCTGAATTTTCTGCCAGAGATCTCGCTTCAGTAGTAGGCAGTATCGTTTCATTTAAGTTTGCACTTGAGTCTGTTTTTCAAATAACTTCTTGACAATTGTCAATGTAATTGCAAATGCATCATGCTGGGATGAAAATATTAATATTTCACTTCCTTCGTGGTGTGAGCTACATGTAGAGTTTTGGTTACAAAATACGAGGGTTGTTCGAAAAGTTCGTGGACGATGTCAATCTTTGTTATACTACTTCCAAGAAATTTAGAATAAGCACAATATCATGTGTAAAAATATTTGTTTTGTTGATCTGTGAAATTTCATTCCAATCCATTTGATAGAAATTAATTTACTTCATTTTAAAATCAACATGTTTTGTAACCACGGCGCACACTTAAAAGCAATGTAACGTCAAAAACAGCGTCAAGAGTTTCTTAAAAATTCTATCCCTATACATTCACACAGTATAGTCCAATACCCACGTATTAAAAACCCTTTTCAATCACTTGACATATATTTTTCTAACAATTGTTCTCGTTTCATGATTTCCGTTGTTAATGTTTAATTTCTTTTACCGCTTAACTGTGCTTTCACAAGATCAGCAACTCTGAAGCGCCTGCGTCTTTCCATGACGTCCCAACTTTTAAAAGTTTTCGTTCAGAATTTTACAGTTAAACCGTTTCTTTACAGATTGTCCTCGTCCGATACAGAGTCTCTGTCGCTCAGATACCGCCTCTACCATTTACACACATGCACTACTCGCTTGTGGCATATTTTCTGATTCCTCCAACATTTTTAGCGTTTATTCAGGATTTTCCCCGAGTATAACACAAAACTGCATCGTTATCTGCTTCTCTGTGACGTTCTACAACGTCATCGTTTTTGTCGTTTTCAATGAGGACTACCTATCTTCTCAAATTGATTTCTTTTTACCGAAGCTAAATATTAAGCCATAATTTGGAATACGAATCGATGTAACAATTCTTAATTTAACCGTCTTGGATTTTTTTCGTTTTTGCTCCATTTTACAGAGAAGATGACTACAGACATTATTTAGTGTATTGTTTGTAAATTGCTAAATTTTGACCTGAGCCGCGATCCTTTAAAGGTGAAAGAATGGCGGAAATACGTGGTTACCGAGTGCTCACAGTTTTGGCGATCTTAATCAATTTTTTAGACACTTCACCTAAAGATTTTACCTCTACGGATTCTTTTATATGCAGATCTCTACAAGGTAACACAGTACTGGTCAATAACACTCAGGAACCAAGTTTTAGCACCGAAATTCTTTTTCATCAGGCAAACCGGAAGCTGTCAATTTCAAAACAATGCCGACCTGAATATCTTGCTTTGAAACTCCTACTTCTTGGATATATCAAGTAATCCAGGTCCAATCAAGAATCCGTGTCTGGCATGCCATAAACCTGTGCGTAAAAATCAGCAAGCAATACAGTGCGATTTTTGTGATCACTGGACACATCGTAAATGCACCACAATAACTGTCCGTGAATACACATTACTAGGAAACTCGGACAATCCATATTTCTGCTTAGCCTGTGAAAGCAGATTACCATCTTTTTCCGAATCCTTCTTCTATGAACCTTTAGAGAGCGACAGGTCCACTTATCCCCAAGCCAACGAAAGCCATAACATCGGCAGAGGAAACTCGAACCATGATTCTATTTATACTGAGCTACTCAGTGAGTACGACATCTTCAGTGAATTAAGAGACACTCGCAAGCAACTACCGTTAAATTTAATGTGTGGCTATTTAAATATAAACAGTTTAAGATCAAAATTTGAAAGTATACAAGACCTCCTGAATAGAAATCTCGTTGACATTCTTTTTATCTCAGAGACTAAAATAGATGATTCTT